GCAGTGAATTTCGGAACGTAGCCTAGATCGTTTGAAAGATTTATCTCAAATGTGAACTCAAGAGCTGCGTTTCAAAACTCTACTCGACGGGTAGAGTACATTTAATTGTCCAATCATGATAAAGAAATCCTTAGTTATCTTTGCTCTTATTGGTCAATTAAATACTACTCTACCTGTCGAGTAGAGTTTTGGAACGCAGCCCAGTCTATGCCCAGGGCTATGTTCAAAAATCGTACTTGATGGGTAGAGTTACTTTAATAAACCAATCATAATAAATAAATCTTAATTCCTTTTGCTCTGATTGGCTAATTAAATGTTACTCTACTCACCGAGTAGAGTTTCTGAACGCATCCCAGAGATCTGTTTTTTTTAACTGAACTACCTGGGCCCCTATTCTTGAAATCTTTGCGTATACGTAATTTTCATTGCGCAGCTATTTTATAGTATGATTAAACCTGCGCAGTAAAACTTACATATACGTAACTATTTCAAGAATAGGGGCCCTATTCTTGAAGCAATGAACTGAAGCAATAATTAAAGTAAAACAAAACATATCTGTCTCACTCTAATTTAACCAAACTAATTCAGATAGTTTAGCTTAAAAAAAAACAGACCTAAAATCTCCTATGTTTACTATGTTTTCGAAATCGGTTTCGGAAACTTTGATTTTAGTTATAAGATTAGTAGATTTTGGGCCGATTATTCCAATTTCTTGTTCCGAGAAAAAAGCAACCAAACCATTTGCAGTTTTTACAGAAAGGCGACAATTTTATTGGTTACACGTTTTTCAGATCGGGTTAGGTGACAGTTTCCCGAAAAGTGGATGGGATAATATTGGTACCAAGGAAAATCTCTACACGATATAATTTAAAGATCTGGGTACCTATTAAGGGACGTCTACATTGGAAGTAAGCAGTAAGAAGGGGAGTGTCCGATTGACCACGGTACGATTGGACACAACCAACCGATGAAAAGAATTATCTAGTGAATTACTAGGTCGAACCAATCATTACAATCTGTGTCCAATCGTATCGTGGTCAATCGGGTCCCACCCAGTAAGAAGTAGGAAGTAAGAATAAGAAATTGACCAATCATAGTTGATTATTCTTCTCACATTTGACTGTGGTTGGTCAATTTCTTACTCCTACTTCCTACTTCTTGCTATTTACTTCCAATGTAGACGTCCCTTCATGGACTTCTTCGGAATCAATTCCGAAATAATTCTGTTTCCCCTAGAAAAGACAATAGAAATCTAGGAAATAACTGAATGTTTCCAATCGGAATTAAGGGCCATGGCACACAGAAAAACTTAAGTCGTAAGACGTAAGAAGTAAACAAATTGACCAATCACAGTCGTTGATTTTTGGACCGTAAGAAGAATCAATGACTGTGATTGGTCAATTTGCTTACTGCTTACGTCTTACTGCTTAAGTTTTTCTATGTGCCATCAGCTTAATTCCGAAGAAGTCCATAATTGGCCTGTTCTTTTTAGCTGCACTGCTGAACTGGTGCAATAAGTTAAAGTGAGACAAATACGTGTGTTTTAATTCTAACTTATTGCACCAGTTCAGCAGTGCAGCTGAAAAGAACAGACCAAATAAGTACCCAGAATGAAAATTGGTCTGTTCTTTTCAGCTGCACTGCTGAACTGGTGCAATAAGTTAAAGTGAGACAAGTATATGTTCTCTCACTTTAACTTATTGCACCAGTTCAGCAGTGCAGCTGAAAAGAACAGACCAAATGCAGCCGGATCGAAACAAATGGGGGAATGTGCACATAACAAGAGAACTAGGCTGCGTCGGAAACGTCACTCGAATACTCTCCCTCTCTTTTTATCTTATTCTTGTATCTCGCTCACTCCAACGCAACGGGTATATTTGGGTGACGTTTCCGAACGCAGCCCTACATGTGACCTTAGCCGTCGCAGTCGAATGGCTGAGCTACACGTACGTTGTTCTCTTGTGGGTGCGTATCCCCTTTATGTGTTTTCAAGTAGAACCGCGTCTTCATTCTGCTATCAATGATGGCGTCGCATATGATTAAACGTAAACGTCACTTATAAACAGTTTCGTTAAATATGTTTGTATAATTAATTGTGTAATTAGTTGAATTATATCTCAAGTCCTAGTAATTTTGTTATCGCGCATTGCTGTATTGTGACTTCTCGGATCGTGTGTATATTATTGACTTATGTATAATTTATTATTAACGTAAAAACCTTCCGGCGATAGATAACCTAAAAAAACATGGAAGAGACGTGTTTAGACGATGGATTTGGAGCAAATTTTGAAAAAGCTACATTGGAAATTTCCAAAGATATTGACAGTGAGTTCTGTTGATTTTTTTTAAATAATAAAATAATTAAAGAAATATTGTTTTATTCGAGTAAAATTGAAGTTCTATAAGATAATACATATTAAAAGTTAAATCTGACCACTTACAAGTATACTACAACTTGTCTTTAATTTCAGATGTCAAACCAACGACAGAAAACAATGATGACACGTCGAAACCGGATCCGGCTTCAAGAAACGTGTGTAATGTACCTTTCAGGCATATAGATGTTCATACATTCTTCACTGATAGAAACGAAGTTGTAGAAAGGGCTATACATGACTGCACTGAAAAGCTCATCAAGGAAAACAACGAGGAGCTTGTAGGAAGCTGGCTTTTGACGGAGTACGCATTGGCAATTTATATTGTCAACTTTTCGTACCCATTGTTATTGCAATTTTGGATTCTTATTAGAGGAGAATTTATTTATTCACAGAATAAGTCTGTGGGATACAGAAAAGGAGAGACTTGTGCTACTAGCAACGAAAACTCTTTACTCTGTAAAGTATGATTTTATTTCTCTGAAAATACTTGATTGTAATCGTGTGCCCATATTATTGCTGGATACAGTAGTGACAGGGGAATTGATTTATCCACCTGCATCTCTTGCACCGTGAGTTTCAATAATGAGTAATTTACAAACAAAATATCTGATTGAAAACTTAAATATGCTATTTTCTAACTTTTTAAGATGTTTTCAATATACATTGAAAATCGACAGAAATTTATATTGAAATGTGTAAATATATAAAAATTTATTCCTTGGATAAAATAAAAATTATAAAGCTTATTGTGTTCTCGTTTATGTGCCAAATACTTGAATAAAAAATCATTAATAATGATATGTTGAATGTGTTGCATATGCATGTAATATACATTTACATTCATGTTGCATTTTTTGTCCATGTTAATGTGATACTTCTTATAGACGATTAAGTGGATTGGCGGAAGGTGTGTCGTCTATAATTCAATGTGCAGTACGCCAAGAGTGGTCGTCTGTTGCAGGTTGTTCTGGTCTTACTCAATTTGAGCCTAGGTATATTGTTTTACTATCTGTAATTGTTCATTCATTATCTATGTTTGTTAATTTGCTTTGAATGTCCCTGTCTTTGATGTATTGCTTTATTATTATACAATATATTTGTATTATACAAAAATATTTGTTTTATAGTGTATGCTTTGTATTCCACAAATAATGTTCTTAAAATATGTCATAACAATTTTGTGTAATAAATTTTACATAAAAAGTATTAAAGTGCTGTAAAAGAAGGTCAAACTTCATTTTTTTTTTAAATGAAGTTACATAAAATCAAATTAATTCACATACTTTGTATTATAAAGTATGTGCAGGAACAAGATTAGAATTTTTCAGGAAACGACACATGTTAGGTATGAGACTTATGTGGAACAGAGGACAGCCCTTGCCTTTAATAAAAAAGTGGAATCCATTTGCAAAAGATATACCTTGGCTCACATATTCTAGTCATCCACTATTCTGGTATAAAGGTAAATATTGATTTACACAGTAAATGTGATGAAGTCATAAGAAAAGCAACAAAAGATTTGCTAATAAAACTTATTAATAATTAAGTAATATCTTTTTAGCAGGGACTGAAGTCGTCAAGACGAGATTTGACGTAGAAGTCTTTCATTCTACATTGAAAAATTTATTACCACATGAATGCAATGTTATTAATATGCCAATCATTATAGAGAATTACTGTGGAGTTGGTGCCTTAGTGCACAATAGGAATGGCTTAGGTTTCTTTAAGATACGTGGCAAAGTCAGTTTTTAAGTTCTTCGATCTCGTTGTAGGATTGCAAACGCTACGAGGTACTTTTTTGAGCTTAATATTTCTCCTTCTCATAAAAATTTTCCTATTAGATTACACTTGCAACCTTGTACAGTATTTACAAAAGAATAGCAATTGCAATCGCAATGCAAAATCACACTTCTATATAATAAATTATATATTAAAGTGTCTATATGTACACAAGTGTCTATATGTACACTGTTAGGATTACTTAATGAATTTTCGTAAAATATTGTCAGATATTCTATGTGTGTGAAATACTAAGCCTATATTTTAACAATAATAATTTTCACCACTTGATTATTATATATTTTCCATATCATATATTTATATTTACTATAAATTATATATTTATATTTAAAGCTGTGTGCTAAACTTTTTATGATTATCGATAAGAACACGAAAGTTCGTTATTAAAGTTTTTAAATATTCTATTAAGAATTCACTTGGTACCTGGATTATTACGTGAAAATTATAAGTAAGAGTAATCTGTTGTAATCTCTTGTCATAAGAATATATAATGTACTTACATCTATACAAATGTGCAATACAATGCCTTTATTTCTGAGCTAATAATAAATAAGAAATATTAAATATTTACGAACTTAAGTGGCATTTAGTAGCGTATCTTAATATAATAGGCAAATAGAATAAGTATCTGATGAACTGAAATAAGAATTTTACATTAAATTACATTGTAAAATAATTTATTAGCAATTTATTACATTATATTATTGTATATACAACAAAGAGTCTAATATCTTTTAGAAATCTTTAAAGAAAATTGTGGTTTATTCATGGGTTTATTTCTTATACCATATACATCAGCTGATTTGTATTTGTATGGTAAGCATCAGTTAATTTTATAGGTTATGCGTGGACAGATGGCTTATGTATTTATGCCACCTGTTGATTCAATAAGATCGCGAATAACAGTATATTGTGCATTATGTTGTATTAATAGTAGTTTGATCAATTTTTCTTGTTTCCCTTATGAAACTAATAGTAACAAATATCAGATTGAGCATCGATTGCGGCTTTATAAACTATTATCTCATGGTCTAAAATGTAAATGTTTGAGAATATATTATGACCTGGTAAATATCGATAATTTTCAATGACTTTATTCGACACATATATCGCCGAAATATGTATGTTACAGGTAATATATTAATGCTGGACGTTATAAAAGCTAATTGAGAGAAAAAGTATTGGTACACAATAACTGCGTATATATGCAACATAATATATTCAATATATAAATTAACTCTGTGCAGTGTTTTGCAAATTTATTTTGAGAAGAATTAATGTTACAAATAACATGGAAAATGATTAAAAGTCAAAAAAACTCAAGGCATAGAAAATGCATAAAAAAGTTTTTAATTAATGAAATAAGTGAGTTTAACTAAGGTCAAGTACTATGACTAAGTACAGGAACATGGAATAGTTTCTATATAGTGGTTAATTGCTGCCTTAACACATTTATTTAGCTGAATAATCATGCCTTTATTTAATTTTATATGGTAACAGAATGTGTCTCCGTTTTTTAAAAAAAAGATCAGTATTTTTTATGGGTTTTGGAATTGGCTTTGTTCTTCCACTGTTATTTTATTTATTAAGAAGAATTTTTGTGACTCAACTGACATCTGATCAAGAACTATGGCAGCCTGAGTATTATTTAGATAAAGAGCCACACTATGAAAAAATTATTTTACAATTTTGGAAAAAAGAGAAGAGAACATCATTTGGCTATTCTAACAATGTTATATACAATACTTGGTTGGCACAACAAAATTTAAGATCATATAAAATTGATCTGGATAAGTATCTGTATGGTGCACAAGAAAAAGATAATGCAAAGGAAATTGTAAGCATGGAATGGAATTGGTTGTCAAAAAAAGTTTCTGTTACATGTGTGGTTTTTATAGAAAAACTCAAGTTAGGAAAATCAATTCAAGCCACATGGGGCAAACGCTGTAACAATATATACTTTTTTGGACACCGTTTGAAGAATGCAGAACTGCCTGTTATAAATATAAGTACAAAGATTACATCTTCGTGGCAACTGCTGTGTGAAGCTATGAATTATATTTGGAGTGATGAAGCAGTGGATAAATTGAAATGGATTATTTTTGTGAAGGATGATACTATGGTCATACCAGAGAATTTGCGTTATATAGTTGCTCCATTAGACCACAGAAATAACTATTATTTGGGTCATTCTGTAATTATGTGGGGCCAACCTTACAATGTTGCACAATCTGGATATGTTCTTAGTAGAGGAGCATTGGGTAAGGTAGTAAAAATGTTCAATACTTCAGAAAAATGTGCTGCAGGTGGAAAGTATTGGAAAAAAGAAGATTATTATCTTGGTATGTAACTTTTGACTCCTTGTAGATTTCTATTTTATTATTAATATAATTGGTTCTGTGTGTAATATTAATTTTTGGCTTATTGTATGTTACAGGAAAACATTTGTTGTCTTTGGGTATACAACCATCTGATACCAGAGATCAGTATTTAAGAGGTACTTTTCATGGTTATTCCTTACAAACTCTCCTATGGGGTGTAAACAAACCAGACAGCTACTGGACACGTGCTATGTATCCAACGAAAGGGGCATGTTGCTCGCCTGTATCTGTAACTTTCAGTACCAGTGAACCTGATAAAATGCACATGCTGAATTATTTATTGTACAATTTGCGTGTGTTTATGGGCGAAGGCAGATTTGGTAATATACCTGCTAAAGCTCCAGTACCTGAAAATGATGTAAGTCTTTAAATAAGTACTTTTCAATTAGAAATATAACTGTTTTCTTCTAGAGTAGCAATTCACATTTATTAAGAATTAATGATATTATTTACTTAACTAGATTTAATGTCATCATATATACTCTATATGTATCCATATATTTCAGGTGTGGAAAATTGCATTGAAAGAAGAATTTAACATCACATACTTGAACAATATTACGAGTGACGCTTATTATGAAATATGGCATTCGAAATATTCCGAGCCGGGGCAGATAAACATTGCTAAAGATTATCGAATCACGTTAGATTGTTTATTGGCGAACTACAAAAAGAAAAACAAATCTATGGACGATAAATCTGACGAAAAATGTTATTGACAAGACACAAACTTAAGTAGACTATTAAGACGGAGAAGTTAATAGTTTATATCAAATTATATCAGAGAATATACCAAAAGTCAATACAATATCTTTGGCTTCTTCGTAACATAATTATTTATGCAATAAAATCGAATTTATAAGAAAATGTTGACAGATAAGAATATTAATAAAAGTAATATTTCGATTTGTGTAATCCGTTTTGCCTGTTAGAAAATTTATTCGATCGCGCCTTGTTCTTGACGTTTGTATCATTAATGGGAAATGGTTGATAACTGCTTCCTTCATTATTTCGGACTCGCATTATCAAACCAATTAGAAGCTAATTAACGTCTATAGCGATAACGATAATTTAATCTCGTTCTCGAAACGTTTTCGCAGAAATGCATGTCTATCGTTATTCATACAGTGTTACTTAATTATCAATATAAAAACCGTTATAAAAATGAGAGTAATGAAAAAACATAAGTTGCTTGCAAAAACACATGCATTATATAAATAATTCATATGTAAAATTTAAACATTGTATGAAAATATAATCTTTAATTTGTTGACCTATATTTGTCATTTCTCATTTATCAATTAGGACTTGGATTTATCACTTATCCGTTTCCGTTTAGAAGTTGATATATAAAAGCAACGTGCTAAATATACTTCTTGTTAAAAGTGTTATTTGATCAGTAGCCAAAGGTTCCGTTGGCAATACAAATGTGAAGCATTTTTTGGGCACGTAGATACCAAATTACATCGCACTGATAACATGGTGCTATTGCAAGTATTCAGTCGTTCATTCGTACTGATAATTATTGCGAGCAATATATTGCAAGGATATTCAGAGGCACAAGAAGTAAATGAGTTAGTATTTTATATATCTCTTATAAAATAAGCAATATTATACAAAGTGAAAATAATGCCGCTGTAAAGTTTTATCGCTATTATTTATATGCATTCTTTTGTACATTAGAGCAGAGGATCTCGTAAATGATGCTGCAGACACATCAGTCAACAATGATTCCTTTAATGTTAAAAGCCGAAAGGGCGGAAGACGTGTATTCAAAGGAGGCTGTATTCGTATGCCGAATACTCCTATAAATGGTAGAATTATGTGCTCTACGAACAGGTAACTTACGATCGTGCAAATTATTAGTAAAATAATCGTGCAAATTATTAATAAAATAATTTAAAGTAATTAAAAAATTTATTGTATTGAAGAAATTATTATATTAGTTTGATTTAATAAAGTTAGATGAGTATTGGATAATTAAGATATTGAAGAAATATAATGAATATTACAATTCTCTGTTATTATATCGACAGCGGCTGCACCGCACATTGCTTGTCAGACTACATATTTCCAAATGGTTTACAACAATTGACAATTACTTGCGTTGATAAGGAATGGCATATTCAAGGAACCGAATGGAGTTCGATACCGCGCTGCGAACGTACGTAACATAAGCAAGTCAAATCTATAACTTCAATTTTTGCAACACTTTATTTATGCAAAAGACTTAAAGAAAATGTAATGTTCATGTGAAATATTTTACAGCAATTTGCATGCCCAAGTGTCAAAATAACGGAATATGCATCAGACCTAATCAGTGTAATTGTTCTGAACATTTTACCGGTCCGTTCTGTCAATTCGAGAATAAACCATGCTTAAATCATCTCCCACCACCGCTTAATTCTTATAGGAAATGTAACTCGATGTAAGTAATATTCACAGATCTTTGCGAAAGAAAGATTTTTAAAAAATTATATGTAATACATAAGTAATACGTGAGTTACTATATTCGCACAGATCTGTATCACTTATATATAATTTTTTAAAATCTTTCTTTCAGTTCGTGCACTGTATCCTGCATGAAAAACTTTACCTTTCCCGATGGTTCATCCGTTACCAATTTAATCTGCAAAAATGGAAACTGGAAGCCAACCCGGGGTGATTGGGTATCAATTCCAGATTGCGAACGTACGTTTGCGATCATTAATCTGTGTATCATGTAAAGGAAAATCCATCTAATATAACTGTATCTTAACCTATCTAATATAACTGTATCTTAACAGCCGTGTGTGATCCACCCTGTCAGAACGGTGGTAATTGTCTGCCGATGAATCTATGTCAATGCCCGCAGAATCATCGAGGACCTCAGTGTCAGTATTGTAAGTAAGAAAATGTCTACTTTTCCATAAATTCGTAACTCTTCTTAAAATTTTAACTGAACATATTTTTATTAAGATCGTAATTTTTTAGGTAAACGAACAAAATATCGTTTGGCAATTAAAGCTTTATTAAATAAATATATGTTCATACATAAGCTTCCATAATATTTTATAGTTATGATTCACATGTTTTTCAATATTGATATTTTATATTGATCTCTAATATTTCTAATTAATCTAATTTTATTAGCTGCTGACGCCTGCGACGCGAAGAATTTACGTTTCAACGGTGCTTATTATTGCACCAGTACCGGCGACAATTTTTCTTGCACGTTAAGTTGCCCGGTGGAATCGGAGTTCGAATTTCCACCTGCTATAACTTACACTTGCACCTATGACACGGGCATTTTCAAACCGCAGCCGATACCGCAGTGTAAGGTGAATGATGACATGAAGATCGTCTTGCACAACATCTCTTATAACACGTACACACGAGAATCTAATTACTCCTGGTCAACGCAAGATCTTGTCAGCGATACAACTGACAGTTCTCCAGAGTTTTATGGTGTTCGTGACAACAGTGAAAATACGGTAAACGATATATTACGGTTGCATATTAATTTGACTTTTATTCAGCGAGTATTTTATTCTAAACATTATTTATCTTGTATGAAGCTTATATATTTCAACGCGACGAACAGACAGCCGTATTTAACATTAAATATAAGCGGCTAAAATCACGTTTATCAATGTAACTAACTTGTGTTTGTAAAATGCATATTTGGTTTAACTGGACAACCATAAGATGATCGTCGAAGCAAGCCGATCCGCAAAACCAAAAACGTGCTTTACCTGGGGTGGCGCGCACTATAAAACTTTTGACGACAAGATCTACAGCTTCAATAGCGACTGTCCATACGTACTTCTCCGAGAGACACAAGATGACGTCTGTACGATCCTGACGCTAAATTCTCTGGGTTGCAAAACGAAGAACGGCCGTTGCTCCAAAATTGTGAAGCTGTTTGTGTATGACAAAGAGTACACGTTGGCCAACGATGAAATCGGTATACCGACGTTTTCGAGTGGAAAAAAATTATTACCCATACCAGTATATCTGCCCGGATTACGCGTGGACAAGTCCGCGCACTTTACTCTCATCTCTCTTGACTCGCTGGGCATAAAGCTGAAGTGGGATGGATCCTTGCTGTTACAAGTCGAGGCTTCCGAGAGTATGTGGAACAAAACAGCCGGTCTCTGCGGTACAATGAACGATGATCCAAAGGATGATTTCTTGATGAAAAGTGGCACTCACACTAAAAGCATTACTAGTTTGGCGGATTCTTGGCGAATTAACGATTTTGGAGGTAATATTATGACACGTATCAAAAGTTGAATCTTTCTGATTCTCATGTTGAAATTACGTTATACGTGGCGTAATAAGAAAATCGTATAAGAAAACAGAACTTGAAATTAAATATATATTTAATACATATTTAAAGTTTTTGTTATGTATTTAGAATAGGACCCTTGATAAAGTATCTTTCAATAAATTGTGTTTGTATAATTGATGAAACACATTAAAATGTCTGGTGCTTATATTATTTCACACTTTCAACTTATACTTCATAAACGATGAACTATTTTGTAAAGAATTCATACTATTACTCTTATAATTATTTAATAGCTATGTGGTATTTTATTTTGTAGAAACATGTGACGATTTGAACACGCAAAATGCGTGCCAAGTGAAAGATGAGTTCGCTAAAGATGCTCTCAAGTTTTGCGCCCAGCTTCTCTCCAGTCGTAAATTTAAGCCTTGCGTTCAAACGATTAATTTTTCTGAATTGTTAAAGGCATGCATATGGGATTATTGCGCATGTAAGGACAGTGACAAAACGAAATGCGCCTGCAATACCATAGACGTTTACATGCGCCAATGTATTCACAAGGGAGTCGCAGTATCAACACCGTGGAGAAATGACGACACTTGTCGTAAGTCAATTTCAAAATGCTTTTAATTAATTTAACAAATTTCCAGAACAATACAACATTATATTATAATGTTATTAATATTTATTATAAAATATTATAAAAAAAATAATATTATAATAAAAATATTATAAAATATTATAAATCTTATTATAAAATAAAGATATGTGTCATTTTTTAAATATATAATGCATAATAAGAAGTCAACAATTATTTTGCAGCGATTTCCTGCGAAAATGGACGAATATACATGTCATGCGGGCCAAAGGTGGAAGCATCTTGTTTTTCCGATCTTGAGACGAGGAGCGAAAATCCTGAATGCGAAGAAGGTTGTTTCTGCCCTGTGGGGACTCTGGAGCATCAAGGTAGATGTATCATGCCAGAGGAATGTCCATGTAAATTGAGGGGCAAACTGTTCGAGCCGGGTTCGAACGTGCTAAAAGATTGTAATACTTGTATATGCACTGCTGGAAAGTGGATATGCACGCAGGTGCTATGTACCGCTAGATGCTCCGTAATAGGCGATCCGCATTATACTACGTTTGACGGCAAACACTACGATTTCATGGGAAAATGCAAGTACTACTTAATGAAGGGAGAAAACTATACGATTGAAGCTGAAAATGTTCCGTGTTCCGGAACGATATCTGAGGTTAGACTTTCGGAAAAATAAATACCGATTGTTTGAACTGTTCAACATAAAACTCAGGAATTAATGTTTTTGTTTTTATTTAAAATTTTTATTTATTGCTTATTAAGTGTCACTTATTTTAGAACATGGGCTTCACCTTTGTGGAGAATTCTCCATCGTGCACCAAAGCTGTTACAATAAATTTCAAGAATACCATTATAAAATTGAAGCAAAATCGCCAAATTACAGTGAACGGCGACGAGATAATGAAATTCCCAATGCTGATCAATGGTGCTCGGATACGACTTGCGAGCAGTACATACTTGGTAATTAATATGCCCAATGATTTGGAAGTATGGTGGGATGGTATGACGCGCGTTTACATTAATGCTCCTGCTGCATTCCATGGTAAATACACTTTATTTAATTTATATTTATTTATATCTGTATAACAATTTTTTTTAGAAATATTGCTAACTAAACTATTGTTATCAGGTCAAACGAAAGGACTCTGTGGAACATTCACTGGAAATCAAAAGGATGACTTTATAACGCCCGACGGTGACGTTGAGCCCACGGCGATTGCCTTCGCGAATAAGTGGAAAATTAACAAATACTGCGCCGACGAATCAGAAAATGAATCGAAACACCCCTGCGAGATAAATCCTCAAAAAAGAGCAACAGCGGAGGCATATTGTTCTAAAATACACACCGATATTTTTTCCGGTACTTACTAATATTATTATATCGTATATATAAATTGTATCTATTTATCTTTTATATTTTTTAGTCTCTGTAGTAAACAATTAATTGATTTGAGTTAAGATTAATTAATTTATAATATTGTAGGATGTCATTGGTACGTTGATCCAATGGAGTTTTACCGAGATTGCATGTACGATATGTGCGCATGTAACTCTGATGCTAAATTATGCTTCTGCCCGATATTAGCAGCATACGCGGAAAATTGTGCGGCGCAAGGCGTGAAATTATCGTGGCGTTCAAAAATTGATAAGTGTAAAGTTCATTGTAGTGGCGGTCAGATATACCAAATCTGTGGAAATAGTTGCACGAGGTAATCGCATACTCTAATCTACTTATATGTTTATTAATCTGTACTGCTCTATAGCTATATTTATATATTATTCCTATATTTCTATATCATAATCTCTCCACATAATCATAATATATCCACATAATACAATCTTCTAATTCTTTCATAATTCAACTTTTTTATTTTCTAATCTAGGTCGTGCGAAGACATATCCTCTTATCAAGACTGCAAACAAGAATGCGTAGAAGGATGCAATTGCCCCGAAGGCCAGGCACTGGACACAAACGGCGAATGTATCCCGATCGCTGAGTGTCCCTGCGTATATGCGAGTCGCGAGTACAAACCTAATCATCGAGAAATAAGACCGAGCAGTAAGGGACAGCAATATTGCACTTGCATAGGTCAGTACTTAAGACACGAATTAATCGAGATTCACTTTTTGTAACGCAAAACTTCGTTCTGCACAATTTTAGGCGGCATATGGGGCTGTCGTTTAGCAACGCCGGAAGAAATTCGAAATTATCCGGCGGTCACGCCGGAACTTCTATCTACCTGCGTTGCCAGTAAACATCTCGAAATGACGGATTGCGAGCCGGTAGAACAGAGAACTTGCAGCAATATGCACTTTTCCAACGAACACAGTCAAATTGTATGTACGTTCGGTTGCATTTGCAAAGCTGGATACGTTCTCGACGCGCCAAACGGCAATTGCATCCCGGAAAAAGACTGCCCGTGTCATCACGGCGGGAAGAGCTACAAGGAAGGCTCGGTTATTCAGGCCGAATGTAACACTTGCACGTGCGAAGGCACCAAATGGAAATGTACAAATAGAGTCTGCTCAGGTGATATATCCCTGGTCACGATCGCTTTTATCTCTCGATACTTAATTGTTTTAGGCAATCACGAATTATACTTTTCGTTAGAGCATAATTACCATTATGCACAACTTTAACGCGGAATTTTCTTTTTTTTATTTTTAATTTTCCTTTATTTAACTCTATCGCACAATTTTCTTTCTGTTACAGGAATCTGTTCTGTGTGGGGTGATTCGCATTACAAGACGTTCGACGGTAAAATGTACGATTTCCAAGGTATATGCGATTACGTTCTGGTAAAGAGCAAGTTGAGCAAGGAGGAGTCATTCGACGTCTCGATTCAGAATGTACCATGCGGTACGAACGGTGTCGCGTGCTCGAAATCGATCACACTCGTGGTCGGAAACGATGAACAGCGAGAAGAACTCGTGCTGACAAAAGGAAAGAAATTACCGACGGGACCTTTTAAAAGGATGACTATTAGAACCACTGAAATCTTCGTGTTCGTCGATGTACCAGACTTGAGATTGGTGTTGCAATGGGACAAAGGTACGAAATATTATACTATTCGAATGTTGTTCATCGATGAATATGTTTAATATATGTTCAATAAGTCTCAAATCTCTTCACGAATATATTTTAACTATTGATGATATTAATTATTTTAATTATCGACAAAAGATACGTGAAACGCTTAAATAACACAATATATTTTGTTTCATATTGTTTAAGATACTTTATTAAGCACTTGAAATTTTAATAGGCACAAGAGTCTACGTAAAATTAAATCCGGAGTGGAAAAGTCATACAATGGGCCTGTGCGGTGATTACAACGACAACGCCGAGGATGACTTCAAAACGCCGTCTGGCGGTATATCCGAGGCCTCTGTTAACTTGTTCGGCGACTCGTGGAAGAAAAATACATTCTGTCCGGAACCAAAAGACGTGCCAGACGCATGCGAGCAGCATCCGGAACGCAAGTTGTGGTCGTTACGACGCTGCAACATACTGAAGTCATCGGTATTCTCACCATGTCACTCAGAGGTTGAAGTTGAACCGTACTTACGTAATTGTATTTTCGACGCGTGCAGCTGCGACTCCGGCGGCGACTGCGAGTGCCTGTGCACAGCGTTGGCTGCGTATGCACACGAGTGCAACGTGAAGGGTGTACCGGTGAAGTGGCGCACGCAGGAACGCTGCCCGTTGCAATGTAACGAGGAGTTCAGCACGTATTCGCCCTGCATCTCGACTTGTCCGCGCGAGACGTGCGATAATCTGATGACTGTAAAGGACGGCTCTCGTTTGTGCACCGAGGATACATGCATTGAGGGCTGCCAATTTAAACCATGTTCGGAAGAGCAAGTATACTGGAATGCTACTTATACGGAATGTCTACCGAAATCAGCATGCAAAACGCCATTCTGCGCCGAGATCAACGGAGTAATATACTACGAGGGTGATCGAGTAAGAGGCGACGATTGTCAGAGTTGCTTCTGCAGTCGCGGTAAGGTGACATGCAAAGGAGAGCCTTGCGTAACGCCCGGATGCGTAGATGGTTGGTCCAAGTGGATTAACAAGAACAAAATGACATATAAGAAGAAAACAGACGTGGAGCCATTACCCGAATTGATGGATCTCGAGAACTCAGACGGACTCGCGATGTGCGATAAGGAACATATGGTCGACATAAGATGCAGATCCGTGAAGAGTCATCTGAGCTCGAAGGAGAGCGATTTGAATGTGGAATGCAGTCTGGAGCGCGGTTTATATTGTCAATCAGTTACGGATGTTCTTTGTGTAGATTTTGAGATCAGCGTGTTGTGTCGCTGCTCCGAAACGACGAAGCTGCCCGTTTACCAAACAAATCAAACGACAGTAGAACCTAGTCTACAAGAATGCGACCCAGAGTACCCTAATTCACCACATCCGACTAACTGTCAGCTATTTTATCAGTGCGTGCCCATAGCGACTGGTTACGAATTAGTCGAGAAGTCGTGTGGTCCTGGCACTTTATACGATGCGAAAGCGCAGGTGTGTAATTTTCCGGAAGAAGTCTTGCGGACACGACCAGAGTGCATGCTTGAGCGAACCACGTCCGAGTGGAGTCAGAACTACACCGAGACCGGTAGCACGAATACGCAAACAACATTGATTAGCAGCACGGTAAGGATTGAGAAGTGCAAAGACGACGAGGTATGGAATGAGTGCGCTGTTCAGTGCACCAAGGCGTGTCATTATTACCGACACAGCTCGATGCAAGATCATTGCAATGAAGATAATAACTGCATCGCCGGATGCGTGTCGGTCAATCGACCGAGGTGTCCCCCGCATAAATATTGGAGAGACAGCATCACCTGCGTGGACGCAAACGAGTGTCCGTGCGAATCCCACGATGGAAACTCAGTCGCACCGGGCGCCGTAAGGAAGGAGTCTGATTGCGAGATTTGTCAATGCATCAATAATTATTACACCTGCGATAGCACATTCTGCAACGCAACCACGACCGAGGGACGTGAACTTGTTACCGAGCAACCATCCACTACGCCTTCGATGCATTGGCCAACTACGTCATCGGTCGAATTTCTTCCGCACAGCACGCTTACACCACCTGCGGATTGCGACAACGAAAACTATGTGCCGTTGATACAAAGTCTGCGCGAAAAAGTAATTATTAATGCTAGTAGCAGCAAGGTTCCCGCACTACGACCTGAGAATCTATTCGTACGCGTACCAAAAACCTTGTCGCCTGACGCCGGCTTCTGGGAACCGAAAGTAAACCACATCGGTCAGTGGGTTACCGTTAAGTTCGATAAACTCGAGCCAGTTTATGGCGTAATACTGCAGGGCGCCGTTACCGAAGATAAATTCGTGACCAGTTATAAAGTGCTCTTCTCGGAGAACGGTCAGATCTTTTCGTACGTGCTTGATCACAAAAAGCAACCGCGTATATTCAGAGGACCTATCGACAGAACTCAATCCGTAGAACAGAAATTTGATCAACCCGTTGAAGCGAAAGTAATTCGTATCGAACCATTAACATGGCACAACGGAATAGCAATCAGAGCGGACGTTTTGGGATGTCAGGATAACGTGTCGATATCTAACTTTCCTATCATACAGACAACGATCTCCGATAATGTACTGAAGCCAGTATGCGATAAACCTATGGGATTGGACAATAAACTGATGAGTATCGAGCAGGTGTCCGTGTCGAGCTCTCCACAGTTGATTCAGCAGCTTCCGTTATCTGCAGAAGGTGTATGGCGTTCAGAGTTGGACAATCCGCATCAATATGTTCAGTTCGATTTTCTGGAATCTCGGAACTTGACCGGGATCACGACGAAGGGAGGTGACGGCGCTTGGACGACCGCTTACAAGATATTCTACAGCAACGACAAGCGTCACTGGAACCCGATTATCGATAAAAACGGCAACGAGAAAGAGTTTCTCGGCAATTTTGACGCTCAAAACCCGAAGACGAACTTTTTCCAGAAACCGTTGCATTCGAGATATATGAAGATACAACCCACTAAGTGGCATAAGCATGTTGCGTTGAAGGTCGAACCCCTTGGTTGTTATATGGCGTATCCCTCTACGTTGTTCGAGAAACCTGAACCGACAACTCCATCCTATGAGCTGAGGTGCAATGTATGCGATGGAATCGATCGGACGTTGAAGGATGAAGCCTGCAGATGCGAGGATCCCAACTGGTGGGACGGTGAATCGTGCATACCAAAGCGAGAATGCCCTTGCGTAATCGGCCATCTCTCTTACGCGGTAGGCTCTATCTATGAAACTGAAGATTGTCAGGAATGTGTCTGCACTATGGGCGGAACGTCTACTTGCACGCCAAAGAAGTGCGAGTCATGTAACCCGGGTGAGCAGTCGATTGTCATTGAACGATGCAATTGTATGTGCAAACCTTGCCCGACAGGAACCAAGCACTGTCCTACGAGCGACGTATGCATCAATGAAACAACGTGGTGTAACGGCGTGCAGGATTGTCCGGACGACGAGATGGACTGCGAGAAGGTCGTCATCGAACCGACGTTTGAACCAGAAGTGACACGTGAACACATTGACACGAACGTAAGTCCGCCTCAAGTCCGCCCGCCATCATGCGAGGAACCATCATGTCCTGCAGATTATAGAATAGTCTACAAGTCATCTCAACGCGATAAGTCGGATTACAATGTTAAAGGTTACTGGAAGAGCAACGTGAAGTCTGCAATCAAAGGTTTCACAAAGACAAAGGGATACAGAAAGCCACCATTCCACTTTAATGCGATCAAATATACAGATCGTCAAGCATCAACGAAGAATGCTCAATGTCCTGAGTTCACCTGCGCGCCCACGAAATTCTCACCCATCCTGCCCGGTCACCAGAAGCCGGAGAAATGTCCGGAGGCGTCGTGCCCGCCGCACTACGAGGTAGTATACGAGAAGATGAGCATGTACAAGCTGTACAAGTGTCCTAAGTATACGTGCAGGCCGATAATGCCGGAAGTAGCATACTGCAACGTCACAGGACGAACATTCAACACCTTTGACAACCTAGAATATAAATTCGACGTTTGCGATCATATCTTGGCTCGCGACATGTATAATAACAAATGGTACATCATATTGGAGAAACAGTGTGATTCGCCCGGCCAGCCGTGTACGCAGATTTTGATAATAACGCAGGGCGATCATGAAATCGTGTTGTATCCGGACCTGCATGTGGACGTCGACAAGCACAGCTTCACGGCTAAACAATTCGATCGCCTCAGCAATCGCTTCCACAGCTTCAGGCTGTCTCGCATGGGCGACAGTATCGTGTTCCTTTCGCTTTACGACTTCGGAGTGTTCTGGGACTCCGCTGCCAACGTGAGGATTGGTGTTAGCTCGCAATTGGCAGGTAAAGTAGACGGCCTGTGCGGATATTACGACGGTAATATCGCGAACGATCGGCAGACACCGGACGGCAAACAGGTGAGAAGCACCATCCCGTTCGGAAATAGCTGGGCGATGGAGGGTACACCGGCGTGCGACTCGCAGGTGTGTCCACTTGACGTTCAAAAACAAGCCTGGAAGATCTGCAATTCCGTGAAAAGCCCAGAGCTATCGGACGTGTGCTCTACGGTAGTGGACATCAACAAGTTCGTGTCTAGCTGCGTAGAGAACTTGTGCACATGCCTGCACGGTAATAATTCCTACGAGGAGTGTCGATGCCGACTGCTAACGAGCTTCGTCAGCAAATGTGAGGCCGCTCTACCCGGTGCTGACTTGTCCGACTGGAGGAGGATTCACGACTGTCCGGCCAGCTGTCCGTCACCGTTTATTCACCGAGATTGTTTCCGCAACAAATGCGAGATCACCTGCGATAATCTACACGAGTTAGAACCATGTCCGATGATGCAGGGCGTTTGCTTCCCCGGTTGCTTCTGCCCGGACGGCCTGGTGCGTCACAACGACGAGTGTATGCCACCGGTGCAGTGTCGAGACTGCGTATGCGACAGCCTTGGTAACTCCAAGTTCATCGACTTCGATCGCAAGGACTTTAGCTTCGCCGGCAATTGTACCTACGTCTTGTCCAGGAACGTCGTGAACAACGCGAAAGGCCGAAACGGAACTCACGCGTACCAGATTTTGCTCAGTAATGAGGAATGCGTCACCGGCATATGCACGAAATCCGTTACGCTCCTTTACAAAGAACACGTGGTGCGAATAAAACGCGCGGAAGAGTTGAAAGAATTGCGAGTCTCCATTGATGACTCCCAGGTAGCCGAATTTCCGTACAACCGCACGTGGATCACGTTGGATCGTACACTCGCGGGAGACGTGTCTTTGTTGGTGCCGGCTATCCAACTAGAGTTCGTCGCCTTCCGACAGAATTTCGCGTTCACTTTGAAACTTCCGTCGCATATCTTCGACGACGCCACTGAGGGTCTGTGCGGCAACTGCAACGCCGATGAAGCTGGTTTCAAGAAGCGCGACGGCAAAGTCACCAACAATGCTGAGGAATTCGGCAAATCTTGGCTGGCTGATGATCTGTCGACGGAGTTGGACCTGAATGATCAGACATGCGCCAGTAAACAGCGGGCTCAATGCGTTCCTCCACCAGCGAGTCAGGATATCTGCAGAAAACTTTTGGATTTAGCGGAATTCCAACAATGCCACAGTATCATCGATCCGAAATCATATTTGGATTGCTGTCATGACGCTTTATGCACCAACGGCAACTACTGCGATAGTTTGGAAATGTATGCGAGAAAATGTTCGGAAGTTGGTTTATGTCCAGCTTGGAGAACCGACGAGATCTGCCCGTACGAATGTTCTGCAGGTAAATTTCTTTAATTTTTTAATTACCCTTTTATCGGACTTTCATTACTTTTAATTTAACCTTTTATTATCAAATCGATATAAAAAAATTTATGCTTATTAAACAAAAACGAAAAATTCATCAAATACATTTTCTTCGTAGGTCTTGTCTATCAACCATGCGCTTCCGGCTGTAAGGAAACTTGTGACACTTTGAGCGACGAAAAGTGTTCATCTGGCCCCATCGAGGGATGCTTCTGTCCACAAGATTACGTATTCCATAATGATTCTTGCATACCAAAAAAGAACTGTCACGTTTGTGACAAAGACGGTCACGTAGAAAGCGATGTTTGGCAACCGGACAAATGTACGGAATGCAAATGCCATGATGGAGTTGTGAATTGCCAAAAAACGGAATGTCCTCTGTTGGATACAATTTGTGAAAAAAATATGACACCCGTGCTTGTGAATGGAACCAAAGAAAAATGTTGTCCCAAGTATTTGTGTAGTAAGTTTAATATTCTATTGTTAAAAAATATTTAATGTATTTGACAGAGTTTACTAATGGATTGAGAATTTTTCATACAGTGCCAACACCTACTACACCCACGTGTGTCGAGCAACAGGAACCAGAATGTGGTTATGGCCAGGTGATGAAGACTATTACTGGCACTGATGGATGTTACAAAATTATTTGTCGTACGTGACGTATTTTACATTATCTTTAATTTGTTTAATTTTTCGCGTTACATAACACGCTACATAATTTCAGAATGTTTGCCTGAAGACGAGTGTCCCGTTGTCGAAGAATTCACGAATGAAATTGAGACACTGGAGCCCGGTTTCATAAAAGTAATGAATATATCCGGTTGCTGTCCGCGAACGATCAAAATATGTGATCCGAAAACTTGTCCTTCTACACCTAATTGCCCAAAGTACCATAATATAACAATGACTAAACATGAAGACAATTGTTGTCCTAGTTATAAGTGCGGTATGCTTTATTTTGTATATGTATCTATAACTTTATGAATTACGTTTTAATATAAGCCACAATATTTTATTGACAGTAATTGAAAGTGACTTCAAAATGCAAGCACTATTAACTAATTAATTAATATTGTTTCCTTATATTTTAGTACTTCCAAAGGATATTTGTTTGTACACAAATGATGAAGATCGAAGCAGACAACATGTAATAGCGAAAAAGATTGGAGAAAAATGGGAAGATGGTAAATGCAAAACATGCATATGTGAAAATTCACAGGATGGCCCTAAACCGGACTGTAAGATCACGGAGTGTCCAAGTATGCATGAACATCCTGATGTAAACGACTATGTATTGAAGAAAATATCATTGGATGATAAATGCTGCCCAATCTTTGAGCGCAGCACTTGCAAAGATGGAGATAAAGTGTATCATGTAAGAAAATATACTAACACATTGTAATATATTTATAGTCTTCTTAGTGTTATTATTTAAAAAAACAGTCTTTAACATTATTCTCTAACGTTATTTACGATAGGTTGGCGAAAGTTGGAAGCCCGATATTGAACATCCTTGTATTACAATGGAATGTAACAAACATTCGAATAATATCCAGAAGCAAGTTAAAGTCCAAGAATGTAATGTTGTATGTGATTATGGTTATGAATATCAACCGTCTAACGATATCACAGAGTGTTGCGGGAAGTGTATTCAAACCGCGTGTAATGTAGATGGCATGCTTAAGGATGCAGGAGAGGAATGGCAGTCGGACGATCACTGTGTGACGTATTCTTGTGTCTCCACAAATGGAAGCGTAAGATTTTCCCTGCAATTCTGAATATATAATCCAACCAATAGAAATAGATAAGTATTTGAGTGCAACTAATATCTATTTCCAGATGTATGTACAAGTAAATACTGAGACCTGTCCAGAGATTGACCCGCAATTGGAATTAGAGTTTCAGGTAGAAACTCGCAAAGTTCCAAACAAGTGTTGCCCAGAAATTGTCAAAACAGCTTGTCTCAGTGATGGAAAATCATATAAGCCTGGAGAGAAATGGAAATCTTTTGCAGATAGCTGTGTCACCGAGACTTGCACAACAGGTCCGAATATAACAAAGCATACAGAAGTTGAAGTATGTTCGAAGCAGTGTGCTCCGGTAAGAATGTTTTATTGCATATATAATTTATGCTGTAAGTGTATCATTAATATTATATTAATTAATCTTTAAGGGATGGTCATATGAAGAACCAAAAGATGGTAAATGTTGTGGAGAATGTAAGCAAACATCTTGTATATATGAAGGTACTTTGTATACACCTGACATGACATGGTCATCTGATGATAATTGTACCACTTACAGTTGTTTGAAAGTGAATGAACAAGTAAGTCTTGTTGTATAAGATCAGTCAGTAAATCAAGCAATTTTATGATTATTTATGATCAGTATCTACAAACATTTAGATTACATAATTAATTGTGCAATTAGTGTTTATTTGCTTAACAGTAATACTTAACAGTAAAACTTAACAATTTGCTTAACAATTTGCTTAACAGTATTATCTTATGTAATTCTAATGAGAAACACATTGTATATATTATAATTAATTTTAATTGTTTTATTTGGTGAATTTTTGTTTACATAGTTAAAAAGGCCCTCCGAATATATGAAACTTTCTCATGAACAACTTTTTGATAAGACAAATATGTTTAGAGTTATTAGCTTGTAACACTTTACATGGGCCACCCTGTATATATAATTATTTATATTTATATTTATTTTAACATACATATATTAAAATATTGTTACATAATCAAATTTATGCGTTTCAAATATGACTATCTGTTAATTTTAGCTATCTGTTAGTATGAGTTCGGCTGTTTGTCCTGATATAAAAGATTGCCCTGAAAACGCAATATATCGCGATCAGTGCTGTGAACGATGCAATTTGAAGATTATTAATCAAGTTATAGAAGAAAAGAGTATGTTTCAAAAAATAAAAATAATTTTTTAACATGTTTACTTATATCAATTATATGTAATTAATTTATTTTGTAATTATATCAATTATATTAATTTATTTTGTAATTATATCAATTATATGTAATTAATTTATTTTGTAATTATTTGTTAGGTAAATGCAAACCAACTATTATGGATGCAAATAGCACCTTAAATATGCTGATTGTGAATCATCCTCTACATGGAACATGTAAAAACTTGCATCCTATCGAAAATATTATACAATGCAACGGAACATGCATGTCTTCCACATATTTTGACACTAGTAAGTATAGATTAAATAAATATTTTCTTTTTTATCCTAGTTTGATGTTATATCTAATATGAATAATTTTCTTTCTTTTTGTGTAGAAAACTGGAAACAAGTAAATAATTGCCAATGTTGTCAAGCAAAGGAACATACTGGTATCCTTGTCAATTTAACATGCACCGATGGTAGAAGATTGAAGAAGTTATTGGTAGTGCCAACTTCTTGTTCTTGCCAAAGTTGTGCTCTTTCAGATTTAAAAAATGAAGATAACAAAACAAAGACCAAAGTTTAATTTATAAGAACTGAGTTCTTTGTTTTATTTTCTTCATTTACACATAAGCAATAAAATATTCTTACAATATAAACTATTAAAAATATATGGATTAATGGAAATAATTTTTTTTGTAATTTTTCTTTTACTTTTTATGTATCGATTAGAGAATCTTTGTATTCCATACATTACTGTTTATAACAATCTTATATTTATTTATCTATACGCGAATATATAAGATCTAAATGTCAAAATTTTGTTGTCAAATTATACTGGATAAGTGAAAAATCACACATGAAATGACATTTACATAATTTAAAGGAGTAAATCTCTTTATAATTTACATATCTGCTGATTGTTGTGTGGTTTTGTTATTTAATGTTGAAGCAGAAATTCTTTCGGCCTTTTACCTTACTGGTAGAAATACCAGTCTTCCTGATAGAAGACAAACGAATCGATTTACGGGAATAGAATGGAAAGTCAATTTTTTTTTGAGATAAAACTAATATTTTTAATAAAAAGGTAAATTACTGCACAGAATCAAGAAGATTTATTCTCTATTTCTAAATTTATTAAATAAATTTTTAAGTTTATTAAATCAATGTTTGAGTTAATCAAAGCAAAACAAAAGAAGCAAGAAATTCTTATTGTATTTTATTAAACTAAAAAAATGTTATTTTTTACTATAATGTAGTTAAAATAAAAATATTATGATTTTATTTTTAATATATTCATATATGTATAATAAGTTTAATATGTTTTCTAAATATATTAGATATAGAAATGGTAAAAAGAAGAAATAGTGACATAATAAAATTATTTCCTTCAATTATTATGTTTTTTTAATAATTGGATTGGTAATTTATTAATTATTACTTAATTATTACATATATATGTGCTTAAATATATTTCGGTTGACCGATACGCGCCCACTCCAGGGTTAAGAGGTTGCTGAATACTAACATAATATAGTCTCATAGTTTGTACAGTTTTTCTATTTGATTTCATACAATTGTAAATACTTTTATATAGTGAAAGTATAAATGTCAAGACATAAACAATACTAACTATTATATGAAAAACAAGAAAGAAATTCTTGTAAATTTCTTATTGCAGAAAAACTGAACGTTGAGTTAGATCCCTCTATAAAAAAGGCATGGACATGTCCATTGTTTTATTTATTGTTGTTTTATTGTTTTATTTTAAATAATGAAGCTTGTTTTTTTTGTACAATACTTATTAAATACTTGGGAAAAGATTATATATAAATTTTGTCCTTATATGACTATATATATGGACATATATAATTATATATATTATTACATATAATTTTTTCTCGGGTACAGTAATATTTATTAAATAAAATGTTATTATTTGACTCGCTAAATAATTAATAATTATGATTATCTATCAATTTATATATCAATATCAAAATATATACATCATATAATATAAAAATTACCCATAATTCGTAAGAAATATATATATAAACATCATTCAAAATAGTCATGAAATATTTGTATATTTTTGGGCTATAAAAAATAAAACATTACTATAAAAAATATTTAACTTTCACTAATTTTATTTTTTCTTATATTCTTATAAACAGTAATTTTAATATTTTTGCAACATGGAAGGTAGTAGTTGCCTCACTAATACTGTTTTATCTGATAATATCAAGATTAATTTGTACCGTAATTCGTTAAAATATATTACAAATATCAATGCTCGTTAATTATCTATCTATAAAATAACATTCATCATCGTTAAAAGACTAAAGGTATTATGTCCAAACGCGTAACAAACGTAATAAATATTTAGAATTAACCCTTAAGCACTGACACAGATTTATAAAAATATTTCGAAGTTTGATAATTACCTGAGAAAGTGTGCGAAACGTCTTTCCTTGTCACCACTTCGTATCTTACGGGCCAAACAGAAGATAGACGGACGCGATGTATATATCCTTAAGCGGGAGTGAAACAGCAATAGGTTTTTTTATTTCATTGGGAGTCTATCAGACTTCTGTCAGTGCTTAAAGATTAAGTATCATTTTTTCTAAGAAATTACGTCTCAACATTATAAAAGTATAAACCTGGAAACATTAAATAACTATATAATATCTATAATATAATCATAAAATATTTTCAATAAATTTATTTAAATTATCCATGGAGCACACGCTTATGTCCATAACGCAGTTGGCATTATTCCTTCTACTGTGCTAGCAGCAGGCTTTAAATCTTCATTACATAAAAAATTTAATGGCAAATCGACCAAATGACCCTAAAAATAATATTAATTACGTTTATGATAAATTTAATTTCAAAATTGAAAATGCAAATTAAATAATGAAAAAGAAACCGCAACTAAATTTTTAATTAATTTTCTATATGTGTATAATAGTTATATTATAATAATATATTTTATGAGGCAATTCTCTTTTTCTTTCTCAATCTATTTTAATATAAAATATACATTACTATGATTAAATTAAAGTAAAATAATTACCTTGATGTCTTCTATCATCTCTTGCGCCAATAATGGATCGGATGAAGAGAGAGGTATTTTGTCTTGATATTGTTTCAACGTAGCAAAATTAACTACTTTGTCAGTAGGAACACATTGGAATACATCCTCATATATTTGCGTATTTTTCTTACTTCTAGCACACCATACATCCTTATAAAAAGATTTAATAAGAATATCATTGATATTAATTTCTTCCTTAGTATTCAGCAATCCCAAATGTTCGCGGAATAATTGTTTTCTCAACGAAGAAGCAAATTTGCCACAAGGAAAAGGTATATCATTCATGCGCCCATCATCAAATTCTTGATCCTGTTTATAATTATTACAAATTTATCTATTGGTGTAATTTAAAAATATATAATTACATACATACAGCATTGCATTAAATATATAAAACAATTCTTATATCATTTACAAATAAATAAATATCACAGTCGTAGAAACAATTTTTTTTGACAAAAGAAAAAAATGATTACTTGCAAAATACGTAAACACAACTCAAAATAATATTATAAACATACTTACGTGTATTATTACGGCTATTTCGCTGTCTCTCGTAGCAACCATACTTCTATCATTTATATTAGCTGAGCCACATATCACTGTATTATCATCTATTATTATTAGCTTACTGTGAACGTAGATCAGTTCTGTTACCATTGTACCATTTAACATAGAGTGAGTTCTCAGACCGTGGAATGTAATGTACTCACTAGGATCATCTATACCTGCTTCTATTAATCGATTTAAGATAGCATCCTTTCCCCTGTTGTTAAATTAAATACAAAAAGATATATGCATTATTTTTTTATTTTATACATATTTAGCCATACCTTGATATAGAAGCGTAATTCCAATGCGTTATCGCTCTTAACGCTGTTCCAGTTGGTCCTCCAACTTCGCCTTCAAATCCTGGTAATAAAGGCATTACGACAAATACTCTAAATATCGCGCCTTCTCTATGCGCTCTCAAAATTCTTTTCAACAGTGTCTCACCGATACGATTCTTCACGCCACTTTTCTCCATGGAAGCGAGCGTTATAAAAAATTGATTTTCTATGTATATATATCTACAAAATAATTAAATCAATAAAATGTGTATATATGTGTGTGTAGAAACAAGTATAGAATATAACATGTATAAAATTTACCTCTCCGCTTTGCTGATAGCGTCGATGTAGGCTTCCTGAATACTTCGTTCCACACTTTCTGGATCGAGGAAACCAGCTGACCAGGAACTCACAGATCGCAATACTTGACACTTGACGTTATACTGATTAGCTTCTTTAATAAATGGAGCATAGCTCTTACAATCTTTATACGATTTTGGCAACAAGAATGGATAACACTTATTCAGATTTGCCTTTTCTAACTACATAAGTATACTTTCATTAACAATATATATTATTTCATTAATGCATCTAAATTTAGGTGCAATTATGTGTACCTTGACGGCGTTCCAGCGTTGTATAAAGTGCCTGGCCACGTCTCTAGCAGCAGCATTTTGTACCAAAATTCCTATATCATGCCATGGCATCCTAGGAGTAGTAGTTCTATCTATGAGATCTTGATATGGTTTCTCGAGATCATTAAAGTCTTTAACAATAAAATTGGTGTAATCTTTGCCAAGCCACAATTTCGTGGTGTGTTTTAAATCACCATCAATGTTCCCTTGTACATAGAACACATTTTCCAGTTCAGTTTCCAGAGATGTAGTCATACAGTAACTAAACCATGAAGATTTTGTCATTTATTCGAAATGGATATAACTGAGGCTGCGATTATATTAAGTAGAAACGATTCATGTACCTATCTACGGTATCTTCATCGCCATACGCTTCGTGAGAACTGTAAACTATATTAATCAATTCTTGTCTCTTTGTTTTCACGCTGCTTTTCACTTTATCGACAGTTGTTTTTGCAACATCTAACAAGTTTTTTCTCTGTAGTTCAGGAGTGTTACATTTTACCTTATCCTCTTTTTGTTGCATCATAAAAAGTGACTCGTCTGCTGATATTGTTGATAATGTTAAAGCCTTTTGCGCACCACTATTCATCATCGATCTTTATAAAAATATATAAAATTAAATTTATTTTTGTTCTTATTTGTAAATTATATTTAATATTGATTATAATTAGCACTTACAATACAGGAATAGACCTCGTAGTTGCCATAGCGATAGTATTTGTTGCGATTGCTAATGATAACAACACGTGTTTCTCTGTGTTACGTGTTAGTACTTTTTTACTGCTGGTATTAGTCTGCTTGTCTTTTGAGGGAATGTAAATACTCGAGTGGTGAATGGTGTCTATAGTCAATATTAGTTATGAATAATTATTTGATATAAGAAATAACTCCAAAAAACATGCTAATATTTAGGACAAAATTTATATTAATATTTACCTAGATCTATTAATTTGTGTTCATTATTGTCCCATCTACCGTAACATAGATCAATGCCACCGAGGAATGCCAGGGACTGATCCACAACAACAATTTTTTCATGATGAGCCCATAGAAAAACACCCGCTCTTGCATGATCTGGATGTCTCAAGACTTTTATATTCTCGGGACATTGCTCCACTAGCCGCTGTTTACTATAGTAACTGTTTATACCCAAAGCTACTTCAATTTCTTTATATATCAATATGAATATCTTGACACCCTCAAGCTGTAGAAAAAAATGTTATGCAACATGAAACATATAAAACTGTCTATTAAAAATTTGCAACATTTAATTTCATAAAAATATTATCAATTATACTCACTGCTTTTCTCTGTAAAATTTTATCCAACCGCCAATAATTTCCATTAACTATCGGTCTTTTCATATGAATTTCTGGCGAAAGCCACCAGTCTGCAATAAAAATTTCTTCCTTGGCATTTTCCATTGCATCAGCTACAGCAGACATGTAATCGGCTCCGTCAACGAACCAAGTTCCCAATATCGGTGAGCGATATGGAGCGAATGAATTATGTGGATTTGTTTGTATAAAATCTTTACCTGCATTGATCAAACTAATTAGATACAGAATAGTGAGCTATTCATGATTTTCTGAAATCTTACCTTCTTTGTTACTGACTTCTTGTATAAATTCCATCCATTCTTTAGCTTTTCGTCTTGTCCAACATTTAATGACTATATGTCTACTTAAATTTGCAATTTGTATACCATTTCGTGAACCTGTAGTGTACATTCCAAAACTAATTCCAAAGCCATTATCCATTAAAATAACGGACTTTATTCTGCTATCTTTGGGGGTAAGATATGCAACAAAAGTATCTTTAACGATAAGATGTCGAGTATGCCATTTGCCACATAGAGAAGTGCAGAGATAGTTGCACTTAAAACAAAATCCGCACTCAAACAAACCACAGAAATTACATCTTGTTTTAGCACCCGAACCAGTGCGTTTCAAAATTGTACCTTCTTTTCCTTTCATTCCTAAGTCAGCCACAAAAGATAAATGTGAAATATCCAAAAAATTAATCTGTAAATAAATAAAGATAATACATTTTTCTTAGACAGATTAATTGTCACCAACATTGTGTAAATACACTTACAGTTTCAGAATGACGTCTGTAAATTTCTATATTAAGTAAATTGTTTAAATAATCCTCTAGTTCCTTTCTTCTGCAATTTAACTGTTCATAAGGCACTAGAATATCAGGCTTATTTGGAAACCTGGAAACAATTTAATTATAATTTATATTTAATCTTTCCTTTTCTTTCTCATATATATATATATATACATATATGTATGTGTGTGTGTGTGTATGTGTGTCAGTTATATCAAATTGTAACTTATACCTTGGTAAAGCATTTCGTCTACTTTTTCTGCTGTCAGTTCCAAGATGTTTTAAACTGTTCCTTTTTTCCCTGTGGCTCTTTGTAGGAAAAGGTATATTCAAACTAGCACGATATATTTTCAACTGATTATGCAAATATTGAATATGTTTGTATCGCTTTCTAATACTCCAAACAAAAGGTCCATGTCTAAATTCTATTGTATATAAATTTGGATTTACTGGATGTGTGGTCACACTACGTTCATTATCTACGATTCTCACATGTACTTCTTCATCAGGAATAAATACATTATAGTTTTGATACTTAGATTTTGTCGGTGGGTTGTGTATAACAGTGAATGGTATTACATCAAGAGTTTCTAATAACGTAACAAAAAAAATAAAATTAACAAAAGTTTGTAAATGAATTAAACTTATAAAAATGAAAGAAAAGAGTATGACCTCAATTAATAATATAACTTAAGAATGTAACTTTTATATAAATTTGAAGGATACTAATAAATAACTAGCTTTCTAATAAACATAATAATATAATAAGCAGACAAAAACTGATGAATATTAGATTTGAAGAAATAAAGTTCATTATAAAAGTATGTGATGCGTGTTATATGGAACAGATAATTAAGTGTAAAGAAGATTTATACCTTTATTATCTATGCATTCTGTTTCTTCCTTACAAACTTGTATTGTCTCACCATTTTCATCAATTGTTATCTCTAATGAGTCAGGTACTTCCAAAGCATCATCAAATTCTGATTCTTGAGAGATTGTACATGCTATTTTAGGTACACAGGATGGAACATCAGTCAATTCAGTCAATTCAGTCAATTCAGACATCTTAGTGAATTTTCTGTAAAGTTATTTTTATGATATGTTTAGACAATTTATAAATATATTTTATCTAAGTATTATTAATAAAGTATGCAGTAATGACAAGAATATAAAACTTTAATTTAGAGCCAATGCATCCACATGAAATTTTAAATATAAAAATAATTTCATTTAATTTTCTCACACACACAAGAAGCAATATTAATTATTAAGATCACATCATTGTTATATTAATATTAAAATTTGACATTTTACAAACTGTTTTTCTAAATCACAAATTCTTATTTGAGTTCTTTACTGTAACTATTAATAATTTCTATCATTTTATTATTACTGTTATTACACTAATTATTCGAAAAAGTACATAATATATAATATCTATCTTATTTCCAAGATAAAGGATAATCTACGTCGAATGTTTTGCCCAGTACACAATTCTAGCCTAAAAAAACGTTCTCTATATTCTGCTGGTATATCCTATATATAATATCGAATTTACTTTAATAAACACACAATACATTATTATAATAACAAAGAACTGTCACTGTCTTGTGCGGATACGCAATTCAAATGACACTTGTCACAATTACTACTGGCCATTACACGACGTAACGCGGCGATCTGTCACGGTGAACGTTTATTCATCGCGATGACTGCATGGTAACTCCTTCGTACACTCGGAGCCAAATACATATGTCTTATCTCGGAAATTTGATAGATCGAGTTGACTGAGCTACATTTAAATAATCATGCAAATTATGACTACTGACATTTCTAATCGTTTATCCCTTAATCTTTACACGTAAGATTACTATCACATTACTAAAATTATCAAAAACACGTGATAATAATCCTGAGTCACGTCAATGTCTGACATCGAACGTGAAGTCAGGCACTGACGTCGAGTGTACCAACGTGCAACATTATTCACCATCGATAGATCTATTCTTTTTAGGTCTAACTGCGCTTTCTTGCACCTCGCACATTTAAAATGAAACAGTTGTGCTGCCGAGCACCGACAGAAGAGAGAAAAACGAAGAGACCGTAGAAAAAGGTGTAAATACCGCAAAAAACAGCAGTTGTAATATACCAGTACAAATTCAATGAGTTTAATTATCGAATTTATCCTGATGTTATCCTGATGTTCTATATATATGTCACATTTTTAATCCCGCAGAAATATACTGTGGCATATTGTAAAAATTAAAAAAAGTAAAATTTGAATGGTGATCGGACTGACTAATCATAGCCATGGATTTTAACACGGCAACTTGTACATCGATAATTTTCACGATTTATTCGATTTATTCGATTAGTCGATTTATTTAATGCTTAGCTTTTAGTGCTTATGTTCATGGCGTGACATTAGCTCCATCAAATGGGGTAATGAGAAATCGTTCGACTTTCCACTTCCCTTAATGTTGCATTTTCAAACAAAAGTGGAGCACGTACTTCGTTTCTCGTTGTGTTAATATCCAATATTAGCGTGGACGGATACATCGCGAAAGTGATTGGATCGCGCGTGTCATTTTCTCTGTGTTTTAAACAACTTTCAATAAAATCGACCGACGATCACGCGTTATCGGCCCCATAGCGATCTATTTCACGATATGGATGTCAAGGAGAAAGCGATATACCGTGATGTGCACGATTTCCTATCGCAGACGTTCTTCGTTCTTCGTATAATCGTATATCGGTATGCGATTGTTCACAAGCCAATTACACGTATTTATTTCGTAGTGTAGCAATCGTAGAGTTCATGATCGGTAAATAGATATGATGGTTAGTTGCACCTCCTCTGAATGTACTATCTTATCTCTCTTGCTCTTTTTACCGCGAGACAAACTACGCATTTGTTCTTTTTTTTTAGTTTATCTTTCTTTTATCTTAGTTACAAAAGATATGAGAAAATACAGCTAGAAAAAATGTAATAATATAAATGGAATATTTTGACATGTTACAAAATTTTTCCTTAAATTATTTATTTCTTATACATATACGTGTAATTTAACTTTCAATAATTAACGTAATTTAATTTTTATAATTCAATTTCTATCAAAATTACAAGACATTAGAATACACAATAAGTGATCCTATGAGTTTCTTAATTAGAAACAACCCAGATAGCACAAAATCTTCAGAGGACATTCTAGGATGTTCTTAGGATATATGAATGTCCTTAAAACGTCTTTTGAAGATTTGTGCTCTGTATGGGAAATTAGTTTCGTAAATACTACTTGCCTATTGGACATTAGAGAATAAAATTTTGTTTATATATGAATGTATATATTTTTTTGCATATAGACATCGCGATCGTATCAAAGACCAATAATGGATCAATAGTACCATGGACAGGATTGTCATGTTCAAAACTGGTATGTAATTATAAATGCAAATTTATATCCGCATTTTTTGTACATTGTAGCTGCAAATTAGACACAAATATCGCCTGACGACTACGTATGATAGTTCAAATAATAATACTAAAAAAACCGGTATAAGGTTTCTGTATAAATTAGGTGAATGTTTCAGAAAAAAACTTCACTTCAAGGGAGTTTACTTTTCGACCTTCCTGTGTATCATTCGATCTTATTTCGCAACTCGGATCCTTTCTCTTTAATTTGCGATCGCGGATCTCCTTTTCATTTTTCTGGCTTTATGCCTGAATTTACATCACTCCACGCATAAATCCATGCATTAAAGATTAAAATGAAGTTACAAAGATTGATATGCCATTTCGTAAGAAATAGCTCGAGGCTCTTTTTGTGCGAACATTCTATGGTGAGCTAGTTCTGATCCGCCAACGAGTTTGAGCGATTAAAAAATCTGATACATGAATCGTTGATGAGTCAATATTGTTTAATACTTTTATAGAGATTACGTGTGTTACTTGCGCGGACTAAAGTACTGATTTACGCCGTAACTGCAAATTGCATTGTAACTGCATCTTTTCAATCACTTCGAATATACAAAGTAAATTTCGAGTTGACTTAAATATTGTAAAAAGTCAAAGCCTTCTTCAAAGTTTGGAGATTGTCTCTCTTTGTGCATTTCTTGATATTAACGAAATTTATTTCCAATGTTTTTCTTTTTATCTATCTTCACTTTAGACAATATTGTACTCTATTTTGTAAACATACTTTTTATATATCTGAAGGAATATTAGGCCGGCGGCACATAGAAAAGCATAAGCAATAAAACTTAAGCAGTACGCAAATTGATCAGTTACCGCCAATGATTTTTCTTACCGCCCAAGAATAATTGATTGTGATTAGTCAATTTTCTTACTGTTTACGTTTTTCTGCATGCCATTCGTTTTTTACCCCACACATTGGATTTAAATATATCTATCTATCTGTCTACATATACATCTGTTACTAGCAATTTTTCACGACTTTCAACATGCTCGAGATACATCCTCGATTTTGCAGATTCTCCAAGATTTTCAAGAAAAGCGTCTCGTGCATACGCGAGACACTTTCGTAGAGTAGCGTCAACTGTCTTGTTCTGGTTGTTTAATATTTTTTTCATTAGTAACGGTAGCGACGGCAATGGCGACAGTGATGGCAATGACGATAGGTAGTGACAGCGGTGGTGGTGGTGATGATGGTGGTGGTGACGGTGGTGGTGGCGGCAATCGTGGTGGTGGTTCTACATTCGGGCGAAAGGGAAAATGTGGTCGGTTGAACGGTTCTTTTTTCTCCCCTGTTGGCGACCGGGATTTTTGACACGGCCGGCCATTCGAACGACTTGCATTTGGTCTCGGAGCATTCTACCGAACGTTGTCCTGCGCCGTTAGTGCTGCGAACGCGCGAAAAATCGGCGCGTTACGAAGATGCGTCACGTGCATCGTCGTACCTGATCAACCTGTCGTTTTCGCCCGTTCGACATCATCACGTGCGTCCTGTGCCGATATTGCCGATTTTGCTGACCAGTGCGCTTGCCGTCGCGACTTTCGCGTTCGAAAGTCTCCTCTATTCCGCCGCGGGTCCGACGAAATCTCGACCGAAAAGCAAAGTGTCCAGCAGCACGCTCTGAAACATCGCTATTCGTCCGTTACGCCGGCTCGCTCAAGTTTCTCCGTTTAATCCGTTATCGGGGAAAGTATTACGGATCGCCGGGACAAGTTGTGCTGTGGTGACTTGAAATGAGACATAGGATTAGACGAGACTGAGTAGTAGCAAGGTGAGCTTTGCCGAAACGGCCAATTGTCAAAACTCCCGGTCGGACTTCGATTTTCAAAAGACCGCCGGTCTTGCGTCGACGCAGCATCGAGAAACCGTTCAGTCACGATCATTAGAGGTGATTATGCGAGAACGAGACAGCATTGAAAGATTCGCATGTACACTTGCACCTTGCAGTTTCCAACAATTGCAGCCGTTGCAGGTTGATTTCTGTTCGTGCGTCAATCGCGAGACGTGGCCCAGAAGCGCGTGTAGCATTAACGGACCAGACTCGGAATTAACTGACCGTTCCTCGTCGACACTCAACTCGGCAGACCACTTTCACGTGCGCGAGTCGCCAGATATACGATCTCCGTTTCTTACGTAAAACTCGGGCACCCGTGTAATCATAATCGAACGTGATCGTTCCAAACGTCAAAAATTTCTCACTTCGTCCTTCTGCCAGCTTTTTTCCGCGCAATTCTCTTTGTTTAAAGCCGCCGACGTCGTTACTCAAACAATCTCTTGCGAAATTGATTCTTCCCGCAATATTTTAATTATCTTTGCACATCTGCAAATAATGCCGTTTCGATGGAAACACCTGCAACGATGGACTTCTGCTTCTTTATGTAAAATAAAAAAAGAACTTCTTTCTCTGTTTCTGTACATAAAATGACTTTTCTTACGAATACTTTTAACGTGTAAACGGTTAGGTATCGAGTAGGCTACATTCCTTGTAGATTTTGCATGTGACAGAGTAACGTTCTTCAGATAACTTAATACACAGCGTTGATCGTGCTGATCGCACGAGGAGAATTTACTTTCTATCAGTACGTAACTCGAATAGACAACTACGAATAGATGCTGTGAAAATTGAAAGCCGATGTCGTCGTTACGAAACGCACTTGGTTAATTATACGTATAATTACGTGACTCTAACATGCGTGCTTAAAATTATTGCTTCATTGACATTCTCGATCCTTCTTTTTTCCAAGATTCTACTATTCGCAAATATTCTATCGCTGTGAAAAACTTTTTAATATGGGACAGACATTTGCGGGAGATCTACGTTACTGCTTTTATTTTTTATTTCTCGTCGCAGTACTGTACTTTGAGCAAAGATCGTAAAGAGATACAGATTCGTAATACGCTTCGGCAATTTGTCGTGCATTCCCGCGGAACTGAATGAATCGAATGAATCGGCAAACGTCACGAATCGGAGTAACTGGTTGATCGGTTGCTCGATATCGATCTTCTCGTCTGCTTCCATTCATCTGCGCGTCTACGATCGGCGTGAACGCATCGCGATATCCGTATCGTAAATTAAGGAAAGCGAGTGTCGAAATATTCCGCGCGTTGCAGCTCGACGTAGAGGTCGATTACACCGGCGCTTTGTGACGAATAAGTTCTTTCTCGTGACGCAACGGATTATAGACGTAACGGATTTTCACGAGCTGCGCGAGTATTGTACGCGGTTTTTCATGGAAACCAGGCGAGTCAGAATGTTTGCAATACGCTACTCTTTCGAAGAGAATGAACAACGCAGCCGATAGAGACTAACAACCGGCAAGAGTAAAAGTAAATTTGAGCAGTGCAGGCAATTGGCCTGCGTTTGGTCTACCTGCGCATATATTAACTGACCCGAGTATACTCGGTGTGCACATTGGAAAGCGCCTGTTCCGCATGACTGTGAGGCTTAGTTGCGTCGGAATCGAAATTCCCTCCTGTCCCGCCACGCGCTTGGAAAAAGATCCAATTGATCTCTTTGTTTTTTCAGAATGACACGGACGTTTTCGTTGGGCCTGGTGGTGGCGTTGCTGCTGGCGCTCGCTATTACCGAAGCCTCTCGTGGACGGGCTAATCAGGTAACGATCATTGAAGTACACAGCGGTAAATTTACAGAGAGAGAGATTATCGACGTTTATCCGATTATTCTTTCGATTTTCTCTCCGCGCGGACGGACAAACGATTCCGTCAAAACTGTGCAATGGCACGTTACTGTTGTACAGTCGAAAGGGAAATCTTTTCGCGTGACAATTGACAAAAGAAATGCAGAAACACAGGTAATGCAAAAATGAAACGATTGGGGCGCGTACATGGATTACTTTGTGCATTTTCTCGAAGGACATGCACGAGTTTGCCGAGCTCCTTTTCCTGTGCATCGCGTGGAACGTGTTCTATAACGCAAATCTGAAATTATAGCAGAAAAAGACAGCCTTATAAGTTATTACTTATAGTTCTTTTTTTTTATGAAATAACGTACGAGACAGGTACTCGAAGACAGGCGAGATCCGTTTTACACAGGTTTTGTGTCAAGGATGCGTAATTAATGTTAGCGTTTACGACATTGCAACGCGCTGATTTTCTTTCCTCCTGTTTTTTCTCTCTTTCTCTCTCTTTTTTGCACGAAGGCCATCGACCCAGCGGAACGAGTCGATTCGTATTATTCGACTAAATCGCGCAAGTGAAGTTGTGCGCGGTGCACGCAGTAATTAGAGACGGAGAAAGGAAGTGCTTCTTCACGATGATTATTCAAACAACATCGGAATTTTCGCATTCCGAATACCTCATGATCGAGTGATATATTTTATTCTTTTACTCGATTGTCAACTAAATCGCGCTTCATTATGCTCGTCGACCGAGTCGTTTCGTTGCTCTCGATTTCACTGACGGGGAAGTCAGTGTTACAGACTTTATTTCGATGATATATCATATCGAGACAATTGCAATTGCGTCACATTTATCAAACGCATACATAGTAAAGAGTTCGCGCCCATTCAAGTGTTGAGACGCTGTGCGATACGACGTGTAACATACACAGCATAGAACGCATATATAAATGGAGTGAGAGGGTAAGAAGAAAAAAAAAACAGATCGCAAGTTTGCATGAACCACGCCTAGTACTGCACCGTTCGCTTTTAGCGAACGATATATACCGCGTGACCAAAAATAATTTTCCCGTGTTTACTCTGTTTGTGTTTTCGAAAAATCAATTTGTTTATTTTATAGCTCGATTGATTTTGTGGCCGAGCAAATGTATCGCAGTTCCTCTCGTGGTATTCGCAACGTATTGAATTCCGCTGCAGGCTTTCAGGCTAACTGAAGCGATTCAAGTCGACGGAGAAAAACGGAATAACGGGAATAACGAGTGACGCAACGACGGATAACACTTTGATTGAAACAACAAACTAGTTGAACATTTATTCAGCTATAATGATTCAGTCTGGGGGTCGAAACCCTAGTCGGATAATGTCTCTTTCGCATTTGCATTCGCGACCAAAGTAACGCGTATTCCTATGCTGAGAGAAATTGTCCGATAAAGAATTATCAAGCCGATATTTTCGAACAAATTCTAATCAATTTTTGTATCTGATTAAGATGTTCAATTAAATTTAATCGGACGTTTCCGATCATAATGGCATATCATCAGATATGCCAATCAAAAAGTAAGAACCGACGTTTCTCATCGGATGTTTCCTGACCAGATATAACAATTTATCACTATTTAATCGGAAATATCCGTTTGGTAACTTTTATCGGATTTCTCTCCTACTCCGCGATAAATGTGTAAGCGTATGGTTCACCGTTCTGCACACCGGCGATCGTGGACTTAATGGAAGTAACAGGGAGATGATTTTCTTATCGATTTAATGACGCTTTACGTAAGGACAAAACTGCATCTCTCATTTCAGGACAATTTTTTTTTTATTGCTGTATAAATGAACGACTCTTTAAAAAGAGGCCATCGCGGCACTCGCCGCGTGTCTTTGATTTCTTCATAATCGCGGACGATTTGTAACAGTGGTATAAAGATCGGTCTCTGATCTGATGATTTGTAAATCATCCCGACGGAAATCGGTGCATGGTTCAAGGCAGACGCCTCTTACCACGCAATGCGCAATATCCTCTGGTTTTGATTCTCAAAGAGTTACGATTTAACATATAAAACTTACCGCCAGGCGTAAAGAAATTGTCTCAATTGTGTTCACATTCAGCCAAACGTAATTCTCATACATTCAAAGGAAAATATGGTAATGACAACTGTACAAGTTCAGTATGGTTAGAGTTATATAATGCGTATATAGTATATAGTTTAATGAACCATTTTGTAGTTATTGTAACTGAAGCTTTAGTTGCAATAACTATATAAAATAGTCCATTAAACTATATACATCAATCCCACGCACAAAACTCGTATAAGTATCACCTATATATTTGCCATCAAAGCGTCTTTTTCTCCGAATGTATGTTCGCAGTTATCCGACAATTTACACTCAAAAAAACGATCTTGCAGTTATAATGAAAATTATGAGAAATTAATTAAAGCAGGTAAATGACTATCGAAAAATTCTATATATCGCATATGTTTTGCATTTCATTAATATAGACAGAGACAGAATTTCTACTCGAACTATCGCGAAATTTAGTAAGAAAGTCCCTCTGTGTGTGTAACGCTCATCCAGATTAAAGTCAATCATGCTTTTTATCAAATTTGATCAAAAAATTAACGACGGGAGACAAACGAATTTTCACATCTAAATTTTCTAACAGATAAAAGAAACAGTGATAAATTTTGGTTGTGACATTTACAATTCTAGTTCGAACAGCAAAACATTTGTTGAGTGTAATGCGTTGAGGTTTGCTTTTACCTTGAATGATAAAAATTATTACTCATATTATGCGAGCGCGATCGAAGGGATATCTATTGACAAACGCAACACGCCCGGTTGTGTGCGAAACTCCACGCACTACGTCAATCCTGCTTGATTCCTTTTGCCAAAGTAACGCCTTGTAAATTGCAATGCATGTCTCGCTGTCCTCGATCAATCTACGTGCATATCTCGATTGGCTCGTGCGCATACGCATGTACCCAACATGAATTGCGTATCGCGCAAAACGCACGCTCGCGGCTCGATGATGTTTCACGCGTGTATATTTGTACATGCGCGTCGATTAGTGTGCAAGTCGCAGACGGATGTAGCGCATTGCACAAGCGTGCGCAAGTGCGATCTAAATCAGGTTTTCCATTGGAGAAAGCGCTTCTTCTGCATCGTCCGCTTCAGCGGACTTCCTGAAATCCGTTACATCTTCTCTACCCTTTTGACCGTTATAAATTATTTTTTAAATGGCCACTTAGGCCACTTTTCCTCTCCAGAGCATCGTAGGGGATTTTTATGAAACTAACAATTACATAATAAACAGCTGCTATGATATTCGTGGTGCTTATAAATCGGAATTTCAGGATAAAAGAACGTGAATAGCCCAGATAGCACAGAGAGTTAAAAAAGAATTCAGTCGTATGTCACCAATTCTGCGTTTATTTTTAAATACAAAAAGAAAGAACTTTTTTTCACTAAACTGAACTTTGAAGAATTCTTTTTGCATCTGAAAATGAACTCATAATTGGTGACGTACGACTGAATTCTTTTTGAATTCTCTGTGCTATCTGGATAATGAATTTCTTGAGAATTAAGACCTCGTATTTGGAATTGACTTGATGAAGTTAAATAATACTTCATATTGTCAACAACAATACAATTATTGCGTATTATATCTGCTCAAATAGCACAAAATACTCCAGAATTATTCTAGGATCATTCTAAATGTCTATGAAGTTCCCCAAGATGTCCTGGACTGCGTTCTTATGCGGTGAGTAACATTCAATTAACCAATCATGATAAAAAAATCTTAGTTCTCTTTGTTTTGATTGGTCAATTAGATGCTACTCTACCCGTCGAGTAGAGTTTTGGAAGGCAGCCCTGAACACACCTAGAATGTCCTCAGGATATCTTATGCTATCTGGGCGAATCTATCCACTATTTCCTAAGACGTTTGCATTTTTTTGAGTATTCTCGTATTGTTAATCCGACGATAACGTAACGGTATTTAGTATAAGCTACGTCTACACATTTTAAATTAATTATTAGTGACTCACTTGTTCGAAGTACATGGAAACCTAAGGCTGATTGTAGCACATGATAGTTACAATAGAGTGTAACAAAGGTTTTCTCAGTCGCCTCTGTATCTATTGCGTTAAAAGGATGATATGTGATCTAATATTCCTCATTAATAGTGGGAACGAGGATTTATTGTTCTCAGCTGAATCTGTTTTCTGAGAAACGAGGGATAAAAAATTCAACTCGAGAAACAAAGAATTCAACTCATTGAAATATGTACAATTAACCAATTTTTGTTGTATAACCGATTCTATAATTTTTCACATTTGGTGTCAATTGAGTTATCTTGGGTGCAAAATTATGTATTAAGATGGAAGCTTAAATGTCAGCTTATGTATAAAGAGGCTAAATTATGTATAAAGATGGAATGCATCGGTGGAATTAATTCAGCGAAGGTGAACGCCACCCAAATTCCGAATGAAATAGCCAATAAATTTCGCAAATACTTCGCGAAATATTCGGGCGTTGTTAACACTTTTTTCTAGAATGTTGAAACCGTGAAAGATGAGCTTTCTCTTTTGCGACCTTTTCAATAGTTGTTTCCGCATTTCACTAAACCATTTCTAAAATGCATAAAGTCGAGATTTCGGACGTGCTGAGGTTCGAGATTACGTTAATTTTATCGAATCAATTTAAGGTGTATGATAATTGACTCGCGAAAGGTCAAAAGTTAAAAGCGAAATTCGCTCGACTCGTTATTTATGTAATACTTGTAATATTTGCGTATGCGCGAGTGTTCTTCAGTTGTCACTTGATCTTAGTCGTATGTTGCGAAAGATATTAGCTTATACCGCGCTGTTTAAACTTCTCATACAAAAGGAACATTTGATTTTATATTCGCATTTATGTCAGGAGTTTATGGAGGAGCAAGAAGCTCCTTCGAAAGTATCATTGACATAGACATTTGCTTTCTACGTTTATTAATTCAAAGCCAGCTCAGATCGGAGATGTATTGAGTGCGTAATCGCATCACAATAAGCTCCTTCGTTCCGTTATTGCCGTCGCTGCAGGATAATATAAAGAGCACGAAAGTATGGGTGAAAGTGATGATTCTTAAATAATCGCTAGCATAAACTACTTGTACTTTAATTTCGCGACGGCGGGGCCACACCCTTCAAAACTGGCTCATTCGAACCAGTTTTTTTGAGGTCACGCTTACATACGCGTTGCACGATATCCGCAGCACAAACAAAGATATCTGACAAAATAATGACTCACAAAGAAGCCTCTTAATGTCTATTCGTACAACGAGTGAAGAAATTATTCAAAATTACTCGAATATTCTCATTCTCTCGGTTAGTTTTACACAAGAAAAAAAGCCGCCGTCGGATGTGTCGAAAATAAAGTGAGAAAACGTCGAGTTTTTATAGTTATTATCAGTCCATTGGATACGAGGATCTTCAATGTTGCTTTTATTACCTACAGAAATATGGTATTTTGGAAGACCATTTTGCGCGAACTGGCACAAATTAATAAATAACTAATTGAATATAATATCGCTGATATGGATTCCCCATCAAGTTTCGCGACAAGGACAATGCGCCCGGACGTCGGACGTAGTAGACTCTCTCGATTCAACGGTACAGAAGCAGTCCACCTTCGGGGAGAGCGGAGCGAACCTCTCACCTGTCCGAAGTACTTTTCCAATAATTTGCACGGCATTACAAGCGTCCATATCTCGATAAAACATAGCAATGCCGAGTGCGTGGTGGATCGATTGCGGAATTTCGAGCATTACTCGAATATATGGTTTCGCAAAGCGAAGTCAGGCATTCCAATATAATTTCGCTTCTTACTTTAACAAAATCAACTTTTTTATCGCGTGATTTGTTACACGCGTTGTCTGTTATTCGTTAGATATTTTGGATATTGTCGCGCCTCGTTTTCTTTTTACTATTTCTTCAGACTTCTTGTTCTGCCGTTTCTTGTTTAAACGAATGCTTTAACAATACTTTCACCTTCTCGTGCGAGATATTGCGAGTCGTGAAATTCGCGTATTGTTCTCGAAGTGTGCGTCATTCTAAAATCTCTCTAGTCTCGATCACACACGACTCCGAGCGGACTAGCTTAGGTTCGCAACGATTCTCTTTTAGCGACATGCCTTAGGTAGCAAGCGCGCCGTGACGTTATATGCCGACTTTTACTTTCAATATCGATTGTACGACGACTAAACGTGGCTCGGACAGATCGTAAACGAAACTGGAACGCGTACTGGTGCGCCACGAGCCACGCAGGGCCCTGCGGTTCTACTAGGATATAACAGATTCGAATTCCAATTCGCGCAAACAGGATGTACACACGTGGGGCACACGTGAAATCGAATTAGATAATGTCCCCGTTCGGGGTATTGACAACGTCCACGCTTTACCTGTCGATCACACGAGATTGTTGTCGTCAGCTGCGCGAAGAGAGCGCGAGAAAAATATCGAACGGGAGGAGTGTGCGCACGCTAGAGTCATTTTCCTGTAAGCGTCGGCGGGTCAATGCAGTCACGAATGTTTTAATGCTGCTCGTTAACGCTGACGGTGAAGGTATAATCCGCGACAAGTACGGTTTACTTCGCCGTAACAACTGGAGCCGCGATTAATAGGAAACGCTGGGCGTCATTATCAACGACAACCGACCGGTCGGTCGGTCGTTCGATCGGTCCGCCGAGCTATCGAGATTACCGCTGATTACCACTTGCGTTAATCGCAATTTCAGAGGATTCTCTCAATCGCGTAATTGGAGTCTTTTCGCGATTTCGCCAGGTATAGCATCTTCGCAATCGAGTCGCCGCGTATCGCCATACCTGCTTTTTCGTTGAACCCTCGCGGAGTACAGTGTTAATTTCCGTATCGAGGATCGCAGATTGCTACTTCCTGGATGGTCGATAATGGAGCAATTATCGTTATCTAGTTCTCCAGCCACTGCTCATCGATCGCTGTGAACGCAACTTTTAAGTAAAACGTCTTGCGATCTCGATCACTTTATGCGACACGTAACTTTATACACTGAGAGAAATTGTCTAAAGGAAATACCTAAAGAATAAAAAATATTTATCTAGTGGATATACGAAAAAATATTATAATTTTCTTCTCATGTCTTGTCTTAATTATATATTTTAGTTACTAAAATATAAGCAGCATATATGAAGTGAAAGGATAATGAATTAGTGCAGAATGTCGATTTACTCCTTGGTTGCAAAGTCTTACAGTAATTTTTACTATGAAGTTCTCTCTGTATATTAAAGACATATTTACTTATACTAATATATATATATATATATATATATATATATATATTTTTTTTTACATTGTAAAAGAATTGTTTCCAAATGGAGAAATATGCATTCTTTGAAAACCGTAGCTTTTCATGAAAGCAACTGTTAATTCTATTTAAATGAACGAATTTATATTTAACTAAATATGTTATTACCCGCCGAAACAATATTTATTACTTTTTCTCTTAGTACACTCAGTACACTCAGTATAGTACATTCAGTACACTCAGTACACTCTCTGACATTATAAGGATGCATTCTAAAAATTAGTGTCTTTTAATGTGTTCGAATTATCGACTATTGTCTGAACGCACATAGTTAAAGGTCCTCTATGATTAGACAAAGGTGTGGCCCGCCTTGTCTCAACCTAACTAGCTGCGATAAATTATTAAAAACACGCGATACCGCTATATGATTTCAGACGGACGGGCAGAAAGGACAGAGTCGCGGTAGCACGCGATTCTATTTACAAACGACGACAGAATCGGATAATTTCCCCGCATCGTCGACTGAAGCGTCGAAGCCGCATCAGGATAAAAGTACCCGCTCGGAATCGATTCCCGACTTAAAGAAACACGAGTCACATGTCACGAGAGAAAGTTCGATTGGACCACGATCGAAACCGAAGCCGTCGAAAACGACAGGTGGTTCCGCGGAAATTACGCCACGAACGAATGCAAGACATTTCAACTCCGATCTCGCTAATTCACGAAATCGATCAAAATCGCATACCTCGCAGTTTCCCAAGGAAGACGTAACGAAAGGTAGGCGGGATGGCAATCAAGAAAACGCGTTCGAGTTGCAAATGCCGAAACGGCAGACAGCTTCGCGAAGAACGTCTTCGGAGGCGCCTACTCCTGTTCTGGAAAACAATGGGAAACTGGAACTCGAGGTGTTGACGAAATCGCCCAGTCGATCGAGATCACGCACGGGAAGGAAGATCTATACGAACTACAACGAGAAGGAACTAAACAGCCAAGCATCACGCTCCAGGAGACTCCCCGTTAAGAACGCCGAGGATAGCAAGAGTCCGAGTGATGAATCTAAAAACAGGGATGCGAAATTACAGTCAGAACGTTCGAGAAAATTTGCAGAAACCATGGAGAACATCGCTTCGAAAGGGAACGTTCATCTGGCCTCGAGAAGGATGGACACGACGAACCCGAACAATTCGAATGATCGGAATAATAATAGCGACGGAAAAATCGGGGAACAAGATCTTCCGCTGTCGGGCTCCGAGAGCGTCAGGGTAAACATCCCTCTGTCGGAGGTCCGGGATGATACAAACGCCGTTTCTAATACTTCAACGTCCACCACGACCTTGTCTGTCAACATGTCTCCGAGACAAGTCGCCAGACCGGTTAAGGAGAAGGTGGACAACAACGATATCACGAGATCGAGCGCAAAGAAGAGCAGACAGTCTGACCGATCCAAATCACGTGGCAGATCCAAGTCCGTGAAAAATCATGATTTCGAGGCGACGAGTCCCGGTAACACCTCTCGTAAACGAGGCTCGTCCACGGCGGCAATCGCGGAGACGAACGGACGATCTTCCAACATCAGAGGCAGATCTAAGGCGAAGAGCTCCAACTCCCGGGGCCGTCCCGCGCCGAAATCTAGGGACACCGCGACGGAGGCGAGAAGTGGCGGAAGTAGAGGCAGAAACGCGGATGTCGATCTCGGGACGAGCGCGAATGCGCAGACGGAGGCACGACGTAGCTCACCCAACGACAGACGCATATCCGAGGCGAAACGCAGGTCCGGCGACAGCAGGTCGACGAAATTTACGGAGACGAGAACGGAGGAGCGAGACGTTCGGGCGCAATCCAGAGCTCGGTCACGCGTTGTCAGTGGCCAAGGTAAGTTCGATCCCTCGATCGGATGTTCAGCGTTGCTGCTTAACATGGTCGCGGTTCCGCCATTCATCTGATAAATCGTCTGTCACAAAGACACGGATTTAATTCGATATTTTAAGCTTTTGTGGTGTGATGGACTACCTGGTCTGGCTTCCGGGTTGGTGCCGACAGTCTTAGGTCATTTCTCTACTGAAGGAGTCTCCTGAAGAACTGAAATATTCACGAAACATCCGAAAAAAATCCATGAAAGACGCGACATCAACCAAGCGGAAACCAGACCAAGCAGGCTTAATTTGTTTGCGCGAATATAGAATGAAAGATCATTGCTGCAACGAATGATTTCAACTTCTCGTGAGAATCAATGCGTCATATGTGTGTGACGCGTGGTTAGCGAATGTGTTAATAGTGAATTCAAAACGCGTCAAATAGCTCGCGAACACTAAAAAAATATTTTGCTGACCCAGATAGAATTCTATTCATACATGACACAGGTAAAATTATCGCTGTTTTTTGTATCTGCTGGGAAATTGTCTGTGGTACGCAGAATTAGCACGTTGCAGCAACATTCCAGCAATAGCTGCAGACAAGATTAAGTCCCGTTATTAATTATCAACCTGGCCTTAATCTGAATGGGCTTCGCAGAGAGATTTTTTTGTTAAATTTAGCAAACAACAATAGTCCAGATATAAATACTGTCTCTGTCATTCATATTAATTAAATATAAAACATGCGCGATATTACAGTGTTTGCTAATCATTATTCTATCTTAGCTAATTTCTCGCATCTAAATAATTCTCGCTATGACTGCGAGATCTCTTTTTGAGTGAATACTCATTCCGTATGAAACCCTAATCCGATATCTGATAGAAAGATTCATCAAAATCGCACGCATTATTCCCAGATGTTACCACCGCGTATATACCAAAAGCGACGGCCGCCGAAACTACGACCGCTTCTTCTGCGGCCACAGAAGTTACGACATCCAGTTCCATCTCCTCGATGATCAGAACGCCGGCGGCTGCTCGAACGTCCACGACCGATCGAATATCTCGTAGCAAAGTAAGGGACAGGGGAGAAAGTGCCCGATCCAAGAAGCCTTCCAAGGAGGATTTCTTTAATCACGGTCTGGGCTTTCGCGGTCGAAAGAGCTCAACCGAAGGACCCTCCTCGAGTGTTGCGGATTTGAAAACCACTACGCCAAAAAGCGAGACTCAATTACACGGCAATCCCGGATGGACTCTTAGACGACGACCTGGTCACGTCAATCACGATGTTTCATCGACTACCTCTACACCAATTAATCGCGACCAGGTCAATGAAGTCATTTCGCCCAGTGATTCACCGAGGAGCACATCAGAAGCGCCGTTAAGCAATGCGAAAGCCAGCAGAAGAGGCACCAAAAGGCCAAAAGCGAAAGAGGAGAGCAATATCGTGTCGGGCGTTGCGGCAAAGAACGTGATGAGGGGTAGCAAAACGTTCGAAAAATCGAAAAATTTCGATCTACCTAGTAGAGTACAGCAGGAGGAGAGCGACAACTATCCCCCTGCATTCAAGGCAAGGCTGTCTCAACTGGTGAGAACTTGCTGGCGCTTAAACAGCGTTTACACTTTTATTAGAGAAATCTCTTATTGTTATTAGATTTGGTTTCCGGGTTTGAGCCGCGTGGATTTTTCTTTGTTTGATTCCGACATTTTGCGAACATTTCAGTCTGCTTCATCAGGGAGGAACGACCCGATACCCTTTTATTGTTATTTTTATTGTTTTTTTTTGCAACATATATTCTTGAAACATATCTTCTTGGTGAATTTATATCAGGATGGGAACAAACGATTTATCCTAACCAGCACGATGAAATGTTACATGCATTTAAAAATTTCTCTTTCCAACCTTTTGCAAATATTCTACTAAAGTTGCGTACTTTTAAAGCGAATTATAACGGTCGCTATGAGTAACACCGTTACGCCGAAAGAATTCGCGAATAAAACAGGCGCTGAAATATGTATTTCCAGAAAAATTCCAACCCGAAACCCACCGAAGCAAAAAGCCTAACTAGAACCAGTTCCCAGGTAAGCCGAGCAATAATTAACATACTTATTTGTTAGATAAACTAATACGTACGTTTAACATATTAACAACTCTTAACATTCGTATGCATCCTACCTCTTTCAGTTGAAACCATTTGTATAGACATCTGAGTTTGTAGATATTAAGAATTACCGAGATTACTTAGCATGAAATAGTAGTTGGTTGTCGAGTTTTTTCATTGAGCCTGCATAAGTATATGAAGGCTAATGTAACATGACACATGAATGTCAAGTCGATTAATATGGTGGAGATTTTCCTTCGACCCATACATGTACAATTCTTATACATATGTATAAAGCTTAAAATGTCGTCCACGTAGGAGCATTCGAGGGATACATTCCGTCGGCATATACGGTCCAGCACGAATCCGCATGTATCCGAAAAAATCGAGACCGTGGGAAATACGTTCGCGACAGATGTATTCTTAGACGTCGTTCCTACGAACCCCTTAACTTCGATATCCGACCCACACACGCGACACGTAAGAACATAACGGAACTTCCATCGGGTTTATAACAGCAGGTTGAGATTTTCACGCACTAATTGGATAATCGCTTTCGGATGTCTGTTTTCCCCTGGACTTGTCGAACGACTCCTTGTTTGCATGAGAAATGTCATTCTTGGTATACATGTTGTTGGCTCTACATTATTGTGTCTTCTTTATTCAGTGGTTTCGGACGAAATGGTTGCAATAAAAAAATTTAACTGACTACTATCCTCGTCAGGGAATAGTTTTCAATTCCACCGCGAAGACGGATGATTACTTTAATGAATAATCGCCGGCCGCTCTTTTCGAGACTACGGGCTACAAAATCGACAAGATGTGAAATAAGAAATGGTGTTTTGGTGGTTGCAAACGCGCAAACTCATACAGACACATCATTGAGAACCAATTGGAACTGGATAATGATGTCTTATTAACATTCTCATGAACTGCCAATGAGACTCGCTCGGTGATTGGTGATGGTAGAGTACAATCGAAATCATCGTGTTTCGAAAGATGTGCTCCTCGAGGCTTCCGCATCGAAAAGCTTTCGTGATGCATTCACAGAAGCTTGAGGACAAGGGCGCCGCAGTGATCATCCAAACGAGACTGGATCGAACGATTATCACGGTGCAAGGAGTGGCGAATCCTCGACGAGAAGTTTTCTCAAGATACTATTCAATGTACTGATTAGAGACTGTCTTAAAGACAGCGTGATCTTTTATGGAAATTTCCTACCAAGTCTTTGGATCGCGATTGTTATTTTACTTTGCACCAAGATGCTTTCGAAAAAAACGAAACGAAAAGCAAGTAGATGAGACTATTAACGACGCGTGACAAAAAAGGATCTGGAATTTTACAAATCAGCTGTGATACTCTGAGAGAAAAATGTTTGGTATTTGTAACTATAATCTTATAGAGAAATAATTACTATAAATTATGGTCAAGACAACCATTTTTTAGTCAATTGTACTATAATTTTAGTGATAATAACCTTATATGCATGTTACTACTTTTCTCTCAGTGTATAGTCGACTTTTGTCTTTGTTCTTACGTTGTCACAGTTAATTCGAGAGAGAAAGTATACTCGTAGGTAGGTCATTGAAGCGAATCAACTATAACCACGTTGATACTTGAACGAATAATTGAAGTCGATTTTACGTGCTTTACGATGTGCCATAGAGAAGTATTATTATTTTACATGTAAAAAATCTAGCAAGTTTAGTAGGTTGGGGACAAAACAAAACCTTTTTTATTTGCAAGATTTTATCTTTCGCATTGAAAAGAAGGTACATTTAACAATAAAAGGTCGAGTAACGTCTCTCTCTCGTATAAGTAACGTGTTTTAGGTATATATCATAATTCCAAATCTTATGTAAGAATTATAAAAACACTCTGCTTTGCTGTGTGTAACGGGAAAAAGTGAAAGACAGCGACACAGTAGGAAAAAGAAAGGAAAAGGAAAGGGAATTTGATACCATTACGTTCTTAGAAGCGGCACCTATTAAATTCATTTGAAGCACGGGTATCGTATAAAGTACAGAACATAATTGCACCGTATGATTGCTTATTAGAAACATTAATTAAATCCAAAATAAATAACAAACGAAAGAGCACTATCATTCGCTCACACAAGTAGTACTCCGAACATAAGACATTTAATGTTTTAGACCGACAGAAAGAAATTTCCTTTGAATTACAGTATATTCATACCCCTAACATAAAATATATTCGCTTGTAAATAATATATGTATATATACATACGCGTAGGGTGTATCTATGAAAAAGATTTAGAACAGTCGAGATTCTGTTTTTACGAAACTATAATTAAATTGCGCAAATATATGCTTCAATGGTAGCTAGAGAATTGATAATTGACAGCATCAATTAATACATATTCGCTGAATTTCATATACTTGACACATGTTTTATGTATTTCCCATCGAATAATTTATATGTAAATTACTTATCTTTTTGATTCGCTTCTGTCATTCTTTATCATTTTCCCTCGCGAAGGGTGCAGAAAAATATTTTCACTTGGAACGTCAAACCTGACAAGAACAATTAAACTTTCAGTCGTTACCCGCGCCAATCAAATCATGGCTCGAGAATGTCGTTAGTCATCTAACCGCAGGGATCGTCTTCTTTCTTCAGTTCATCAGGCTTCTATTCTTCCCTTAAAAGCAGAGTGAGTGCAGCGCTCTTAGACGATCGATACTTATTAGCATTTTTATTTATTATAAAGAGAGAGATAGAAAGAAAGAGACAATATACATTTTTCCGATTAATTTTCACGAACCGTCTTGAGAACGTCGCTTCGAGTCGAGGAAGACGAACACCTTGTCGAGGTCGTCGCGCCGTACTAACAAAGCCTATTCCCGGGCTTTCGGCAGGTCGCTTACGAACTTGCGCTTGGCGATTTCTGTCACGAATTTAAAACGGAGCTCTTTGAACGACCTTTTCAGGCTACAAAACCAAGCTCAGCTCTATTCTCCGAAAGGTCTAAGATGAAACTGGATTTAGCTAGGAGATTAATTAAACCCGAACTGAACGTCGACGAGAACGACTTTGACGTAACGACGACCCCTTATTCTGGTAAATCGAAAGCGAAAGAATCCTCCGTACTTAGCGAGAGCAGAAATAGAGAGAAAACAACGAGAACGACCAAAATCAGCGGCTCTCGCATCGCACAGGGAAGTCCCATAAACGAAAGTACACAGAAAGAAAAGTCAGGTGTGAGAGGCAGGTGGAAAATCGCGGGTACCCCCAGAAAATCCTTGAGAAACCCGAATCTCGACGCTTCGTCAGAGTCTCCCGCAACCAAGAAAAGCCGAGTGATCTCCAAAAATACAGTTACGCCTTCCTTCGTCGAGAAAACTTCCAAGAACAATGTTGAGCTCAACGTTATACCGCGCGAAATCACAGTTTCACATCGCGGCACCACTTCTTTGGAAGAAACATCCGCCACGACTGTCGAAACAATCAAAGTCCGATCTCCAACGTCGCGGACCAACACGATATCGCGAGAGGAAACATCGACATTGGCCATTGACATACTGGACTCTATAGACGAGAACATTATCGTCACGACCGAATCTATTGAACCGATGAAGCTAGACAAGATACTTATCGAAACGACGACGAAGTCCGACCAAATACGCAAAGTTTCCAACGTGCAAAGGGAAACCACCACCGCAGTACCGAGAGTTACACCGATCATGGACACTACCACAGGATCCACCGGGTTCCTTACTACAGTACTCGCTCAAGAGATCACTCTGTCGCCGGATGTTACTACGTTAAGCAACTCGCACCTGTCACCCGCGATCACGACGACAACAACGCCAAAGAGGCTATATCCCGTCTTCATTCCCAACTCGAAGAACGATGGCTCGCAGGACACGAGCGACACGACGAAGAGCACTTTCCGGCCTCGTTATACGAAGCAGCAGTCGGACAAGGTGGCGGTCTCGATGGTGACGTCGAGAACTGTCGGACCCACCAGCAGATACATCAGGAAGAAGTCGGGAGTCTTCACGCCGTTCGATGCCATCCCCAAAGTCAGTACGGAAACGGCGGTCACGCAGGCGAAACGACGCGAATTCCGTCCACGAACGGCGACGTACAGGAGACACTCGGAGATGCCGACCAGCTCCTTGGTCCAGCCGACAGTGGCCAAAGAGGAAACAGTCTCTGGCATCACCATCACGCCGAAACCGACCAAGTTCCACGCCAGTGTCAAGTCTTCCACCCCGGCCACCCGCTCGGCGTCCACTGAGCCATTCGTCAGCGTGAAAATTGACTCATCTAGCGACAGTGCACCACGTCAGGTCGGCATCACCGACAGCAGCAACGGCAACAGCGGCTCCAACGTCTTCAACCCTACTAGGAGCGCGTTCCTCGGAGGGAACACGACCACGTTGCTGGAGCAATTGCGAAGCACTGTAGCACCGCTTCTGAGTACCCTCGGCAACAAGACCCCCATCTTCTCCGGTTCTTATTCCAATGTGGATACTAACGGGGTGAGTGCACCTGAATCGGGTGAATTTCGATCGGATCGTTCATTACACACCTGATTATGTTCGAAAGATTTAACAACAATGAGAAATATAGATTTTCATTCGCATACTTCGTTTCATCAGGGTGTATATACATATATATATATATATATATATATATATATATTCAAGATTTATATAATTTTATATATATTTGAATGTCATTTACTTGCGGCCAAAACGCTTTGCATCTTGAGTAGTCGCGACGATTGATCCGTTTAAAAACATGTTGAAAAATAACGGAAAACATATTCATAATCACGCGGAAAGAACAAGGTGATTGGTCGACATATAAATCTGGTTATTGCCAACCAGATTCAATATTGTAACAATATTGTAACAATATGATTTATATCAAATTCAGTGTTGAATCTGGTTGGCATAAGTAGATTTATATATGGGCTCTACTGTTCTCTCCAGGAATATAGACATGTTGGATTATATTTGAGTGTGTATTTGTAAAAACAGAATTCAGCGCCCAGGATAACGCCGAACGGTAGTCCGCCAAGATTTAGCGCGAGGTACAAAGGAGCAGAGTTACTCGTGAGAAAACCGGCGATCGGTCAAGCTGTGGTACCATCGTACACCACGTCCTCGACCACGGCCTCGACGCCAATAGAGGTAAGACTTTTGAGGATTTTGGAGAGAATCTTATAAGAGAATGTCGTCGAGGAGAGTCGAAGCTTTTCTTGTCCACATTAATGCACATTGTAACCATCTTTTAATTAAGCATTGTCTCGATCGAAGCAGAGAGGATTCGATCGAAGCAGAGAGGACTTGATCGTTCTGAAAATTGCTAGCTTTAATCATACGCCGGTAGCGGCAAACGATTACGTCACATGGTACTTTCATTTCATGGTGTGGCATCTCGGCATTTTACAATAAGCCTCTTATATCGCGCGTTACACGTGGTAGCGTGCACTCGTAGAAATAGTTTCCTAGATGCGATGATAATGACGTCACGAAAATTCGCGGTTAGTCGTAGCAACACGTACTTTGTATAACCACTGACCAAATTTTATACCTGATTTAGCGTTCAACTTAAGCTAACTGTAAACTACTCGCGTTCTATACATGCGTCTGTGTATATGCGTATGTGTGGTCATAGTAAAGTCATAATAAAAAAAGTGTCGCAATGGAAAGACCAAGGTAAGGCAAGGTAGAGCGAGCTGAGCGTTAATGCTTCCCTTCAGGAGAAATTACGTGAGGTAATTTTCTGTGCTTAAAAGGTGTTCCCTACGAAGGTACCAGAGGGTTCCGAAGCAGTTGCACCGCCGTCATGGGCCGACACTATCGTCACAACCTCATCCAGCAATCTCTCAGTTCTTAATCATATCGATATAAACAGCCTGCGTTAATTCGATCGTAATAGAAGACCGTTTTAAATCATTGCGCTTTCTCTTCATTCCTACTTTAGCGAACAGTCGTTACTGCTGCGTGGCATAACGACTGTCGTATAAGCTAGGAGTGATTTTCTCTTTTCTTTTTCTAAAAAGATTATATTAACAACATTTCTCTACTCGATGCAGCCTATCTTCATCTGTGAATACCATTTTGCACATACTGTCGTTTTGAGGAAGCACATTGGCACACAAGTGTAATAATCGCCGCACGATCGCCACGGCGACTGATCGGAGTAACGATCGATCTTAGTCGTTGAACATTACGTTTCTCTAACACACGCACTTGGGGCAAGGAATGTTCGTCTTGGAAAGACACGTAAAGAAAAAAGGGATAATCTGTTAACTTTAGTCGGGAAAAGGACTAGTACACAGTTATCGATCATGGTCACGTTATCTCACGGCACGCATGCATCATCATATTTTACATCTATATATGCAAATATTGTATCATACAATTTTATAATTATATTTTTTGTAATAAATATATTTTGATTTTAGCATTGCACGCGATTAGCAATTGTTTGCCCTTATTTTATTCAAGTTGTTATATTTTCTACTAAACGCGACAATAAAAATAATGCACAACCTACGTATAGATAATTGTTACGCAATGTATAAGATTTTCTTTCATCAAAGTAAAATATCGAAGATATCGATAAAAATGTTGACGTTCTGAGCAAGCATATGTATAAAAATAATTATTAATGTGAAAACTAAATTTGTCCGAGCTATGATCTTTCATAACAATTTATGATTTGCTACTTTATGAGTATCAGATATTGTAAACTTCAAATCCACTTTTAAGCTGATTATGTAACATTGTATCTTCGATAAATATCAACGACATTGTCGTATTACATATAACTCTCGCTACTATTTAAAAAAAAAAAGTAATTTTCACTTTTTTCTTGAGAATATTGTTATAAGGTAGTAAAAAGAAGTGAAGAATGTGCGTTTACGCATAGTGTGTGAATGCATCCTGTCCCGAACGGATCGCCGTCACGCGACGTACATAAATAAGTACGTATTGCGTTCTGTTACTTTTACGCATTTCTTCCATTAGAATTTACTCACGTTGATTTTGTGCGTGAATTAAATTATCTTTTTCACGACGAAAATCGCATAAATTTCGTGTGACGCGAAGAACTTCCGCATCTAACGCGTGCCGCGCATACTTCTCATTTTTGGGGATTCTCTGTCGGGTAATCGTGCGAGGAACGTTAATGTAACACTTCCGTAATAATGTAATAGCGAAAGTACGTCAGTGGAGACCCCTGTAGAAGCGAGGTAAAAGCCGGCGATATCTCGAAGAAGACGGAAAAGTACTGAGAACGAGATGGAAACTAGTCTCTGCTGTCTCCTAACATATCTCCATCCTTAAGAACTAGTTCCAAGCTGTTATATCGGGACTTTACACGCAGGAATTATTCTCAGCTCACTTCCTCCAGCATTAGTTCGTACATTTACTAAGAGATGGTGTTCGTAGATAACGCTCATAACGTCCACTCGTACAAATGTAATCATTATTTTTAAATCGTCAGAATTGTTTGTCAAATAATCTGCTAATCGCAAAAAACACTATCTTACAACCAGCTGCTGCAATCGCTATTTATTTCAATGCACGTGTCTGTATATTTGCAAACAGAATGATTAGAAATATATTAACGCTTAAATGCGCGAGCTTCTTTCAAGCTTTTCTCCATCAATGTGACGTAGATCTCGTTATACTTAAGCTACGTTTGAACACGAGAAACCTAACTGCGCACTTAATGATTAAAAGCAGTGTAACGACCAGTGTAACGCTCCCTCCAATGTATAGTAGACTGTATAGTAGACTGTATACGTATATAGAACATGCTCATAACCGATCTGTTTGACAGCGACTGACTTGTCACACGTAATTGCACTAAAGTGTGTACAGCACTCGCACGCACCGAATTTCTGATTGCAGAATTCCAGTTCAGCGTCGCCCGTCTACGTCGTCAGCCCTGGCGAGCCGAGATTCGTCACTTTTTATCAGGCATTAGAGTCGGCTAGCATAAAAAACGAAAATCTGCGCGCGGACAACGGTTCTCAACAACTAATGGGCGGGTTAACGAAGGTAGACGCTAACGCTACTGTACCTAACGGCACCGGTAATGACACTGCTAACAATGACACTGCAAGTCCCACCACTACCGCATCAATCGAAACTACACCCCCCTCAGAATCTACCGTAGACATTACCACCACCACCCAGTCGGCAGACATTACGCCCACTTCGGGGTTAGGCACGGAGAATACCCCGGAGTCCACCTCGATGACGGTCCCGACCCCCGCAAACCCGGACTCGAGCGAGGTAACTACCTCGTCGGATGTTAACGGCGATCAAACCACCCCGGTCCCCACCTCGGAATCGACCCCTGATAATGCAATAACGACTATCTCGAGTACCCCAGAGCTACTTACCACCACCGAATCGGTAGAGGTCGACACGTCGACCAGCGTCGCTGTAACTCCTACGGAAACATTGCCCACCATGAAATCCACCCTCGACTATAAAGATGTACCCATGATAACGACTACCACGACAATTCCACAAACATCTAGTGAAGCGTCAGATTTAACCACCACCGAAAGCATCACCGAAAGCGTCACCGAAAGTGTAACACCATCAGAAACGACGGATGTTCCGGTCAACGACGCAACGGAGAGTACCATGCAACGGCCGGACGTAACAACCGAAACTAACAATGCGATTGACGATGTAGAGACGAACACTATACAACAATCCGACGCTATAATGTCGACGAGTATGCCTGAGGATGGGAACGAAGATATAGAAACCAATACCATACAGCAGTCCGACATGACGACGTCTCAAATGACAGAAGTCACAAGCATCACCGAGCAGTCCACCACGGAGGAGATCTCCAACAATGTGATCGAAATCCAGACCACGCAGGCACCCATCACCACGCCCACGTTTCGAAACCGAGTGATCGATTTCGCGCAAGACATTTTGTCGCATTTACAGACTATTTACTCAACCACAACACGCATCTCGGAGGCCGCGTTGATGAGCACAGAAAATCCTATGCAGTTGACCACTATGCCAGCAGAAGTTACGAGCGTTGAGACAACGTCGTCGTTGCCGAATACAGAGACAACGATCGGTCAAAATATCGACACAGGCGACGCGGATTCAGGCCAGACGACGGACGCAACGAATGGATCGCGAGAAATGACCACAGTAGGTTTGGATACTACGTCCTCGAGCGACGAGACAGGAAATCAGTCGTTAGAATCCGAATCGACGACAGCGATGCAGGATACGCGTAGTCCAGAGAATTTGCCGGGAGACACAACGAGCGCGGAAGTCGCGACTGTCACGTCGACGCCGATCTCGCGAGATTTCACTACGACCAGCGGGCTTCGGTCATTTAACGACACGTTGCTCACCGACCTAATGACCATCGCGAAGAGCCTTTTTTCGGAAGCGATGAACGACACGCGACTCATGCCGGGCCATATCACCGACATTGAGGCAATCCAAGTGAGCGGCATAGGAGATAACGAAAGGGATCGACTTGTGTCCTCGGACGACACTTTAGCCACGACCCCGCCACCCTCACAGCCAACCACGGCTGACGCGGTTCCTGAACTAATTACTAATCCAACTCAGTCGTCTAATAACATCGAACAGCAGACTACTCCGAGCAACAATGTCGAATCGTTGAGTTTCATTACTAACAACCCCCTTATAACCGACTCTGTTAGCACAGACCTAGTGCTCACTGATGCAAACGAGTCCATAGACACGTTGAATATAGAACTAACAGAATTAACTACTAATGTAGCCGCTACAGAAGCAAGCGACACGCAAATGAATGCAGTAGATACCACTAACCAGGCTCCAGAACCAACCAGACCTGCGTCCGACCTGCAGGTCACCAATGATCAATCCCCCGTAGCAAACGTATCGTTTACCACCTCGACGAGGGTATTCGATGATAGCGTGACCAACACGACCGATACAAGCGATATTCAGGCATTTAGTACAGAGCCTTCAACAGAAGCAGCTCGTCTAGCTAATCTAGTTAACTCCACTGACACTACCACTAATCAGTCCAACGACGTAACAACAAACGCTCTCACTCAAACGCTAAGCGATCTCGTAAGCGAGAGTCCAAATCTGATTACCCATTTCCAGGATATGACGGCAACAACCGCCCAAGGGACGGCAGATTCAGGAACCATTCAACCCGAGCAAACGACCGAAACCATCATTTCCACAACACTTTCAGCCGCACTAATGTCGACCAATCCTACCATGCTCCCTGAATCCACCACTATCATCGATACCACCAGCACGTTGACGCCGGTCGAACCGACGGTAGCGACCACAACGACGACAGAACCGACAGTCACGACCACAATGACGACTGCGACCTCGACTGTTCATACGACGCTTGAGCCGACATCTGAAACGACTACTTCAAGTATGGATATGGACGAACTCTCCACTGAACTGTCCTCGACTACAGAAGGCACAACTGTCATTCCCAACGAGAGGGATGACTCGAACATGATATCGGACGATGACCAGGAAATGACCACCTCGACGATGACGCCGACTACGACGACGATGACGATGACGACGATCACGAACACTGCACCACCAGCCACGAGTGCGCCGACCACATTCTCCAAAACAAAGACCGCGAGTTTCGGTCAAGGGGTGAAACAAACAGGTCCACCATTTGCATATGGCGCCTTCAACACGATCCCTTACATGGGACGATTCGGCGGTAGTTCGATGACACCGGCGCCCAGGCTCGGCTACTCCTCCTCCTCTTCCTCGTCCTTCAGCAAGGCGCCGGTTCGCGACTACCTGATTTACGGTATCTATCCGAATAAGACCATCGTGAGGAAGCGGCCGGAGGACAATCTGATCGACCCCAGGAACGTCGACAGCCCGTACGTGATATTCGGCATCTATCCGGATGGCAGATTAGTCCGAAAGTTTCCTAACGGGACTATAATACCGGACTCGCCCAGGAATCCAGTCGAGGTTGTGTTCACGCTTAGCACTACTACTACTACTAACCGACCAGCACCCAGGCCGTATTATAACCAGGCTAATAACCAGTACCAAGCCCCGGTGTACTATAATAATCGTAGACCCGTGGATGAGCTGACGAGAATTGTCCAGAGCCCCAGCCCTGTTGATATTGGACTCACTGCTAACGCAATCGGCGTACCCTTCGGAGGTGGGCCCTATTTCACGGGACCACTCGGTACCCCTGCTAGCACCCTGGGCGCAAATAAAATGGTATCACTATTTGTTCACATCTTCACCATCAAATTGTACTTTATTCTGACAGCGGTACAGAGTTTCTCTGTATCCATCGTTATTCGCGCGAATAACAGATAATGCGTCATCAGTTTGAACGATTATAATCGGATGAAAGAGTGCTTGAATGTAAATTGTTATCTGAATGAAAATTCAACATATCACTCGCGAATAAATCACGAATAGTCTCCCTTATTTGTTATCTGTTATTCGAATAAGGTCTTGCCCATCTCGGCAGTAAAGTAACGAAGAAAATGCCTGTTACACATTTTGCAACGTAACGTCAATGCAAGCTTCTAACTACGATCGATTTGAGTAAGAACAATGGTCTTGTGGTTGAAATTAAGAAACGATCGCAACTTGTCAAAATTATAATATATTCTTTTTTTTTTCTTATTTTTTATATTTGTTGTTTTGTTGTCAGACACATCTACTTTATTACTTTATATTACGAAAAATATTAATATATTCTTTAATAAAGGAGCTTTTTGCATTTAACAGATTCCTAGGAAGAAAAAGAAACTTTTATTGAGAAGAGTATATTAATCGAATTTTTACATTCGGCAAAATTTCAAGCTCTCAGGTCGATCTCATTATATACTTATTATCACATTATATACTTATATTAATAACAACGCAATTTCTTAGAATAATTTTATAACTAGTCTTTATAGCTTTTTTCCTAGCAAATTTACTCTTCTCTTATGATATCGTGTATGCTTTACATCTTCGATGCAATTCATTATATATTTCTTTTTTCCAGGTCTAAAGTAACGAAACATACGACAACAGCTATACTGTACATAAAGTATCATTGTAAATTTGTAAATAGTCGTGGCATATTATTAGCACTTTTATCTGCTCACTTGCACTTTCAGTTTTCGTATTTACTGTATGCACTGTGTGTTTCATTAGACATAGTTTGTGCAAAACCTGATCATAAGTCTCGTTCATCGTAAATCATTGATCATTTTCTCTCCGATAAAAACTACTGATTATTTAAATTATGAAACCAAAATTAGTTCACAAAAATTTTCCATGATAAATATTTTTTATATAACGTGTACATATATAAATATACACTGAAAACATGAAAACTGCATGTTTAAAAAAAATAGAAGAATTTAAGTTATAAGAGAACACGTTGAAGAATAAAGTATGCTCTTTAAATATTCTTAAAAAAGAAAATTAAATATGTTTACTTGATAGCATACTGCGAGATGATTGCACCCATTTCATATTCTTGCACTATTTCCTAAAGAAATATCACAAGATTATTAAATTTATTTTTATATTACTATTCATTATTCTTTATTTTTTGACGAATTTATTCAATGCGTGACTTAAATATTTCAGAGCGACATATTGTTAAATACACGGATGGGTACACTACCAAACGCAGCGTCGACAATTGGTAATCTGCAAACGCCAATTACAAATAGCGTTCAAACGCAAGATCCAGTTGGTCGTATTTTCCAAGATCATGACAAGAGTGAAGCTTCTCGAACGAGAGTAACATCGGATCAACGTTCCTCCGTATATATCGGACAGGTAATGATGAAATAAAATATTGCAGCATGTATTAGAAAAAAAAAAAACATTTTAGAACGTGCGATTATATTTCAGGATAAATTCATTAATTATCAGATCGATAGAACACCTGTAGTAAATCCAAAAGTAGTTGATGTGAAGATAAATTCAGTGGCTGTAAGTATAATCGTCGGAAAAATTTAACAAATTTGATTTCAATAAAAGAAATGTTCCTTTCTTCTCCTTCAACGATCACGTTATTATACATTTGTTATCAGACCTCTGTGAACGAAGGTACAGCGTCAACCGTATCGTCAGTTCCGTCCTTTGGAAATTTACTAGACAATCAACAATCGGGTGGTATAATAACAGCATCTCCTGGTTTCCCTTGGAGCGATCCTCTCGATCAGATATTCGGTATTACCACCAATTCACCTGTACAAACAGCATCCGTGGCGTCGAACCAATTGGTACGTGTTAATTGGAATAACACAACAAACAAGAGCTTAATTAATTTACATTTTTTATTTGTAGGACGAGTCGGAGGAGAACAATGTCATGCGTCCTGTAAATTCCTTCGTAGAAATATTCACGCCAACTACAGGCGGTGCAAGCCTAACGAGTCCTAAAGGAAGACTAGTAGCATCAACCAGCTCAGCAACGTCAACAACCACTCCTACAACTGCTACTACTTCTGTTACTAGTAACACTGCTACTACATCAATGCCTAAAACCGCAGTTACGACAAAGAGTAAACACCCGGCAAAAACTGCTACTATTCCCGCTACTACTACCACTACTACACCAGCACCTACAACCGTAGCAACAACTACCGCTGCTGTACACACTACCACTACCACCACTACTACAACGACTACTACTACAACTACAACTACTTCAACAACAACTCCTGCAACAACTATTACAAGTGCTACTACTCCCCATCTTATAACAAGTGCACCCATCGCAACTTCTAAAGTTACGCCAGGCGTGAAGAAAAATTTGGACGCATTACCAATTTTGCCTAGATCTACGGCAAACGTACTGAATGATTTGCAGACCAACACAAAGGAGAATGCCTTTGGTACATCGTTCGGAGATTTAGCCTTCTTAAATTCACTGGTAAGTCTCCTTGGTTTATTTGCGAGTTACATATCAACTGTTTTCTTCAATATTACTTCTTCCTTGAAATTTTAAAGAACCTTTCGTGATTGTAGATATCGTAATAAAGAATTTTTATAGTTACAGAATAACAACTTTAAAACCGAAAACTCCACACCGAAAACGCTGAGTGAAGTGGAGCAAATATTAGCAAACAGGGTAGATAAAATAAAAATACATTACCAATTTTTATAATATGTAACAATTATATATGTAATACAAAAATTTCAACGCAATATCAACTAATATACTTTTACTTGGTGTAGATTTTAGGGCTTGCACTAGGAAAACCAGGACCGACGCGATCCTCGAAAGCAGTTAAAGATTTTGGTTTGAATGTGAACGATAATTCCATCAGCAAACATCCGTCGTCCAGTCAATCTTCGCAGCCTATAATAATTGACCTGTTACCGTATTCGAGCGCTAACGAACTCGTATCAACCACAAAGAAATACACGGATGCAAGCACGATTGCGTCGACACGATCCACCACACCAATTACAACAACTAGGCCACCAGTTGTCATTACCGCTAAGCCTAAGACAACAGTTAGACCAAAAATCACTACGCAAGCACCAGCGGGATTTGGTGTGAATTTATGGCGAGCATTGTTCGGCGGCAATAACTTCTTCGAAACAACTACAGCGAGCACTATGAGGAACACGAGGCAAAAGCCCACAGTTAAAGCAGTAACTTCAAAACCTGTTGCAACTACACAGAAATCTATTGAGACAACTCAGAAACCGATACAATCGACACCGCTTATTAGTTATATTATGTCGGCAGCTCCAGTTAAATCGCACACAACCGCGAGAAGCGTAGATATCACGAATATTCAAGTATCCCCGACGAAGTTACTTTCAGACAACATTAATTCTGCGTCCAGCTCGTCGCCAAGCTCGACGCCAAGCTCGATCTCAATCACGCAGCAAACGTTGTTAAATAATCCGAATCCTAGATTGAACGGTATCTCTACGTCCACTTTTTCACCCGAGGATGACGCAAAATTCTTGGTTGCGCTTCTACGAGCCATACAAACGGGTAGATAGAAAATATTTTTCTTCTCTTCATCCCTCCTTGTAAAATATATTGCAAGAAAATGAAAATTTAGTCATATCGAGTCGAGAGTCAGAAGTCATTTTTTATTTTTTGAAATTAATCCTTATATATGTGTATATAAAATATATTTTATAATAAAATTTATAATAACTGTTATAATCAATTTCCATATTAGAATCGAAAACGAGTACGTCTGCGACATCAATAGGAATAACTGAGGACGACGAGGCCTTTTTGAGGGCAATTTTGAGTAATCAGATTGTTACTACTACTACTGCCGCACCATCTTCTACCGAAATAAATCCTGCCGCTTTATTGGCATTACTTTTAAAGCAGCAAGGTATAGAACCATCGACACCAGCAACGAAACTTAGAGAACAATTACAATTAGCTGTGAGTAAGCTTTATTCTATTACTTTTTTCAATTATCAATAGAAGACTTGGAAAGAAATGCATAGAAGCATGAACTCATAACAAATGTTATATAACTTGTTTGCTAAATGTTATATTTAGCTGTCTTCATGCAAAAGTAAATAAAAATTGAGCAATTCGGTATGTCTTTACTATAGAGTCTAGGTTTGACCACTCAATCAAATCCAACTACGATGTCGACAACTGTTCGACCAATGACAATAGTCACCGATAGATCGTCCTCCGTTTCGCATACTCCACGTACAGTCAGTACGACAAAAAAAGTAACATCGAGACCAACCGCTAGACCAACCTCCAGACCAAAGCTACAAACTACGACATGGTCTCCCAGTTCAACGTATCCACCGCCTCTTTTTGGAAGTTCTTTCTCGACTGGAGAAAGTAATTCCGGTAGCGGATTCGCTACTGCCACTAGAGCTTTTGGTCAATTTCTTGGCGCTGCAATTTCGGTAAATATTCTCTTATGTCTTTGAAATTCTTAATTATTGCTTTTATTTAATTAATAAATTATATAGAAAAGAATTAAATAATGTAGTTATTCTTTTCTTTGAGAAAATACAAGAAAATGATTTTGAAAATTTAAAAAGGAACTTAAAAGATTTTTTGTTTCATATGTAATAAATGTATTAATGTTTTAATTTGGATTTCCAGGGGGCAGCTCAACAGTTACAATCCTTGATAAGAAATGGTACTAGAAACTAGTTGGATATTAAAGGACAGTAAAGAAGAATATATGTTGATGATTAAATAATGACCTGGAGACAAGTGTCAGGATTGAGATTGCGATAATTGTTAAATAATGAAGAATATACTTGCCACTTACTGCTGAAAACATGCGTACAATAGCAACATGAGATCCGATGAAATGCTAGAAATATTTATTTTAAATGTGCCTGTATAAAACAAGCTTGTACTCATAATGTTTGTAACGTGAACATTATGGATAAGCAAGTTTCGAAGATATAGAATTTTTTTAGCTGATTCATACTTGTATATGAAATATTGGACATTGAATATCGTGATAGCGTCCTTTCAAAACCATGCTCAACAACAGTGGAGATTGGACAAATGTATGCTGATGGAGATAAGGTTACTGATAAAATGCCAGAGAGCTAACGAAATAAGGAAAAATTTATACATTTTGAATTACGTGTAAAAACAGGGTATAGACAGAGTATACATAATTTTCAACGATAAAGGAAAAGCATAGTGATGAATAATGGACGGACTGTGCATTGACGTGCGAAAGTTTGGTGAAAGAACTAAATATATTTCTGCGATATAAAATTTATCAATATATTAAAACGTTTTGTTGCAAAATCTAATCGATTGGCTAATTGTAAGTAAAATGCCATACGTCGCGATATCATGACTCATAATTTATTACTTTATGTATGTTGAGTTCATAAGATCAAATATAACGTACATTTACGAATAATAATTTTTTCCATTTAAAAATAACGTAATAACTGTTCCTTCGTACCTCCGATATAGTTACGTACTCGATAAGTCTGTATATATGTATAATTGGCTATTACTATGTTTTGTAATAAAATAATTGTAGTTAAAAGTTTACATTAGTATACGAGCATTAAGACACCAATTATTTACCAGTAAAGTATTTCGATGTAAGTAATTGCCCTTCTTGCGTGGTTGCTATAATATTTATTCAAAATACGTATCAAATGTCTTGTAATTGATGTACATTCGCATATTAGACGAATGTACACATTAAACACAAGTTACGTTACCAATTTATATAATGTAGTTACAATTGCTTATTAACCGAAATGTCTTCGCTCATTATGTATTGCTGATATCAAATGCTAGAAAGACTAAGAATTTGTTGTTTTTGATTTTAGAAACATATGATAACCGAAAAGAAGTATCTCAATTTCCTCCGTCAACGAAAATGTTTAGCCATTTCTGACTCCTGATATTAAGAATAATACGATAAATGAAAAAACATCTCGATTTTCTTGTTAATGAAATTCTTGGATTTTATTGCCCCTTGATATCAGGAATACATAATAAAAGAAGTATCCCAATTTATTCGCAAAGGAAAAATAAAAAATTCGAAGTTTCTAGCCAAGATCGAATCCAAACTTACCAGCTATTTTTACTACGAAAAACGTATTACATAATATATGTAAAATCGCCAAATACATAGTTAAAGCAATTTAATAACAGTAGGATCTTTATTTTTTAATGTTCAACTTGTACGATTAAACGATAAGGCAGTAGATTTTTATATTTCCAAATAGGTAGTACTCAATTACTTATTTACCATTATTTTTATTGACGTGACGATGATGATGGAATAAATTACACGATAAATTATATTGAAATTGTGTAACATTATAGTGCTGATTCAGTACAGATAATCTTTGGCAATATTTATAATTTGTACAACTCCATTCTGTATTAATAAATATAAAAGAGAGCAATGCAAATTATAGTTTTATTACAGGTAAATTCTGTAATAAAAAATTTCTTTCAAAAATTCTGTAATCAAAAAATTCTTTCAAAAATTCAATATTACCATCCAGTGGACGAAATTTAGTTACATTATATAATATATATTTGCATATTATTTGTAATTTGTACAATGTCTTATATCTATATATAAATATATAGAATTCATTCATGCATTTTGTCGCGTATATTAGCTATAAATGTTAGGAATAGGAAATTATTATATTGAATTAAGTAATGCAGAGATTGTGTACATTAATAATACTATAAATGTTATTGAATTATGTAGAATCGTATAATACTCTTGGTACAAGAGTAAGATACAATTTTAGCTATGTAATGCATTAGAATTATGTACATACAGATAGGAGCGACAAGAATAGTTTAACATTTGTATAACTACAAATGTTATATGCAAGTAATACGTATACACAAAACTATATAAAGAATCTCTCTTATAGAACAAATTTCAATCTTTTGCTAACAAGTTCATTGACAAGCAACTCAAACTCGTAATTACAAAATCTAAACAGCTATATCATAATTCTGATTTGTGATTCATATTGCACTTAGACCAAATTTGGTAAAGATAACACTCAAAGTTCATATTCATTCTTTGAGATAAATAGCAATTTTATGCAATTTACATAATAATATTTCATGAAAAAATATAGATATTAAAAATTAATAATTTACACAATATTATTATGTACATTATATATAAAATCGCATTACTTGGTAGAAAACATTTGTAGATCACTGAGAATTATTTCAAATATTTGTGATGATAGTTGTCACTTCATGAAACATCGAATTTTGACAAGATATGTACTTTTAGTGTAAATCGGCATTTTGTAATAAATAATTACAGATGCAACAATGAAAGATGTAAACTCAGAATGAAGAGATTAAAACGTTAAAATACTTTCAAACTTTATAATACAGGTATATTTCTTTATAGCCCGCCGCCTGATCTTTCCACACTTATCTGTTTCTTAAGCTTCTCCTTCTCATGTTGTGCTTCCTCCATTTCGGCCATTCGTGCGAAACGTGAATATGCCACATGGCCTGATTTTATAGCTGACATCATCTGAACATAAAAATCATATATAAATATGCATATACTGATTATATATTGGCAAATATATAGTAAATAAAAAGAAGTTTATGTAAACAGAAACTTCGAGGAGACACTAAAAAAAAACGATATAATGTTAGTTAATCAGTAAACATGTTGTAATATTTGCAAGCAAAAGGCAAATAAAAAAGAGAACAAAAAAATACGACAATACACATCACAAACCCACCAGTTTTTACATGAGTTAAGAGTAAGTTTAGTTTGGAATTAATGTCGTCTTAATTGTATTAAGAAACGAAAAATCACTTAGGAACTTCACTAGAAAAGTACTTTCATGTAACAAAAACAAAACAAAGTGCATAAAAGAAGCGCTCGATGGACTGTGCATGCGCGATGCAACAGACCTGAAGGTATTCGTCCAATTCAACTTGACCGTTCATATTGGTGTCGATTTCGCGTAGAATTTCATGAAGTTCCTCGCCCGGTACTTCCTTGTCTCCAAACAACTGCGAAAAGCAAAAGAGTTCATGTTAATTATATATTTTGTGGTTTACCTGCAGATAATCTGACAATTCCATTTGGCCGTTATATGCGACATCGATTTGGCTCAACAAGCTGTGTATCTCGTCCTGGTTCAATCTTATATCTAATACCTGCACATCATCAATTAGTGGATGTCGAAAACAAAATTAAAAAACAAAAAGTGGAGAAGCAAATGTTAGAAAACGATCTAAATCGTTCAAACTTGAAATTCGAACCTTTAGTCCTCGCCTAATGTCGTTGATAGAAACGTATCCTTTCTTGTCCTTATCTATGATTCCGAAACGTTTAATGTAAAGCTGAACCTCATCCTTCGTGAGATTGATGGGGATCTTATCACGTGAAGCACGATTCACCATTTGACCCATCTCGTTGGCGAGAAATTCGCTGGCTTCGCGATGTTGCTTCTTCTTCTCCTCCGCCGACCAATGCAATTCCTCGGCCATGATGTCTATGATAACTGGTAATGCTTCTTGGGCCGCTTGAACGTTGAGAAAAGCGAGTCTCAGACGACGCGCGATCATGTCAATAGCGGTTCTAGCATATTCCCGTACACCATAACGTATCTGAAGTACACGTATGCATTTCTGACATTCTGCTTGATTGTGCGTCGAAAATAGAATCTAAACAATTCATGAGAAGGACTTTACCTCAGCATCGATGTACGGGAATTCCGGATGGATTTTTTTCCCGATAATAGGCCATCGTTTTCCTGTGAGGGAAGCCATTTTAGACACAGCAAACGCACGATCGCCATAGCTCTTGGACAAATGTTGCGCAACTTCGCATTCCAAACCGAAATCTTGCACCAATCTAATATACATCGTAGGACTCCAGCCTTGGGCACCTTCCAGAAGAAAGCCATCGGTTTGACACGGTCGTTCCGGTTCTAGATCACAAGCTATAAACAAATTTCAATGAGTATCTGAGTATATTGCGTTATTAAACAGCGTTATTAAACAGTGTACCTTTTATGGCCGCATCAATGGTTTCTTGAGCCATTGATCGATAAGTTGTCCATTTGCCGCCGGCTATCGTGATAAGATTCGTGGGACTGACGTGCACGATATGATTCCTGGCGAGCGATTGCGTGTTCGGTTTATTCGGATCGGAAACGAGTGGCCTGATGCCGCTCCACGCAGAAAGTACGTCTCCGCGACGTACCTCGACGTCCGGATTCAGATAGTTCTTGACTTCCTGCAGAATGAACATGATCTCGTCTTCCGTAGGTCGTGGATTATGCGTTACCTCGCACGGCATATCGGTCGTTCCTGCGATAGTTTGCTTCTGCCATGGCAAGAAGAAAATCACTCGGCCGTCGCTCGTCGCTGGATCGAGTAGACCCATTTGGTCGGGGCTGCGGAAAACCGTAAATAAAATTGTAAATACCGATATTACTTTTATGACTAATAAATTAAACAATATGACTGATAACGTCGACAATGAGTCGCTGTAAATATTCCAAAGAATGTGTCGGGAAAGACAATGTGTCACGTCACATAGATAAGTATTATGTACTTACCGATATTAAGTATTTTACCTGTAATATCCCGGTAAAACTATATGAACTCCAGAGGACGGACAGCAAATTTCGGGAACGTTCTGATCATCCATCTTTCTGATGTGATCGGTGAAGGGGCCAGTTGCGTTGATAATTGCCTTAGCCTTCACGTCCCATTCCTCTCCGGTGAGCTCGTCTTTCAGATGAGCTCCCACAAGGACTCGCTTACCATCCTTCGAAATGAAAAAAAAAACCGTCCATTAAATATTCCGAGTTACAATCAGCTAATACATACCTTGTCAAGGCCTTTCAACAGATTGACTACTTTAACGTGATTCACGACTGTTGCACCGTGTCTCGAGGCTGTCAAGGCGACTGCCAAGTTCATCCTAGCGTCATCTTGCTGACCTGTATTTCGCCAAGTAACAGATTTATTTACGGACAAATATACGCCCGACTATAAATGCGACTCGCTAGCTTAGTGCGAAAGAATCGTAACAGATATCACGACAGAATTGCATACCATCGTAATAAACAATAGCTCCCGTCAGCTTGTCGCCCTTCAACATCGGGAAGAGTTCCAAAGCGTTCGATTTACTCAAGTAGTATGAAGACTTCACCGTTTTACTACCCGCTACTAGATCGTACATTTTAATACCGAACCAATAGTAAGGAATTTGCCACCATCTAAAATGTAAAAATAATTTTTAAAAATACACAAAATAAAATGATTGACGCGCGTTAAAGGGTTAAATATGGGAACGTAAAGACGTACGTATAAACTGGTAGCATAATGGGTAGCGGATGAGCCAGGTGCGGTGCGCTTTGCAGCATCGACGCGCGCTCATGAAGCGCTTCTTTCACCATTCTATACTGTTCAACGTCCAACTGCATAATTGCCTTCTGTAAATACCGTACGCCGCCATGAATTAACTTTGTGCTGCGGGAGGAAGTACCAGAGGCAAAGTCGTCGGCCTCGACCAGTGCGGTCTTCAAACCTTCGTAGAAAAAAACGAAGAAAAACTTCAGATCACTCAACGTTGCGCTCGTCGAGCGTACAGATCGCGCGGCAATGTACCTCGCGTGCAAGCGTCCAGAGCGCATCCTGCTCCTGTTGCACCACCTCCAATTATCAGAATGTCGTAGTCTTGCGATTTTAACGTTTTTATTTGATCCTCCCGCGTCGGTAAAGTCCTCCTGGGTGGTCTTGGTTTTATCTTCTCGGCGTGTACCTACGACCAAACAATATTCATAAGTATACGGAGTGTCTAAAAATACAATAAGAAACCTTCGTATAGGTGTAGATTGTCAAACTGAATAAAAAAACTCCTTTATTATTTTGCGAATAACCACGTAAAATTTTTCGTTATTAATTAAAGAAGATTGGCGAATGATCGCGCAGGATACGGTGTAAAGTGTAACGGTAAGTACGACTTGCCTTGTGTTTATATATTAGGTTAAACTGAACAAAAAAATTTTCTTGCAAATATCCAAGTAGATTTTTCCGCTGTTAATTAAAGAAGACTGGCGAATTATTAAAATCTTAAACAAATATATACTTTCTATAAAAGTTAATATGTGTGATAAATAAAGTATAATTTAATATATATTAGGGAATGCGTCTGAAGAGAATAGATCCTGCACATATAAACAATGAATTCTAAGAGATAATCAAGCTCGATTTTGCTTCAAAATTTCGCTCCAATGTTTTTTAATTAATAACTCACAAACCACTATGTAGTTGTTCACAAAATGGTAGAGAAATTTTTTGTCTAGCTTGACCTAATCTACACGTATACGGGAGATGTTATCGCGTATATGACATCGCGTATGTGTATTATATTGCGCCAAGTAGCTAAGCCCGGTTCAAGTACGAGATATTACGTTATATAATATATAATAGAAGTAACAATAAGAAAGTGTTCAAGCAGTTCCCGAAGCATGCTAATATACTCTATTCAGTTACGACAATTTCAAATTGTCACATGCTCACCGTAGTATCTGACTGAAGAAAATACGAGGTAAGAGTACCAGCACCCACAGCACTAGCTCCAGCTACGAACCACCTGATCGACGCCATTATCTGTCACGCGGTTTCTCGATCTTTTCGAGAAAATCTAAAATGAATATATAATCTCTATAAAAGTTAATATGTGTGATAAACAAAGTATAATTGAATATGTATAGGGAACGCTTGAAGAGAATAGGTCCTGCACATATAAACAATGAATTCTAAGAAATATAGTCAAGCTCGACTTTGCTTCCAAATTATCGCGAGCTAGCTATGTTCAAGATATAAACTATTGCCAGGATTGCTATTATATACACAAGACATATAATACAGAAAAACATAAATGTGTATAAATTATATTACGATGAGACTACATATATATGTGTGTGAAGGACTCGTTTAAAATAAAATTTTCGGAACGGATCGAGAATTTCGTCGTATATTTTCGAAGTGTTCTCAATCGTTCGTTAATCATGAGCAAGTTTCTCAATTAATAATGTAAAAAACTTTCTATGCAATATTTAAAAGAAATAGCTTACGTACTAGCTAGTTTTACCGATACGGAATGTGCACTCACGTGCGCTTATTATAAATGACCTGTAACTAATTTAAAGATCGTATCGCAGAATGTCCATGATCTAAAGACTAAAGCTTGTATTTGTATCACAACAAATACTAACAACTACTACACCACTGTTTCGTTGTATTCTTGACAAAAGCCCGTGGGAGCACGTGGAATTACGTAAAGGATGCTTGATGTTACACCCACGCGTTTACAAGTGATAAACGCGCTCATTTAATCGACACGTGTTACACAAACGCGACTAACGGTTGGTTGCTCGGCGAGAGATACATCTATTTCTTTAGATCCTTACATCACGTGTACGAATCGCGATGGTAAAAAGAAAACCGTTAGCGTATGATTCACACCGCGGATTGCGACGTACGCAAATTACAGGCACGAAGTTATCTCACAGTGAAATCACGATAAAGAAATGATCAGTAAAGAAATTGCGGAAACCCGCCGCGACCGGCTTCCACGTCGATGTCGAGAGAAAACCTTGTAAAACAAACGGGCACCTTGAAATATGTCCATACCGCGAGAATACAATGCCGGACACGATGTCGCAAGATCGCGATTAAAATAGCGCGCGCGAAGCTCGCGAGTGTCGCTCGTGCCAAGTACTCCGAAATGTCACTCGCATCAAACTCACGCATAATGCGTGATCACGCATACATAACGTGCTACTTGTTACGTGTTATTCAATCCCGATGTCTCGATTCAATTCACCGTCGCGATGCCGAGTCGCCGATATCGAATCCGCGGTATTTAATGTTTCATTCGCTTGTCGGCACTCCTCCGTGTATTTGAGCGAGGGATTTAATTAATGCCGCACAAGGAGCACTGCTCGAGCAGCGCACAATTCAGCTAAGAACCCATCGGCTCATTCAACAATCAAACGTTGAATCGGCTGAAAAATCGACTGAGAGACTCGAGAGAACCCGGCTAGTTGAAAAATAGATTCTACTCTGTCAATTTAGTCGCTAAATATTTGACATGTGCGCGAATATTTGATCGTCGTGGGTAGTTCGAAGGAGTAGGAACTCAGAAGAGAAAGCCGGCTTTGACGGACTTGAAATAAATCGTAGTAGCTTTTGTCGTGATAGCGTTACTCACTGTCAGCTAAAAAGGCGTAGCTGTCCTTTGTACCGAACGTACGTCGCGATACTAGGATTTGATGAGGTGCATATCTTTTCTGTCTTCTTTCTTCTCGATGAGCAGCTCGAACAGTGTCTTAGAACACGACGCGGTACCAGTGAACACGACCGATAGCCGATGTCAACTAGTCACCGAGAACGGTGGGCAAGCTCGACTCTACTTGGTCGGTAATATCGGGGGCAAGAACATCGCGACTGTCCCGACATCTAACATCAGTTATTCGAACCGTACGTGTGTACTACAAACTACAAATGTGCGCGCGATTTTGAAACACATCGAACGGACCTATTTTTTTTCTCGAACAATTCATCGAGTAACGAGTGGTTCGCAATCACATCTATATAAGTCATATGTTGAAACAAAATAATACTCTTTGTTATTTAACATCAAATATCTGTACAAGTTAGGCACTCGCATATGTTACGAATAATTATTTCATACAAAGGTTCTCTCATTTTACATAAGTCTTGTATACCGTATCACTACGTCGATCGAAAACTTAACTTTAGGGGACAGATAATATTACGTACAATGGCTTTAAACGTCAGTAAATATATAATAATAATAAAACATGTAAACATAATACAAATGCAGAGAATGTACGATTAAGAATGGATGTACAATAAATAGCAAGTATCAATACGGAGATAGCGATAGATAGACAGATAGAAATAGATTGAGATAGAATGGGAATGGGAAAGAGAAGAGAAAAAAAAGTCAAATAGACAGAGTCAGATAGTCAACAAGAGAGAAAGAGAGTCAGACACACGTCATCGCTAAAACCTACTATTTACACAAGTTTGTTATATCAAAATATACGGTCATTCTTATTACGCAATATTAGTGATTCTAGTAAAAAATACGCTCTAGTTAGAAATACAGCGTCACACCGGAACTTGGTCAAAACCCGGGAAAAGGTTTACACTTCGTCGGAAGCAAGCGCTTCCTTGCCATCGGGTGATGCTGTCTCTTTCCTCTCTTTCCTCTCCTCTTCTTTCATCTGAAGTGCGACGGCCGATTCCAACACTCGTATCCTCCCTTCGTGCTTCACGATTACGGCTTTCAATTTTCTTATCTCCTCTCTGCATTCCTTCAGCATTTCTTCCTACAGTAACGATCACACAACGAATAATGATCAAGTTATTCGATACAGACGCAGAAATAGACATGTCAATAATGAACAGTAATTGATAACATACGCATGCTGCCGATGAAATTTGCGCATTTTGCGCGTTAGATGCAACCTTGGCTCCTTTACTAAGTATATTGGATTTCTTTTGAACTTTGAGCTCATTTTTCGAAGCGGATGGCTGATAACCGTCCCTAAGAGATATCAATACAGGCTCAGCATCGGTGCCGGCTTCCCACTCTTCCGCTGATATCGCGGCTGTATCGCCAGGTGTATCAGGATACAAGTCTTCTTGGAAAAGCTCAGACTGAAACATAATCATATAGAAATCTATATCGTTGTTGTCACTTTTTAATGCATTTTTAAATTCAGTCCCGACTTTTCGAAACTTTTCCGTCTAAAGTATAAAGCAACACTGTCTCTCACCTTCCGCGGCACTGTCATAGAGACCACTTGGCAAAAGCCCGAATTGTTTAATCGATAGAATCTGGTTATTTCACAGCTATTAACGTCACAGCCCCGTTTTGGCATCATTCCTATACCCCGTTGAGGATCAGGAGTTTGGAAAGTGTTGATATAATGAACGAACGGTGGTTCGGGCGTAATTTCGAAATATCGGATCACAGAGTCACCCTTGCCGCATAAATATACTAAATTTGTATCGGGGTCGTACAACGGAAACATAACTCCATTGCTCGTATCTAATTCTACCATAACTATGGGCTCGCCCAGCATGTCGGGAGCTCGTAATGAATATTGTCTTTCCGACATTTTACTGAAACCTGTGGTGAAGACTAAGCCACCCCTGAAAATATAATACAAGTAGCTTTAGCAGTGAACACATTCGCGTATCGCTTTCACTGATATTATCTAATGAGAGTCCTTTTTTTACATTTAACGTATTAATTTCTCACAATGTAATATGTATTGTCACACATAGAAAAATTAATCATCAAAGCTTTACTACATCCACCTTGTTACTACCTTATATTTCATAAGGAAATAATATTTCTTATGATGTTCTCGTAAACGTTGTTTCGCAATAAATGAGATACCTCTTGCGATATAGGGAATATCACTACTTCGTTATAAGTGCACACAGTACTTACTTAGATAAATTTATTTCTGCTCAAGTGTACTGCGGCGTATATCTTTCTTCTTTCTTTTCTTTTACGGATGCGAACGACCGTACCGGATGCGAAGTTACCGTACAATCATTTTATAAAGATGTTACGCTGCCAAAGTTAATATTCATCGGTATAATTTACGGTATTATTTACACAATCTAATGTTTACCTAGCATTTACAATTGAGTGTTACGACTTGAATGAATAACTTGATGAGTACGATACTTACTGCAATATTCTCTATGGAGAAATATAGAGCACGCATCTTGACATTCGTATTTATTAAGTTGGCACCTTCGTCATTGTTGTAAATTCAGTCTTGCAGTTTTCCATTAAAAATTACAGAATCTCGCACTACACAAATCGGAAATACAAGATGATAAAAATAAATGTATCCTTCAAGAATGTCTTGCTCCTCTTACACAGCATTCGCGGAAATAACTAAAGCGCGAGAAGTGCTACGTGTACATGTCGATGCGGATATATTGTCGCGTCAAAAACTAAAAACGGCAGAGAGGCAATAATAAACGAAAGAGTGAAGAGCTCGAACGAACATACATGGCTGTATTCGAGAGATAATCCGACCACTTGTATTGTACTGTTATTAATATACTTGTGTAAAAAGGTGGATGTATATCATTTGATGATTATGTTATAGATATTTTACATTTTTTCTCACACAAATAATGTTTAAACCAGTTTGAGTATCTGGTTATATAAATGAAACAGTAAGAATATTACAGTTACGATACAATAAGTTTGATACAATATTATTTACATTCCTTTGTTTTGGCATTTATTTTGCACTTATATACTTTCTACATCCACGCTCTCCCATGCAAGTTCACTCGTTAGTGTAAAAAAGTGCATTCTTTTTCTCATAAAAGTATAATCACAAAAAAAGAATGTTACATTGTTGTTTGTATATATTCAAATCTCAAACATTCAGAATTATATTACATACATGTAAGGGTAGAAATCACATGAAAAAATGTTCTGTCATTCTAGTATGCATTAAAGTAAAAAATATGTTTTGATCAAATATAGAATAAGTATCTAACAGTTATGCCTCAAAACTGGACAATATAATGAGAAAAATACCTCACTTCTGACATAAAACTGATATTTCTAAAAATATTTCCATTTCAAAGAGATTAAAACTAAGTATTATTATCTCCTCTTGAAAACTCATGCTGTCTTTATAACTGATCAGTGTTCAGTGAATTCTATATCTTTCCAAAATATGTTTACATCTTCTCTTTTCGTGGAATTAGTCGTTTTTTCCCTTCTTTTCTTCTTTTTTTAATTACACAATCTTATCGTGCAGTATGAGTATATTCGAGCAATATACAGCAATGAAAGAAAGCAATAAGATAGCAGTGAGACACTAATGGACATGCAAAATGTGGAGCAGAACATACCTGAGAAAGATGGCACGGGTAGCCTTACTTCCTTCGTGCGCTACAGCTTCCTCTAATATTTCACCTGATCTTGGATCCAAAATTCGGATCTTTTTATCTTTGCACGTAGTGACTATCCGAGATCCATCCCAGTTCCAACATGCGGAATAAACCACATCTGGATGACAGTCGATGCGCACCAAGGCTTCCCCAGTACCAACATTCCAAATGAGAACAAGATTGTCCGAGCCAGCAGTGAGCAACACGTTCAAGGCTGACGGATGCCATAGCACTAAGCCAACTCTGCGCTGGTGCAATTGCAGATCTACTATCGATTCGGTCAATGTCCTGGAAATACCCCCATCAGGTATTTGCCATACTTTGACAACACAATCTTCAGAACCGGAAGCTATGACATTATCGTTATGAGGACACCATGCAATATCTAATACAGGTCCTTTGTGTCCACCTACTAAAGGATAGTCTGCCGGTATTCTTCCTACCTATAACGATTTGCAAAAGTCAACAATCGATCGACTACAGTACCGCAGATGCGCATACCAGTGTATATCCAAACAAATCTCGCTACAATAAACAAAAGTACAATCACTCCTCTGTTACACGATGCACATCCAGTTTTGTTAGATGAGACGAGAAAGTGAGAGAAAAAGAGAAGGTCAACGACGATGTTTTGGCAACTTGCGCGAAACTGGGGCGTTGATAAGCAAAAAGAAGAATGAAGGAGTTTACCTTGTTGTGCGGTAAGACGATGAAGGCACCGCCACCCGCCGATTCAACGATAATGGCGAGAAATTTGGGATTCACCGCGCAGAACGTCGAATCCCACGAAGATTTGGAAACTCTGATATTATCGTAACATTGCTCGCGTTTCAGCGGTGTCCCGTACACGTGGCGAAACTTGCTGCTACGCACCACGCGAAAAGACATGTCTGCTGCACCTACTTTTCAATTACAGGACAGACGTGAGTGAAACACGATAAGGGTGTGAATGTGTGCGCGTGAGACAGAAAGGGAGTAGAGAAAGGGAGAGAGAGAGAATGCAACGCACTAAATAACCTATACAACGGAATACACGGTCTACGCGTCGCTTATTATGATTATTTTAATAAATTATCGTTACGTGTGTCTGCTGCGGGACTACGGGCGTGGGCGTCGTGTGGAACATCCCCGTTTTATAAATAGATTCCCCACTCTCTAACCTCCCCGCACGATCCGAAAGGATACACGACCGAAATAAGAATAATATTTCGTACGTTTGGTCACGCTGTTCTTATTCGTGTAACACACATCAGTACGTGTGTATGCAGCATGAAAGGCCGCGAGTGTACCACGCAATTTAACAGCCATTAACGATTATCGCGGCGAAGAGCGCGACAGACGCACTTCCCGCGCTCCTTACATGGTGCATCGAAAAATGATTTCGATCCACCGAAATAGACGGGGTCGCGCGCGAGTACGACCGTCGCGAGTGCGGCCGCGCCCGCGTCAACGCGAGCCAGAGCGAGAAAGCGCGAGATCGTGATTCAGAGCGATTCAAAATAATATGCGATATATGTCGTCCGCTCTCACTCACTCACTTGCTCGCTCGCTCACTCGCTGGTGTGACATACCATACACACGCACACGCGTGAGAAATCGGAGGAACTCCGCTTTTAAAATACCTTTACGACTAATTTGGAGTTTTGAAAATTGGCGGTGTGGTCAAGGAGCGCGCTACACAGAACAGCTTCGCACGACTGCTGCAAATTACCACAGAAATGCGATACGAACCAGTGAGAATCTAACAGGAAGGAAAGCCACACTCGTTATCGCGACATGTTATCTCAAACCACGTATGCGACGCATTTTCAACGGGCGTTAGTCAACGACAACTACGGAAATAATCGATCGAAAGAAAGCAGAAATTCGTATTCCCGCCACTAACGTTCCACGCACCACCGCCGAACGTAACTCACCCGACGACCACGCAGCAGCGCCAGAAACACGAAAGCTCGCTCGTACGAGAATACCTTATTTGGAAATGCACACCCTGCTTATTTGAACAGTCACCCTCCGCAACGATATCGCTACGTCTACCGCTATTTGCTTCCCTCTCTCTCCCTCTCCCGCCCTTTCCCTCTCGTTTCCGTAGGCGCGCTATCGCCGCACATCCGCCTCTTTCGCAATTTCGTTTTCGTCTCGCCGCTAACGTTTTTGTATTAATCGGACGAATTACTGACATACGACGTACGATAATAGTCGATACCTTTGCCGAATCTTGTTAACGCGCCGCACGCTGCTCCCCGGCAAGTTACGCGCGTAAAACGAAACTTACAGACTAATCTCGCCCGTTGTGACAGAAGATGCACGAATTTGGATAAGTACTCTTCTCCCCGCCCCTAACCTCAAGCGTGGACGATGACGAAAACGGACGTGCGCGCGAGCGGCCGCTTTTCCAATTGCAACATGGCGTCTCACGTCGCCACATGATCGAGTCGGAATTCCTAGAGATCCCCAGAAAACGACTTCTTCTATTGGATAGCAAACGCGTTCCGAAAGTCGCTGAAACGATGCTCAAGCATTTTCGCATCGGCCATGGAGACCAATGACGTATATATAGGCCTATATTCTAAATCCTCTTTTATCGATAAAAGTGCCTTAAATGTAGCTTCTCAGCCAATCAGGTGGCTCCTAACCCTCTTTTATAGATAAAAGAGGATTCAGAATATGGACCATTGACCAAGCATTCTTATACTTCTAATGTAGCAGCGAGTGAAGCCGAAAGTTGGCAGTTTAAAACAGAGTGAGAAAGTTGATTTGCCCCTAGTGCTTTCTCTTTCTATCGTATAGGAAGAATATGGGTGCTATTTCACGTATCGTACGACAAGCTTTTCGGATACGTTTATTGGTTGGCGAATAGAGTATTTCTAGGTTCTCTATTCGTCAACCGATGAACGTATCCAAAAAGCTTGTCGTACGACATGTGAAATATCAGCCTATGGCCGCTGTCAAGCTGTCAAGTGCTATATATAATGCAATGCAGAATTAAAAGAATAAAACCATATCTTTTACTTATCTTGATATAAAATTGATATTTATAATATTTTATGTTGTGTATAAATAATCAGCAATTGCTTTTATCCTGTTCCCTTTCCACTGTCAAATGAAAAAAGTTAGGTTATTATGACGAGATACAGTTCTTGGATAAGGTTTAGTGCTGTAAATAGTTCCATTTAGTACTTTAGAGCGACAAATGGATCAATCACATTGCTTTATTTAACGTTTTAAAGTGTTTGCAGTGTTAAACAGGCTCTCCTGCTTGACAGTCAATAAGATAGAGTGAGAAGACACTAGGGGCAAAACTTTCTCACTCTGTTTTAAACTGCCAATTTCTGGCTTCACTTTGCGGACAGAATGCTTGGTCTATGTATATGCATCATTGATGGAGACTGCTTCGATCTGTTTTCTATTGCTGAATTGGCTGCACTAATTTCCTCTCATCTTTTTTCCACCAAGTTTTATCTATATATCTGTCTCTTTTTAAGTCCCAAAAATGTACATCAGTTCAACAATAGAAAACAGACCCTTTGTTTATTTATTTCTTATCCGTATTTAAATAGCATATGGATGGGGCTTTAACATTTCAGTTGCTACAGGCTGCATTCCGAAATTCACTGCCAGTGCTAAAATTCAATAGTATACGTGACATGGGCTGCGTTCCGTTTCACGCATATGCGCGCATTTATCTATAGTTCATGTTACATATATTGTAGGCAATGCGCGCATAATGCGTGAAACGGAACGCAACCATGAACTATAGATTTTCAGTACTGGCAGTGAATTTCGGAACGCAGCCATATATAGATGCGTTCGAAAACGTCATCCGGATGTCTTTCTCTCTTTATTTCACCTTCGTATCTCTCTCACTTCAACACAGTGGGTTATGGAGGATTCACACCGCGTCCGATATCCGACATACGATGTCCGATATCCAATAAGAGAACAGCTTTCCAATGAAGAATTGAATTCTCTATTAGAAAGCTGTTCTCCTATTGAATATCGGACATCGGACGCCGTGTGAATCTTCCACTAGGGATAGGCAAAAAGAATCGATGTTTAGAAAACATCGATGTTCGCTTATTAAGAATAATAGGTACGATTCAGCGAGCGCTGCAAATGCTTGGTAGCGTTTTTACTTCTTTCTCTTTCTTCATTCGAATCCTAAGAATAGAACAAGAGAAACGCTGCGCAGCATTTGTAGCGGTTGCTGGACCGCGCCCAATATTACATGTAGAGAAAATGTTAGGGTCTCTAGAAATTCTCTATCCGATAACCAATCAGTGCACGACTCTCTACATGTAATACCATCTTCGGGTGCGTTCAGATTCCCTACCCGGATGCACTCTATTACTAGAAACACTATAGTATATGTTACATATACTATAGCACTTCTAGTATTAGAGTCCACTCGGGTAGGGAATCTGAACGTACCCTTCAATGAGCGAACATCGATTCTTTTTGCCCATCCCTACGGGTGCGTTCAGATTCCCTACCTAGGTGCACTCTGTTACTAGAAACACTATAGTATATGTCACATATACTATAGCACTTCTTGTATTAGAGTGTACCCGGGTAAGGAATCTGAACGCAGCCTACAGTGGATGCACCCAGTAACATTTCCGAACGTACCCTACGTAAAAACAAATAAAATGTCTCTTATCTTATCTTGCTATATTTTTTATACCATGATTTTAGAAGGAAACCTCGGTGACGATGACACATCTGATCTTCGAATGGTCCTATAAGCTAGCCGGTTGGAGAAGTGAGTTATAGAAAGTAATAAAAACGATCGAAAGTCGACAGTATCCGTTACATTAATGTGGCAAAAAGAAGACTGTGCATTTAAAGTATGAATCTTGTCGAGAATTCAGATAGACAGTTTGTCGTAGATAATCAACTAAAAGATTTCATCGAGACCGAAAATAAGAAGCAACAATTTCAGGTTAGTTTTGACAGTCGTATAAGTTAGGTCGAGATTTTCTATTTTGTATGTATTTACCTTGCGATATTTTTATCTTGCAATATTCACGTAAAATATATTGCAATATTATTTTCTTCACATAAAACACATTGAATGACAAGCATCTAGAATATCAATTGCGTACGTACATGAATATCTATATGAATATATTTGTAGTTTTTTCCTCTTTACATTCATCTATAAAAAAAGGTGATGTAATGTTTTTGGTGATATTTTTAGGCATTGGTACATGAATTAACCGACATCTGTTGGGAGACTTGTATGGATAGGCCATCAGCACGTTTGGAGGCCAAAGTCCAGAAGTGCCTTGTAAATTGTGTGGAAAGATTCATTGATACCACTAACTTTGTAACAAATAGGTTAAAACATATCGCTACAAGCTCACAACCTGAACTAGATAGTTTGGAATGATTGCATCATTCTAAGGATCATCTTTATCCCCTATAAGTAGTGGTAGAAAGTTTCTGTAACATATTCCAATGTGAATTAAATCAGCATCAAGTGTTCATCATGCTGTCGAGCATACGGGATTTCTTTAAACGTCATCAGCGTAAATTTCTAATTGGAAGTGCCATTTTTGGTGGTATTATCCTTGCAACACGTTATACCCGTTACAAGATTCGTGAATGGCAACAAAAAGAGATAAGAGTAATACTGGAAAGAGCAAAGAAACAACAGCATTTTGAGCAATTGGAGAAAACATGTAATCAGATGACAACGAGTCTTGCATTAAACATAAGGAATACTATAATCAAGGAACTCGATGGGCAGACTATTATAAATCAACTTAAACATGGCTCTGCAGATAAAATAGCATTGTGGAATGAACTAAAAGTTGTATCTATTTCACGGTCGGCTGTAATAATTTATGCTTACACAATGCTAGTTACATTTCTTAAAATTCAAATCAATTTAATCAGCGGATATATGTACTTAAATCAAACTATGGACAACATTGAGGATTACGATATACGATCAAAATACTTGCAACTTTCTGCGTATTTTATATACGAAGGTGTTCAAAAATTGTGCCACCTTGTGAAAAGTAAAGTTGAACAAGTCACAACTTCAATATCCTTGAGCGATAAATTAACATTAAGAGAATTAGAACAAATTTATTGGGCAATCACATCATCTATATTTGCTGACAACTTAAATGATCCTATCAAGAATATTACAAGTTACACAGTATCTCAACAAGCTAATAAAGATAAAGAGACGCCCGTGTATACAAAAATAATTGATCAGACGCTAGATTTATTAGAGAGCGACGAAGTCCAAAATTTAACGCAAAGAAATATCCGGAGTGGATTTGTATCATTGATGGATCACATATCTGAATACTTTGGTGATGTTCCCAAAACCAGAAATGGATTATCTTATCCAGGACCATCAAATCAAGCCAACATGGACTCGACATGGATAAATCCAACTGAAGCAATAAATAATGGAACAAGCGAACTTTTAGATATTAATAAAACCACCATACCTATGGCCAAAATTATTCCAATTGTAATTGGACAAATTCCAGATAAACCAACATCAAAAGACGCATCAACAGATTGGCTTCAGTGTCTCATGTCAAATGATGAAATCAAAATGCTTGGAGCAAATATTTACGAGGCATTCAGTTATAAAACTTACACTTAAGTTGCGACAAATTTAATAATTATTTTGAAATTACATAATAGAGTATAGCAGCACGTTTTTAGAATATATGTAGATATATAATGAACGATATATAATTTACAATCAGGGAAGGTAATAATTTGTGTGAATAAAATATTCCCATTCAAAGTTTAATTTCGTAGAAAAAATTGAAGATTAAAAAATAAATTTACTCAGTTTGAATCATATTTGATTTCTTCTTCTTTTTTTACATAAATTGATTCTGGTCGTTCTGCATATAAGAATATCTGTTAAAAGTAGAGATATGATACATTTTTTGTTTTATACATACCCATATATATATATATATATATATATATATATATATATATATATATATATATATATATATATATGAAAATCATATAATATTTATAATAAAGTATATTTTATTTTTAGTTTTCATGATCGTTTTATGAATATTGGTTTTGGTGATTATTTCATGATCTTGCCTTAATTATTTTCATATGCAGAAACAAAAAAAATTATATCTTTTGATATATTTTCATGTTTTTTATATACTGGCACTATTTTGCCAGTAATCGCATATTGAGTATTTTATCAATTAGGATTTTATTTTTCACTCCAAATCAATTTGAATTGAGAACATGTGCACATTATTAAGAACATGTGTGTGTGCAAGTATCTCATACATATATATATATATATATATACAGGATGTCTCACACTCCGGGCATTTTGAGGGAACGTAGAACAGGTTGCGGTGAACATAAAAGTCCTATACTGTTTTGCGATATTCGCAATAATTATCGAGATATTGTAGAAAATTTGTGAATGATTATACAGAATTTGATAAATGAGTTATAGTAGCGACGACTGCCGTCGTGTACTTTAGGTCAAATTGAACAAAAAAGTCCTCTACCATTTTGCAAATAATCACATAGATTTTTAATTATTAATTAAAGAAGATGAGTGCATTATCACGCAAAATCGTGCAATAATCTTCTTTAATTAATCATTAAAAATCTGTTTTTATTTGATTATTTGGAAAATGATAGACTTTTTTGTTTAATTTGACCTAAAGTATAAATACACGACGGCAGTCGTCACTATTATAACTCATTTACCATATCCTGCATGATTATTTACAAATTTTCTACAATTAATATCTCGATCATTATTGCGAATATCGCAAAACGGTATAGGACTTTTATGTTCACCACAACCTGTTCTACGTTCCCACAAAATGCCCGGAGGAAAGTGTGAGACACCCTGTATACACATATACACACACACACACACACACACACACACACACACACACACACACACACACACACACACACATATATATATATTATATAGTTATAAATTTTATAAATACTTAAATAAGTGGCAAATAAAATGATATTTAACAACGAGAGATATACTATTCTCACATATATTTAATTAATGATTTGATATTTACGTAAAATTTGTGTGTCGCGTACATCTATAATTTTATGTAAACTTCCTATATTTTCCCGTTCTACATACATCATATTCCAATCCTGATTAAAATGGTTTACTCACATAAAAGAAATATTAATACATCAAAGATCATTAATGAGAATGTAATATTGAAAAAAAAACAGTGAAATCTGTTACTTCCATAATTTCTTAATCGACATATTTTTTTCGGAATCCTTTTGCATCACTTTTGCTACAGCCATTTCAAAATCCTCTTGAGTTACATGGACACGACGTTCTCTAAGAGCATACATTCCAGCTTCAGTGCAGACACCCTAGTAAATTATATGTATTTATATACATGTTTTCGTTTTATATTTGTATTGATATTCATTTGATTTATATTGATGTTTTCGTTTTATATTTTATATTGATATAAAAAAAATAAAATATAAAGATATTGTGTTAAAAGAGTTTTTAAAAATGTTTTTTAAGCTTTTAAGAATAAAAACACAAGTGAGATGACATGTTAGAAACATTACTGAATTCTTGCAAGTAGAACACTAAACATTTATATCCCTTTATTCTAAATAATCTTAAATCTTCAAGAGAGCTTCGAAATAGATTAGATATACAATCAACATTTATATATATATTCTGTATTAATAGCTGCAAATATAAGCTAAACTTATGTTTTATTACCTTAACTTCTGCCCCTGATGCACCAGGCATGAGTTCAGCTATCTTTCTTAGATTTATTCCACGTGTTAAGTTCATTTTCCTAGAATGAATCTTTAAGATGTCCAATCTAGCTTCTTCATTTGGAGGTGGGAATTCGATTTTACGATCAATACGTCCAGGACGTAATAATGCCGGATCCAAGATATCAATTCTGTTTGTAGCCATGATAACTTTTATATTCTTTGTTGCTTCAAAACCATCCAATTGATTAAGTAACTCTAACATGGTTCGTTGAACCTGAAAGTATAATATGTTTAAAAATATAAAATTACAAGTATGAATTTATATAGCTTCTTTTTCTATATTTACTTCACTATCGCCTCCAGATCCAGATTCAATTCGGGAACTACCGATGGAGTCAATTTCATCCATGAATATTATAGATGGTGCATGTTCTCTTGCCATAACAAAAAGTTCACGCACCATACGTGATCCTTCTCCAATAAATTTCTGTACTAATTCAGATCCAGATACACGAATAAAAGTACATTCAGTATGATGTGCAACTGCTCTTGCAAGCAAAGTCTTGCCAGTACCTGAAGATTATACATTATTAAAATACATTAATATTTTGATAAAATTCCGCGTTTATGTTTCTACTTATCCATTTTAATTAATACTGTTTTGCAAACATGCGATTGCACTAAAAGATACACTGAAGAAGATCAAATAAATGATCAAAATGTTTTTTTTCATTTACGTAAAAACTAAAATTTTTTTAATTATATTCACATTACCACATTAATTATCTTGAATTAACTCTTATTAATCTTATAATTATACTAATTTACTAAAATATAATTAAGATTGATAAAGAATTTACAGTAAACAACTGATAGTAAAATATAATATTAAATGTTCCTTTTTAATGATATGATAGACTGTTACCTGGTGGTCCATACAAGAGCACACCTTTAGGTTGTGCAATTCCAAGGGCATCAAACAGTTCTGGATGCTTAACAGGCAACTCTATAACTTCTTTAATTTCTTTTATTTGTTTGTCTAAACCTCCAACCATTTCATATGTGGAATCTGGTACTTTCTCTACCATCATGAGGGAAACAAGTGGATCCACTTTGTTTGGCAATATTTTATGTAAAGTATAACTTTCATTACGCAAAGCCACACGTGAGTTTGGTGTCACATCATTAATGTCAATATTCTTGTCTAAATCTACTACAAATTTGCCTTCAGGATGTACTTTGACTAAAACCTTTTTCTTGTCCATCGGTTTAACTACCTCTCCTACATAAGAGCCTTGTTCCTGTAAAAGTTGCAACTCCTCCCGAAGCATACGTACTATATAAAGAAGGAAAAGAACATAACAATTATTACATGAAAGTAATTTTTTTTACACAAAACCAAAAGTATGTTAAATTTTTATGAATTATATACAATATTTATATTACATCAAATTAGTACCTTTTGCATTGAGCTCATTACGCTGTGCTTGCAATCTCCTTAAATTTTGGCTTTTCTCAGCAACAATTAATTGTAATTCCTCGATTTTCGTAATATAATATGGTTTGAAACCTTCACCCTTGGCATTTTTCTCATCAATGTCCATCTGAAAAATTTCCGAAGTGTGTATTTGTGTTATAGTTGTAAATAAATATAAAATTTCAGTCACCGTAGTGATTAAAATTTCCTTTACCTTATTTGTAAGCGTCATGATTGACTCACAAGTAATGAACGTTCCAAATATAAGTATTTAATATATTTCCATTTATAATGAAACACTGGTGAATGTCAACTTCTACTACGAGACCTAACCTTATCTTTCGCCAAATTTCACAAACGGCCACTTCTTGCTTGTCATTATTAAGGCTTATCCAGATGAACTAGCATAACCTCATAATCGCATGTCTAACGATTAATTTTCAGAAAACGAATTCCCCTATTGGACCCAGGTATGTTCCAAAATTCATTGATAAAAATACAGAAGCATAGAGGGCGAAAGCATCGAAAGTATTGAGAAACTTTAAGTGGATCGCACTCTAAACACCACCTCTAAATATCTATTATAGCAATTGAACTACACCTTGTGGAAACGATTAATGATTAGTGGATTTGATTTGTGCATTCTTTCAGATCTCGACTAAATGTAACGCAGTCATTACTCCGATTGCTCTTTTCAATGAGTATGTTCTAAGATATAAAACGAGTTGATCGTCTACATGAATCGACGCTTCCGCGACATAAATATGTAAATACAGTATGGCCGAGAGAAGCGGAATCTTTCTTACTTTTGCGGATGGCATTTTGCCATATGACTGAGAGGGTCGTAAAATTTCACTATTCAATGTAATCTTGTGGATTTACGTACCGTTGAATGAAATGACGTGAGCGATTCCATGAAAACTTTATAACGTATTTCAACCGGTCGCACGGGTATGTTGCTCGGTTGTCACTGGTGAGAAAGAGAAGGAGAGAGAGAGAAAGAGATGTTATGTTTATATCCCGACGAGAGCAGGACGTAGCAAGAGACGTTCGTGAGCGCTGAATCTACGAGAGGATGGAATGCAACGAACGAAAACGCTAATATACAATTTAACGCTATGCCGCGGCAAGCTTACACTGTGTGTCCTGATATTTCGCTGGACGATGTTAAGGCAGTAAGCACTGTCATGGACACAGATGTGGAACTTGGCAAAAGTGAAGGGTGCGAAACTATTCCGGGTTGCTCCGGTTACTCTAGCATGGTGCACAGTAAGAAAGTTATTAAACATGCATTACGACAGCAGGCCAAACGGCGTAGAAAGAATACAACAATAGCGGCAGGCAATTCCCGTACATTACCTAGGATTGTTGTCAAGCCGTTACCTCCACCTCCACCAAATGATCCACCATCTCCAGTTAATAATGTACAACACATCAACACAGGTAATTTTTGCGTTGAGACATAATTGTCCTATTTATATTTTGTACATACAGTATATCGATATCATTATACATGAAATGTCTCCTAAGACAACTAGCTGTCTCATTTATTTTTTAAACTAAAGAAGATAACAGTTTATTATTTTGCTTGAGCAAAGTTCACTTTACAATAATGCTAGATGACTGAAGCATTAAACTTGGTTTTTAATTGTGCCAATCCATTGATACATAATTTGATAACTGGCAAGTATTTCTAATAAGTCAAATTTTGCATGGATATAGCAGTGGAAGAACCTGCTGCCACAATGAGAGAGGTTTTGGCTAGTTTACCTGGATTTAGTTTAAAATCAGGTCGCAGACGATCTACAAAGAGATTGTCAGCAACTGCGCAACTAGAAGCTGGTCTGGTGGATTTGGAATCTCCAGCGAGCATATTAGCAAGTACGAGTTTACGAGCTCTATTAAATAGGCATACTTTTCAAGGCTTACCTCCATTGTATCAGCGAAAACTCGCACAACTTCTACCTGCTGTAGATAGACAGGTACAATTTTTTAACCTCTATGATATACTACTGTATATATTGATTGATGTTGATTCAGCAAGATTTAACGCGTTATCTATATTAATTATATCCTCAGGATGCTGCTATCTCCGGATTGAATAATGAATTCTTTGCGAGAGCTTGTCTAGAATGGCGAAAGCGTTTAGCAGAGGGAGAATTCACTCCAGAGAACCAACAACGTCTGAAAATGGAAGCAGAGCGCGATAAGAATAAGCTAGATCCATGGAAAGTAAAACACTTCGAACCAATATGGGGAGAAAAACGAGAGCCTAAACTCAAATCGAGTCTTCATTATATTAACGAGTCACGTTCTAGTGGTGCGGTAACACGTTCAAGTTTAAGACTTCGTTTGGAGGCCAACATTGATATCCCTGTGTCGGAACACACGGTCTGTCCCATCGTAATGGCAGAAGATAAGAGTGACACCAATTGCAAGACTGAGATCAGTATAAAAAATTCCGACGATATAACTAACTCTGAAGAAGTGCAGCAAAATTTGATACCTTTGGATTATAATACATTGCCGGAGAATTTAACCGACGAGAAACACCTGGAAGATGCTGCGCACATAAATTCTGTAGAAGCAACAGAAGATATTCAAATGCACGAGAGTAGAAATACGGAAGATGTTCAAATTCATGAGAGTAGAAATGCAGAAGATATCCAAATGCATAAGAGTAAAACAGAAGAGATTGACAAAATTATGGACGTTTGTAATAAACAAGATATAATTGAAGCTAATGATATCACGAGACAAACTTGTCAACAGGAAGATATCTCGAATGTCTATGAAGAAGAAACAGAATTTACTCCCAGCGAGAAAAACGTACAACCTATAGAAAGCAATATAATTGAAGCGTCAGAAGAAGACACTGTGCTGTTACCTGATGATAATTCATCGCCTAGATCCAGTGAACAGATGGAACGTGCATCTCACACATCTGGGGAATCGATTTCGCAGATATCCAACGAGTACATGTCGCAGGCATCCATAGATCAAATTCCGCAAATCGCAAAAGAGCAACTTTCTCAAATATCTAACGATCAAATTTATCAAATGTCGGATTGTGAAACCACGAGTATCCTAAAGACTTCATCGCCACAGGATCAAGTTAGGCCAGGAGATATTGTAATGGAAGACACCAATTTAATTAACAGCAATCAGACTGAAGCAAGTCAGGCTTCGCATGAGAATCCAGCGGATAACGAATCTCAGATTCCAGAAGGAATGGAGATTGATAGCGAAACCTTGCAACGTATCCATGAACTCGAGGTAAGCTGAAAAAGTTCCAGCGCATTGCGAGCTTATCAACGAATTGCATTGCAGTTGTTAAATATTTTTGCGTTATAATTGTATTCCAGGTACGAGGAGAAATGCGGGAAATGTACGAAGAAATTTCGGGATGTCCGGAAGAAATAATATATCCGATTTTGGAAGGAATGGAGATGGCTTCAACTAATACGGAAGTAACCGAACCACAAGTGGTATCTGGACAGACTGAAGATACCAGAGCAACGGACGTAAATGCCGGTAATGAGGATGAAGCTCTTCGAGAAGCAAATAATTATGTCTGTTCCGAAATGTTAGAGTGCAGTTGGACAGTGGATCCGACTGTTAATGGTATCAGCAATAATAACAACAACAACAATAGGGTAAGCATATATGCGTGATATGATTATACTCGAACATTTCTTCGAAATTGTTTACAATTTTATACTAATTTGCACATATTACTTTTACACGGACAAAGACGCAAGAGGAACTACAAGTTCCTTGGCCTTTGGTAGCAGCTGCACTCGACGGATCTGTAGCGGCTAATATCACAGTGACAACGCAGGATGAGTGCAGCGAAACGTCTACAACTACCGACTCTACGAATCCTTCGCAACAATTTATTAGCACCGACACTAATGTGGAACCTGTCAACTGCATTCAATTGCCAGTTGTTCAGAGTGCTGCGTTTCAACCGGACGGCTTGGCCATCAATACGCCCGGGACCAGTTGCGTGATGAAGAGCTTGCAAAGCTCGCAAGACCCGCCAATTATCGCATTCCCGCAGTTGCAGTCCATCAGATTCGTGCAAACCAGCTTTAACCCGCAGGAGCAGGAGACCACGTCCACGTTGAATAACTCGTCCGCAATCTCGGCCGCCCAAATGCAGCCACAACCGAGCACTACTGCTCAAGTTAATATGATTCGGACACAGGATACTATCGCTCAAGTGAATACACAAAATAATAATAATAACGCTCGTAGTAACGTTCAGAATATCATCGCGACGCAAGGCCAAGTACAAAATGCTCTCCCAACTACATTGGGAGTGCAGTCTCAGAATCGGGCGCAGAATGCGATTGTTATTCAGCACCAGGCTACTACCTCCGCTCAACCCCGACAAATCGCAGCTGCTGTACATCAACAACAACAACAACCACCACCACAACAGCAGCAGCAATATGCTGGATCATCCGTGACCGTCTCATCACGATCCTCACGTGTGTCTAATCAAGGCAGCCAGAGAGGTTCTAGAAACAGTAATAAGGAGCAAGGAGGTAGATCAAGAAGCTCTACGAAAGAACCGCCGGGTGCTGTCAATTTAGAGCGCAGTTATCAAATATGTCAAGCGGTAAATATTAATCCAACAAAGTTACACACAAAATGTATTAAAAAAAAAAATTGATTTTTATTTATGTATACTCGTGATTATTGCTTCCAGGTCATACAAAGTTCGCCGAATAGAGATCAATTGAAAGCTCATTTAAAACCACCACCTAGCTTACTTGCTAGAGCAGATGGTGCTTTCACGACAAACAAGTCTGGCGGACGGACGGTAACGACGGTGAAACCTCAAAAAACGCAGCAAGCGATCCAGCATAACAAACAAGTCCAAAATAAATCACAGACTGTTATGCTGAGACATGTTTTTGCCACAGCGCGTCAAGCTACATCAACGGAGGTATGTAACACATATTATAAAAAATTGTGCTTTTGAAATGATATCTATCTGCTAGAAGCACGCATACACGTAACTTATTACATTAACTTTTTTAAGAGACGTGTGAGAAAAATTGCCGTCAATTCTTGGCGTACTTACGGCAAATCATTATCGAATTTTATGAAAAAAAATAAATGGAGAAGATAGATTATGATAATAAATTGTAATAATATATAAAGTTTTTCTTTATTCTGTGAATAAATGTCTAATTCGACTTTATTTCTGAATAAACTTTTCTTATTGTATGAAATGTGTACTGGACACTCTTGAGCATACGTGCATACTATTTTATACTTTTCTGTGTGTACAGTGCTAATCTCGTGGGTCGCTTGTGATGATCTCTGTATCATACAGGTACCTAAATAAACAAATCTTTATCTTAGTTTTGGATATCGAAATGCAGTAGTGGAGATAGTACGACTTTGTCAGATGCAACGACATAGCAATGCGTGCATTGCTACAAAAATTTACTTCTGCAAATACGATGACAACGGGGATGAGCAAATGTGTTTGTTGTACCGATGATGAGCATAAAAATATTACAAATCGAAATGTTACTCGTACAATATATCCCTACTCGGATGAAAGTAACTTGAACACGAAACGTTGGTTCAAGTTGCGTTAGATTTTTATGACGATCGTATCAATAATGTTCTCAATGCCTTGCAGGTTGCAGAAAACGCTCCTATAGCACAACTCGGATCTACCACTAGTAACGGTCTTGGGCAATACATACTTGTACAAAGAACGGGAGTTGGGGATAGTGCTCCAAGAGCGTCGTCTGCCCCTCCGTTACCTCCACAAATCGCAGGGATGGGTGTCGGAGTGCATTTGGTGCGTGGACGACCGGCAAGCGCTGGAGAAGGTTCTCATCAAGCTGTCACGTTGAAAGCAAGAGGCGTGGATGGCAGAGTGACGGGTGGCGCGGAACCCGGTGCACCTGGTATGATAATCGGAGGTGATCCACCACCCCCTTGCGAATGTAATATGCGAGGAGCTATGGTAATTTGTCGGCAGTGTGGTGCCTTCTGCCACGATGACTGCATCGGGCCTAATCGTGTCTGTACTACCTGCCTCATACCTTAATCATTCTTCACCGACTGTTCGTGTATAAATTTAAACCCGTTACGAGATTAGAGTGCTGAGAGAATTCGGTTATAAATTAACAATGAAATTCAGCGATAAATTAACGCGAAAAACAACTGAATTCGCTGAACGAATACAAATTTCTTGTATAACAAAATTGTACTATATTAATACGACTGTCTTTTTAATCCAGTCAGAGAGATAAGACGAATGTTTCTGATGCACTAAGATTGATTGAGATTAAACAGGAATTAATAAAAAAATAAAATTTTACACATTAGTTCTTATCTGTAATGCACTTATGTTCCTTCTGCTATGTTTTAAGATAGTTGCACCAGAGCCCAAGCTTTATTACATTAAAATAATTTTATATTAAATATATGTCGCTTATATAGATTTTACTTCATAAAAAAGAGAATGATACAAAAATTTATAATATATTTTGTAAAAAGGAATATATGTTCTTTAGTGTTATGCAGTACTTGGAAATTTCTCAATTTGATCAAATAAAGACTTTTTTGGTTTAGCATCTTTGGCAATTTTGTTTTGTAAGAATTATCTATTTGACTGGAGTACACACCCGTAAAATTAATTGATCAAAATATTATAAATGTTTACTGTCCAGCACTCTCTCTCTTTCTCTTTTTCTTTTTACTTCTCTCTATCCTCTCTCTTACATTAACGAAAACTCCTATTTTAAAGTTAAGGGTGATAAAGGATACAGTTGAAAGTATCAAGAAATATTCGATTATTCTATTATAAATTTAATAAAAAATATACATATTCTTATTATTATATTCTTGCCTATCATACAGATTTTATTACAGACTGGCATACATGTATAATATGTTGCTAACAGATATTTCTGACTTCAGATATTTTATCGACTTTATACAATGTATACAAAATTATGTTAACAAAATTAGCTTGTATAATAAAAGTACAGTGATATCTGCCTAGTTATTTGACCGAGAGACAACTTAATTTTTGCTAGAGAAGTTTATTTACTGAATAATTATTCTAAATTTTAATTTTTTTTATATAATATTTTTATATTTTGTTTCCGAATTTATTGCTACATTAACAAGACATCTGTGAATTCTATTTAAATAAAAAGCAAAAAAATATATTCGATATGGAGAACTATGAAAATATATAATGTTTATTTGCTTTGTGAAATAATCAAACTCTAGTCTATACTATGTAACATATAGTATTATGTATGCACGTGTATGTGTACATATACTTTATAATATAGAAATAGCACAAAAGAATAAGTATACTTGTACTATTTCTATATTTATTTATTATGTATTTATTACATCGATAGTAAAATCTTTTATATTTTTTGTAATTTTTGTATTTTCTTTATTATATATTTCCCATTTCATTATCACTCTCATGCTCACAAAGTGCTTCTCTAAATCATTTTACGATTATTTCACACGCAATCACAGCATTTACTAATAAGATGATATGCACGGTGTTTTATTAATATGATATTTAATTACATTATAATTTTTGCTACTAATTCCACTATTTCAACTGTATTCTTGGAACCCTTGCTCAAAGTTTAAAACATAAATCTCCCATACACCAATCCTAATACAGTCTTCCACTAAACATCACACTCTGTAATATGTATATGTTTGTTATTTATTTATTATCATGAATTTATTTTTATTATAGCTGTGTAGAGAAGATATTCCTGTACATGTTGATCTCGAAGCTAAGCGATAAATCCTTTGTACATGCTCTCTTTTAAATCATTCCTTTGAAATAGGACGATCTACTAAACTCTATTTGAATCTTAATATAATTCACGCTATCTTTTGCATATTAGTATATGTTATATGTCAAACTAGTATCGTCGGACATTATGTACAGGAATGTAATTTAACATGAAAATGAATAATTAAGATTAACAGTTTATTGCAGATAATAATAAAAAGAAAAAAAAGAACAAAAATAACTGAATATTCATAGCTATAAAACTAGGGGTATACATATGTAGTTCTATATTATTCGATTTTATCTCCCACTTTGTTACAATTAACTCTAACGTTGTTAGTATACCGAGGAATGATTTATCGAGAAATCGCGTACGGTTTGATCATCACCATAACTTTATCCATATGTTTTAGTTCCAGTTAGTGTTAACAATCAGTTTACAGTGTCTTTGCAAATATCCCATGCAAATAATGTAAAGGATCTGCAAAGAAAAAAAATCTTGCAAAGTATTGATTTTCATGATCTTAAGATGGTGTTACTGATTGGAGCATAACATATACATGTCGTATTAAATGCTATAACCGTACACCTACAATATATTGTATCAACTTTGAAACAATGTTCAAATGTTTATACACTTGCATTACTCAAAAAATGTCAAGACAGAGATTTCAACACTCATCACCTTATGTTAACCAGATAAGCATTGACAGCATTATTTTTAGCATTAATATCTGATTTATATATTAACTTCATATTATTTATTTACAAAATGTTTCACATTGGACAAAAAACCTGTTTGAATCTTTAATAATTGAATCTCAAATATCAGATATTAATTTCATGAGAATGACAGAAGCTACCCCAAAAATATTAAAATATCGCAAATAGTTATAAAACTATTTGAGGATGAAAATGGAAGAGGGATTACTTCAAAATCAATTTCAAAAATGCATACAGATAAAATCTTATCTCATAGTTATTTGAATTTTAACTGGATTTACTTGAAATATTAAATACCAAAATTCAAAATTATTGATTGATAAATTTTTTATTATTCTCAGTAAATCCTCTATATATTTCGAGTAAAATATCTTATGTTACAGGAAAATAATAATTACCACGACGAAACAGTGAACAATGTGGTAAATAAGATCGATTATGGTGTGCAGTTGTAGCGTTAGAATACTTAATTTTATGTACATTAGTTCATTTTCTCTTTCATCTCTGTGTGTACACATTCATACTTAAATCCTCTCCCTATCCAGTTGTTATGATCGTATAAGGATTTTAAGCAGTTGAAGGTTTTGAGGCAATAATATGCTAAGTCACACGACGTGTAAAGACACGCCACATCTTAGGCTTATATTTATTTATTGGTTCTGTTATGCCGCGATTTGATTACTTACACTTTTCGGTACATGAAACAATAAATTCGAAGATCTTTTTTCTGTCGCTCGTCCGCGATAATTTATCCCGTGTGGCTTGATACGTTATCGCCCTGGTCCGTCAACTTACGTTTAACGAAATTAAGAAATGTGCGTTGCATATTATGTGTTATACTTTTCTTGATATTTTTAACTGCGTTACTTACTGGTACCGATTATCTATTATGGCGCGCATCGCAATTATGACATTTATTTTTTATTCAGTAATAATAGTAATTAGTATTACTGCAATTCGATAGAAGTTACTCTGTATCCGTCGCTCAAATGTAAATAAAGTAATATACGTTTAATATGGGAACTTGTTTAATATTTAAGTATTTATTGCGCGATTCGAGAATGTTTTACAGTTTCCGTTGTTTAATAAAGATCCGGAAGGTAAAAGCGCAAAGGGTAAAAATATTGTGAATTTGTTTCCAAGAAAACGCTAGATGTCGTCTACAGTCCATTAACAGCTTCATTAGTTCCTTACAAAAGCGTTAGATGGCAGCAGATAAGACATTAGTTGCTTTCACCATGACACAGTGTGTGTCGAATAATTGTTACGTGTACGTATAAATCATTGTATTCGCTTTTTCAATTAAAAATTTTCATCGGTTTTTTTTTTCGATTATGGCTTGGTTATCAGATCTTGCTGATAAGGCAGAAAATTTACTAAATAAAATCGACAAAAATACTGCAGCCGTTTTGAATAAAGACAAGTACGAGATGTCACATAGTCATCTGTCAGAAGTTTCATGGCTTTCTCCGGAACCACGGTAATTGTGTTCATGTAAATTTCAGATTATTGCTGATAAATATTTCAATTAGAGACTACTTCACAAATTTCAATAAAATCTTATTGTTTTATCTTTATTTAGCATCACAAAGTATAAATTTATATTTTCCATAAGATTGTTAGCTCTGGATAATCATCAATAATTAAACATTTTTTTTCAAAAATGTATTCAATGACATTGTAGAAAATCAATCGGTTTAAGTGAATAGAAATTTAATAAGTTTCTTTGTTTTTCTTTTTTTAGATTGAATGAAGACACATCCAAGGTACCCTTATTGGAATCATCTAATCATATAACCTATATTGGTCCTACTTCAAATTTAACATCATTAAATCTATTAAATGTAACAGCATCTAAAGATGATGCCTTGTTTACATACTTAAATACTCCAGAACCAAGTCCAAAAAGGACAACAGAATCCTTGAAATCACCGTCAACTACCTCTTCGTTATTAGTGGAGCATCCTACTGACGATACAGACTCAGAATTATCGATTCATAGTGATCGGATTAGCCCAACTCCAACTCATATCTCCATAGATGTTTTAAATGATAAAGATACACAAATAGATGCTGAAAATACAAATTTAAATCTATCTAATGATATAAACACTTTAGACTGTGAGCACATAAATAAGCAAGTAATAGAGGTCCATGTACAAAATGGTATACTTATATATATATATGTGTATTTCTTTTTTAGAGTATGTATTTTTGTTAAATTAAAATTCTATTTAGCATTTATGTTGCAGAACATAATGGCATGGAAGAACACTCAAATATTTTCTATTCTCTACCTGAATATAAAGTAAAAACCAATAGTTTAATGACAGATAACTCAAATAGTTTAACAGACTTAGTAGAAAATAAATCTATACAAAAGTATATGAGAGAAATGGAGATGAATTTGGTGAAACAAAATGAGTTACTTGGAAAACAGGAGACAGATCACCAAAAGGAGATTATAATGTTAAATGAAAAATTAAAAGCTTTTGAAGCAGAAAAGTTGGAACAGTCAAAACAAATAATGGATTTGCAATTCATCATTGATAGAAACAGGCAAGAATTAAACTCTGTTAGATCAGAATTGGAACAGCATAAAGCTAGAGCATTAAAAACTTTACAAGAAAAGGAGAAACTCATTGCAGAATTGAAAAGTAATGCATCAACAGCTATGGATGAAGCCACTGTCATGGAATTGAATCAATTAAAGTATTTATTATTAAATATATTGTCACATAAAATTCTTTCATTCTTTTTATGGAGCACAATATAACTTGTTGCATTAAATCACAGGCAGGAACGCGATGCCGTTAGGGAGGAAAATCAACAAATGTGTCACCAGTTGAAAATACTACGTGAAGAGCTCATAAATGCAGATCTAAACTTGGAAAAAATTAAACAAAAATCAACCGAAACAAATCTACAAAATCAAGAGATTCTCGCTAACGAAAGACGTCGAAGGTTAGATGCAGAAGAAGATGTGAGACTGCATTCTGAGGTATACCTGTGCACTTTTTTATTGTATTTATATAAATGTTACATTCGTGGAAGTGACTAGATTAATAAAAATATATTGTTTTACAGGAAATAAGATCTTTGAAAGATGAATTAATTACTGAACGCAACGGATTCAGCTTACAATTACAAAGACAAGATTCTGAGATTTCTAAACTTAGGTTGCAATTGTCCGCATCAGCAATACCCAATAGTGAAATGGATTCGAGACTAGCATCCCTTACAAAAACTCTGGTTCTAAAACAGCAAGCATTAGAGTGCTTGACAACAGAGAGGAACGCATTACGTCTTCAACTAGAAAAACTTGAAGTAAGTATAACGGATTGAACACTTGAGAACATAGATAATATGTTCTAATAGATAATATAGAGAATATGTATAATATGTTTGCTATAATTTCCTTCGCAATATATTACTCTAGACTTAAAATTGACACAGATATATACTATACATGTTCAACACATTGTAAAATGTGTCTGTAGTAATCTTTTAAGTATTTTACACATAATATAAAATCCTGATAGTAATTTTTCTAACAGCACGAGTATAGAAATGTTGCTGGCAATTTACGAAGAAATATATCGTATAATAATATGAATGATACGGACGACGCAAAGGCCCAAGTCCCCATGTTTTTAATGGAAACACCGTTTGACACGAGCGTTACAAGAAGAGTAAAGAGAGCTTATTCTTCATTAGATGCCATAAGCGTACGAACAGGAGTATTTTTAAGGAGATATCCATTAGCTAGAATTTTAGTATTGATTTATATGGTGAGTGTACATGGATATGTAATTTTGTCATTAACATTATAAAAGAATATCATTATATTATATGTTATATATATATATATATATATATATATCCTTACAGGCATTGCTCCAGTTTTGGGTTTTAGTAGTACTCCTATCTCAATCACCAGAAGCGCACTAACGATTGAAACGCATTATATCTTAAGACAAAACATATATATTTATAGAAAACTTCACTTTGTGAATATCAGAGGATAATATTTGAATTTTATGTAAATTAGATCTTGTACAGTTTAATGTAGCAATCTTCAAAGTCAAAGAAAACCATAGTTAAATGAAAAACCTGAATAAATATATGATAAATTTCAGTGATAGATTCGTAAGAGATATTACAATCTTTAAATTATATTTACTTTTTTACTACACGTTTAAATACGTACGATGTTACAGTTAAATGTATTGCGTGGATAGTATTAAAATAAAAATATACAATAAAAAACTGAAATAGATAAATTAATATTTGTTTTTTTTTGTTAATATGTTTATCAATTACAATAGAGTTTAGTATTATTGTGCCGATAAGAACTATTAGTATACTCATTTAGTATACTTAATGTTATAACAAGATGTTATTTGTAATGTCTTTTTGCAGTAGATTTATTCACATATATAAGATCAAATTCCCAAAAACATTTCCCGTGATTACGTGGACAATAAAACATTTCTAAATTATAGGAAATATTATGGTTAAATCTAATCACTACATCAAATCTAAATATTATGTAAGTGTTGCTTTTCTACTATAAATGTATATATTTGTATTGCTCTCAAGTGACTGGAAAATAGCGCTTAGACGCATACGTAATACATGCACTTTTAGGCACAAATCCTATCAGTTATTTCTACATATATTTGATTGAATAATGTATTTATGTTAAAAGAATATTTATCACATAATTTTTTAGTATATGAAATTTATTTTATATATATATATATATAGCCCCCTGAAATATATATATATATATATATATATATAGCCCCCTGAAATATATATATATATATATATATATATATATATATATATATATATATATATATACATACTATAATTATCACACAATTGTAAAACTAAAGTATAGATCAAATGCAGTATTAATATTGCTTTCGATCTGTCGGTTAAATGTAAATATTTCAAAATGCATCACGATTATGTACAATAAATAATAATTTTTGAACTATATGAAAGATCTATCAAATTCTTTTTATAAATATATTATTTTTATACACGCACGTGTACGTACACACACGTACACACATTATCTTCATCCTCATCAATACATTTCTCTCATACTATGTATTCTAATAGATAAACACACAAACAATTATATGAAACAATTATATTAAATTATTCAATAAGATTCTCAATAATTTTGAATATCTTATATGAACCAAGTTAAATATTGTGCATTAAATTAGTGAAAGAACATCATGTAAAGAATAAAATATTTTTTTGGTTTTTTAACGATTTCAAATATTTCAAAATATGATCACACTGTATCACTAACCTCATGAAATATTTCGATAAATTAATGTATTTTAACTCTCTGATACACTACGATAATATGCCGTTTTAACAAATTGAAATAGATATATTGTTGCAAAGATTTCCACTTATATTAGTCCACAAATGTTAATGAAATAAATCATCGCTGCTTCCAGACTAAGAAATACTGACTTCTAACCTGGATTGTTTAAAAATTTACAATATTTAAGATAGACTATTGACCCGACTTATTCGTTTGTTAAGAAGAGTTTATTCTGTACATATAAAAATTGTATTTTATATATGTATTTATGTACATAAATACATACGTGTGTGTGTATATATATATAGAATAAATTTTTTTGCTTTTTAGATGTTTTTTAGATATTTTTTAAATCGTTTTTTAAATGTGGATGGACAGAGATAAATACACAGAACGATCGATTATTAACCCTATTCTTTGCACAAGAATGCGCAATTTTTATCTTAATCGTGTTTATCGCAGGTAGAGGTAACTCTACGAATGGAATCGAACGAATTTTCGGTCGAATCGGAGTCGAATGATACCGATATCGTCGAGATAACCTTGTCCGTAGATGATGAGACGATCTCACCTTCAAGTTGCGGCATTTGCAATCTATCTTGTTGACGCTGATTTTTCGGATTATTTAATACTGAACGAAGAAATCTTCGTGTTTCCGCCCGCAATGCGTTTACGCGTCTTTGAAGGATACGATTGCGCCGCACAAGAGTTATCGTACGGATAACGATACTCCAGAGATCTGCGGAAATAATCCGAAAATGCATCGAGAACAAAGTACTATCGTTAAAACGAAATAAAACAATTGTCAAGCTCGGCCAAACTGGAGTCACAGGACATTTGCGTCAAACCTTATTTAAACGTGATCGTGAATTCGCTAGTAAGCATTTGTCGTTGAAACATTTTCAAGTGATTTCGCAAAAATCTATCACACATGCAACGTAACAAGAGAATTCTATTTACAACAAAAATTGCTACGTTCAATATCTTTATATTTGAATAAAAAATGATTTCACGCAAAGTTCATGACATTTTATCGGCCAGCTTGTTGAAAAAGCTCAAAATAACTTTGCTAACATTCGTTATACCTTTTCTTGCCGCGACGAGTTTCCTATAGTGCTCATCTGCATTGATTGGAAGCCGTCCACTTTTGTCTATCGCGGAACAGTCCGAAACCTCACTTGTACATCCTAATTTTGGTGAAGGGTTCATGTAAGATGTCGGAGGTGTTTCACCAGTGGTTCCGGTTCGTAGCGTTTGTTCCAATGCTTGCTGCTTAATATTCGCACGATTTCTTTGTCGTCGACAAACGTACACGTTCACGGTGCTTGCCGCGGTCGGAAACTCCGCAAGGCAAACGGTCGGTGGCATTTTTTTATATAAATATCTGAAACATAAATATGTTGATATGTTCTCAACCAATTTAGATATCATATAATATTATCTAATAAAGAGAGAAACGACTATACTCTATACTAGTAATCATTTCTTTAAGAGAAATATCATGATAGAAATTTCGAAAAAACAATTTTTTAAAAATGCATTTCTTAAAAGATAATATAACTCTGCAAAATTGTTTAAAGATTCGCTGAAAATTGATAAAGTTGAGGGAGAATTTTTGAAATGTTGTCGAAGTGTGTAAGGGCACTGAGGGGTACTTCAATCTCTCGAGACTATTTCTTTAAAGCTGGCCTGGAAGATATTTAGAAAAAAAGTAATTGATCTGATTAACTTTTACCTTACGGCATATTCTTCGTAACCGAATTATTTTCGTTTGTATATATAAATACGAATTTTTCTTTTTTTTCAAAAACTTATCGAGAAACATACAAAAAATCAATTATGATTTTTGCCAAGAATTCATAATCTTTTTTATAAAATTTGCTATTTTGTAAAAACAAAGCTTTTCTTTCAAAGATTTTATAAAAATCTCTACATACAAACGAAGTCACTTTCATGTAGTTTCTACACATTTTTACTTCATTGACTTCAGATTAATCATTCAGAAGTAATCATCTAGGCAGTGTAATCATGGTTTTCAAAAAAGACCTTATTTTACAGAATCTAGTTCATCATGTTAATAAAACATGTTTTAGATAAACAGCGTAAGTTTTCTTTTTTAAACGTGTACTAAAAATATATGGCCATTAAAAAATCTATTGTTGCTTAAAAAAAAATTCCTAGAGATACTCTTTTATCTTTGCCCTTGCCGTGGTGTTCCCTCTTAATGAAACCCGCTAGAATTCGCGATCGCATAAAACAATATTAGTCTTTCCGTTCAATTTGAGGCGAACTATAGGCTTGTGTGCATGAGATCAATCTTAAATACTACAGCACATTCAATTCATAGAATCCTGCACGTGGATATTCTTCCTACGCTGCTCTTATCGCCCGGCGACACGATCGATGCAGGCGATGACCTGATTACCGTTAACGTCACTGCACGTGCCTGCACCGAAATAATACTAAAGCCTCAACTCCCACCCAGCATGCGGCGCGTATATATTTGAGATTGTTTTGACCTCGAATCTTCTCCACCACGTGCGAGCGTGACGCGCGGCCATACGATGCATGGTAAATAAATGCGAAGTCCTTGACATTAGTGCGTAGAAACTTGAGCAGGTAAAGTTCATCCGCACCGCACGTGGTGCACACGCGCCTCCAATCCTCCATTATTTACACATTCTTTTTTTATTGATATATCCATGGAGTCTCGCCGTGGAGATTTACAGCATTTGTGAGCATTTTTACGTATCGTTTGCTCGCGTACTCGATATTTACTGCTACGCTATATAGAGTCCCAAATCTCAAATCGGTTGTGTAACTCGCGGATTTTTTGGCCAACTTTGCGAATCGAATTTTTAATGTTTTCTTTATATCGAAAAATAAAGGATTATAAAAATAATTATATTAATAATTATTATAAAAATAATTTTCCTCACCCAAAATTCCACTAATTGAGACAATACAAATCTTAATTTCCTAAATAACTTGAAATATATTCTTTTGATTAAATATTAATTTATTTGCTCATTAGAAATTTAAATGCTTATAAAGTATCTAATATCTAAAAGATAAGAAATAATCATCTCAACATCAGTGAAGGAAGAAATTGATCATAGGTCGACGATAACAAGCGGTTGAAGGGATAATCTGTGTATATATATAGTTAAAAAAACTAATTTAACGCATATATTTACATATTCACATATATTTTTACTTCTATAACTCAGAAACAATTTTCTTTTTCTATAACGAACGATTATAAACGATGTAACAGTTTCTGGCAGTTTTTAACGATTTGCTATTTTCAGCCAGAGAAACATCATTATACTAAAAATTCATTTCCTATCATTATACATTTTTGGCACGTGCCGATGCTTAATAAAACTGCTCATGCCACACCTTAAAGTCGCCGTCTATTTGCGTCTTCTGCCGATCGTGTTGAAACGACGCTGATGGAACGCGGCGATAATTCTGGCGTTCGCGGGAAAAACTCGATTAAAGCGTTAAGGTTGTATAGTGGTACACGTGCGGACCACGATGCGGGCGGACACGTGGAAGGCCGTCTTACGTCATTCTGTCCCGCACACTCTATTAGAGATCGCGGACGAATGCTTCCGCACGATACACACGCGCACACGTGCCGACCTGTATAGACATCGGACACGTGTGCGCTGACATCATTTTAACACGTCAGGACGTTTTACACATTTTATGTGTCAACAAGGGCACATTATTAATAAGAGTTTGATGATGAGCGCTCGATCTCTCACGCCGCCTATGAATTATCGCCGAATTTTTTTCAATAGCTTTGTTTTGTGACTAATTAAAATGTACATAATTGCGACGTGGTTGAAATACATCCTTTTCTTCACAGCTACTTGCTACATGTACTTCTTCTTTTCACGCTTTCTATACTTAGAGCGGCAGGAAGTAATGGGAGGATATCTCGAAACTACCGGATATCTTTCTCGACCACAAATGACCATCAAATTCTTTAGTCAAAATGCGGTTAACTTTTTCCTATAAAAATACTTTGCGAAATAAGCTTCAAAAGCACAAACGCGCATCAATTAGTTGAAGTTTATCGTTACTGTCATTAAAGCCAAATTTCTACGTAAACTACATAAAAACTGAATGTGAAATTTATAAACTAGTTTCACAATTTTTACTTTAAGAGCGATCATGCTTGTTGTTTCAGGAAATTCCGAGAATCCAAATAAATACTAAATCCTTTTGAATTCAGTTTTTTTTTCGCACACAGAATATGTACCGTACACATACGTACCGTCACTACAGTTCAATGACTCGAACTCGTTTCTATACGAATTTTTTAGTCAACATATCGGAGAAGGATGAATACACATAATTCTCTTTGTTTTCGCCTATATAGTTCTTTACGAGCCATCCCCCTTTCTTTCTCCAATTCATAGTTAAAATTACATTTTCTATGCAAATTGCACGATTGTTACTATCGTTTCCCTGATATATTAGTCATGCGCTACGTAGCTTCATCATTACGGTATAACGGAATAACGGTAAATAGTAAGGATATTATCGAGATATTATAACATATTTCGATTTCGTTTCGGCTCTTTCATTTTTGGCACAACCTCAAGTATTTTTGTGTTATATGTAAATCGCCTTGATAATTACTATCGCGTAATAGGAAAAACTGCGAAGCTTCTTAAAAAAAAAAGAAAATGGAAAAAGTAGAAAAAAGAAATAAGTTTGAAAATCTATCGAGAATTTTGACAATTTATAAAAAAATCACTGCAATTGTTTAAGAAAATGTTCGAACTTTCTTCTCTTCTATTTATTACTTTTTTCCTAATAATTACTTACGAAGACAACGCTTAGCAGTAAGTATGAGCACTCTATGTAGCACGAAACTCAGTTTGCGCGGTGATTCCTCATCACGTCTTCGATTTCTATTGAAATACAGGATCGGCTTACCGAAGGCAAAGGCGCGGTAACTTTCGGTTGTGACGAAAACGAACAGCATCTATATCGAAAAACGTAAAAGTATAACTTCGGATATCGACACTAAGGAGATACTGTAAATTTGACGGTATGGAGTTACTGTGCTGTATAGTGTATCGTAAAAGTTCATGATAATATACCTACGGAATAATAAGAATGTCACTATCGCTGTCGCTCCCTTATCATTGATCTACGCGCGCCGATGGTCGCAAATCGACTAACGATGCAGAAGAGTCGCCATGTTACTCTCACTCGTGGTGTCGAGGGCACGCCGCGGTTACGCACGCGCGTTATGCTGGTGAAGTACACAAGCGAAGGTTCGAATTGACTCCAACGTTATATCACAATGACAAAAGGGACGACACGTGCGTCCCCACTATAACGCCCGCGCCGTCGTTGATATATGCGACAATGTTACGGTCAGACCAGCAACCTCAGGTTCAGTTATATCAGTGCGATCTAAACAAAGTGAGCTGAGAGAGAGAGAGAGAGAGAGAGAGAGAGAGAGAGAGAGAGAGAGAGAGAGAGAGAGAG